CATATGAGCACACTTGGCCAGATGGAAAAAGTAATACATTGGCACAGTTCCCCACCCCCTGCCACCACACACACACGCACGCACACGTACGTCAAATTGCATATTTGTAACACTCCAAAAGTGAAAAAAGCAGCAAATGAAGAGCTGCAAAGTTTAGAACAGGGAGGAGGAGGCAAGACAGGTTCTAGTGTGAAGGTTACTGGGCTACTGGCTGGAGGATGGAAGACAGAGAAAGCAAGTCAGCCTGATCTTTACCAGGTGCATCAAGGGTTGCTCTGTGAACAACCTGAACCTTGTAGCTAAGATACAGGGTGGATTAGTGTGTTAGCACATGCGTGTCTGACAACAACATGTGCAAGTTTTAGATGGCCTAGTTCTTTTTATTGATAAGGCATATACTAGGGATTTTAATTGTTTGCATCTTGAAGTGATGCCAAGCCCTTTTTTTATTTTGTAATGCTGCTTGCCTTTAAATGTGTTTATTAAATCTTGGAAGAGGATGTTCATTCTTAAGGCATGCAACAACATGCTCAGGATTCCCGATCCATAATCCAAAAAAGCACTCTATCGTGAGTTAAATTCAAAGTTTGTGCCTTTTAAAAGATACGTTCAAAGCTGCTTTCCAAAGTGGAAAACTAGCAATGGCTCAACTGCATTCATGTAGATAGTGCTTCATTCATCTTCAAGAGATTAAAACAAAGCCAGAATGTCCAGTTCAGGCCCATAGTTCAATGCATACTAACCATGCTTCCACTTTCCAGAAGTTTCAGACCACAATACCCATCAGCCCCAGCTGGCATGGCCAAAGCCAAGACCAGTCATCTAAATCATTCAGAGAGCACTAAGTTGTAAAAGCCTGCATTAAACTAAGAAACAAAGGATAACCAAACCCTATTCTTCTTTTATTTGTCCTTCTCCTCAGTTGTTTGGGTGGATGCTCATCGGTGCAGTTGCAGTTCTTGTGTTTATCACCAAGTGTTTGAAACACTGCTGTTCACCCCTCAGCTACAGACAAGAAGCTTACTGGGATCAATACCGCTCCAGTGAGGCCAAGCTCTTCCAACGCACTGCAGAGATACACGCCAAGGTTGTGGCTGCTAATAATGTTAGAAATTTCTTTGGCTTTGTATACTTAGATAAGGAGGAAGAAGACTTGATACAGAAGTTTCCTGTGGAAGATACTCAGCCCAGGTCACAATGGGATGCTATTACTGGAGTCTATATCTACCGGGAGAACAAGGGCTTCCCTCTCTACAGCCGTCTCCATAAATGGGCCAAAAACATTACAGGAAACAATTTAGGTCCTGACAGCCAGGAAACAGCCTTCCTAGCTACTTAGGTTAATGGTGGCTATAACTCTGTACACACATTCCTGGGAGTTGCATTGAACTCAGAACTTAGAGCACAACTTAGCACATGTCCACTAAATATCCATCACACTTGGTATATCTATGCTGTAAGTTACCTGCATTTTATCTATTGACCAAACATACGGCTGATGGATTTGATGTGAATTATCATCCAAGTGATAAAGGTGGGCTACAAAAAATTCCGACCAAGAAGCAAATACCAATTTTAACTGTTTAAATATCCATCACACTTGGTATATCTATGCTGTAAGTTACCTGCATTTTATCTATTGACCAAACATACGGCTGATGGATTTGATGTGAATTATCATCCAAGTGATAAAGGTGGGCTACAAAAAATTCCGACCAAGAAGCAAATACCAATTTTAACTGTGTTAAACTAAGGGGGCGGTTCTTATCCAAAAGCTTCTTGCCCAGACAGAAGGAATGATAATAAACCTAGAGAAGAAAGGTACAAGATGAGAACAGATGTTGATTGTCTGATATAGAGAAGGGCTCCCACATGGAACATTCCCATATGAAAGAGAAGATGAACCAGATGCTCAGCCTCTACCAGAGATGTGGCAACATTTTCCCTCATTTTTAAGATAAGAAAATGCTATCAGTGCAGCCTTATTGTCACCACTACTTTAACCTTCTTTGGCATACAGTGGTACCTCGGCTCACGAATGCCTCAGTTCACAACCAAATCGGGTCGCAAACAAAAATTTCATAAAAATTTTGACTCAGGTCACAAACTCCACATTGAGTGGCAACCGCAATTGTGGGCCATCTCCCCCCACCCCCGCCGAGTAAGATGGCTGCAATCGTGCTGGGGGCAGAGGGGGGGAGATATCAGAGAGCACGCCCATCTTTCCCGCAGGAGCACAACCACAACCTCAGCCATCTCCCCCGCCCCCCCAGCATGCCTGCAGTCGCGCCTGTGTCTTCCCCCCCACACACGCCCGCGTTCACACCTGTCTCTCCCCCCAAGTGTGCCCGTGATCGCACCCATCTCCCCCATGCCAGGATGATGAGTGCATGCAGGGATGATGGGCACGGGTCGTGCTGGGGGGGGGCGGGGTGATGGTCGTGCTGGGGGGGGAGATGGCCGCGATCATTGTTGTTGTTTGTGACTTTGCTTCACATTTTTCTGATTAAAAAAATAGAACCTTATGGGGAAATTTAACTTGGTTCACAAGCAATTTAGGTCACAACCAGAGTCCTGGAACGGATTAAGTTCATAAGTCAAGATACCACTGTACTTCCTCCAGCTCATATATTTGAATGAATATTACAGAGAAAACAAAAAAGATGAGATGACAGGCCTACCTCAGGAACATACTTCTCAGCCTGCCACTGGGATTCAGAATAAAGATGAGACTGGTCATATTCTGTTTTTGTGAATGGCAGAAGTTCTCTGTTATTCCACCACTTAATTTTTTAATAACTATTGTTATCTGGTCTTGACTTACTTTAATAAACATGGTTATGCTTTGATTTATAGATTTTGCACCTTAACTTATTTGTGCTGTACTTTGAATGATGAAACAACTGTCTAGAGGCCTACAATGACAATGCCCTTTATACAAGCATCACAGCAGTCTGTGAGGGAGGCAGCTTTTTTTGTAATTTACAAACACACACACACATAATTAGTTGAAAGGCACACACAAAAGTGAAGGAAGCTTTTAGAGACGTTTGTTTGAGAAGCAGGAGAAAAGTCCCTCAAGTAAATAAATATTCTAGTTTAGCTGTAGAAAAGACTGTTGGGACAAAATTAAAAGCCATTTATATGATGAATAAAATATGGAAACCCCTTTTCCTAACTTACTGCTATAACTCTTGTCTCATAAGAGTTCTTTCAAAAAGTTGTTGTAGTCTTCTTGACTTTAAGATTAACTTTGAATCTTATTTATCCCTGTACATATTACGAATCTGACACAGAAGTAAAATCATTCACGCAATGTGGGCTGAAGTTTTGTTTTGTCATTTATCAGAATTAACATCACTAAAAGCTGGCAGTCACATTTTAAGTGACTATCAGATTTCCCCTCTGGCTTCAAGATGTCCACAAGAAGATATGTAGTACTGTTAGCTTCAGCATAACATTAAACCAGCAAGTTTTCCTGTCATAGAACTTAGCTGAGAAATGTCTTTTACACACCCATCTCTTTATTTTTCCTTAATTATACTATCCTTCAATGCTGACATATATGTGTTCTACTACTGCTGCACAAATACAAACAAGAGATTCTAAACATGGGTGAGATCCAGCATGACCTGCCCAGACACATTATAAAGAATGGCTTAAATTAGCTATGACTAACTGAAGTCTTATTTATTGTAGTGGGAGTCCGGTTAAGTCCATGTAGGACTCACACTGCATGTTACCCCATATTTATATGAGGCCTGGTTCTTTTGATAAAGTCCAAAATATAGGGAAGGGAAACCAGAGGACCTGAGCAGTAAATGAAAATAGATAAAGCCATAGGAAGACTGCTAAACATTTGGAGGCAGAACTCAGAACATCACTCTTACAAAAAATGAATTTTCACATGGCAACTTGAGCTCTTTTTAAGTGCAAATATACAAATTACTGTATTTAGGATTCCTCCCCACATCCCCAGAATTTTGGCCACAGTAATGGGACAAATCAGATGGAATTAGAGAACCATTCTCACCTGTTTCAAGGATGCAGCCGAGTAAAACCTTTCAGTTTTAAGGCCTTAAATGACTTTTATAGGAGGACTAGCAAAATACAATGACTTGATTGCTATACTAATAAGTAACTACAACACACATTTATTCACAGTTCAAAAACTCAAATTCAGAGTTATTATGGGCTAGCTATGTGCGTGTGTGAATGGTCAAAAGAAGCATGACAAGACATTTCATTAATTTATGGGAGAATATACTTCTTTAACTGTGGTTGGTAAAAGACACCAGAAATATTCCTTGCTATTCTTAGCTATGTTTAGCTATTTGTAAACCCTTCTGAAAGCAATATATTGAGGGAAATGTTTGTTTTAATAAATACTATTTTTAAAAATAAATATTGAGAGAGGAGTAGAAGAATGAGTAACCATGTGTGTGAATGCATGTATAAGCGAGTGTCGGGAGTGAGAAAGATGGCTGCTTTGGGCACACATTCTCAAGGGATGCTGGGTGGGCTTCAGGAGGAAGGGAGAAGCAGGGCACAGGGACTGGGAATGCAGGCCATCCTGAGACACTGAGAGAAGTGAAGCAGCTTATCTCAAGGCCAGGCTCTCAAAGTGGGCAGGGGGTCTCTGGGAATAACCAAGATGTACAGCTGGTGGGAGGGAGGGGACTTGGAGCAGGGCAGTTTCTCAGACACAGGCAAGAAGACTCCAACTCTAGCCCCCTTGATGCATCATTAGCAGAGAGTAGACCAATTACAGGATTGGTGTGCACACAGAAGGCATGTTTTCAGAAGACCCCTCCTAAAGGGCTGGGGGCTAGGCATGCTCCTAAGGAGAGTTCCTGGAGGAGAATACTAGACTGGATTCAACAAACCATTCAGTACATGCTCAGAGATTCATCCTGGGTGTTTTTTTGCTTTTGGTCAATAAAAAACACTTTGCAAGGAAAGGGTCTGTGGCTTTGAATGCATGAAAAAGGAACCTCAGCTCCTGACAGCAAGTTCAATGTATTTAATGAACTATGCCACGTCCAAAGGAAAGTAAAAAGCAGTGTATCAATTAGATTTTTAAAATGTGTTTTACAAATTAGCATTCAAATAACACTCCAAAATTAAATTCATATATTTAAAAGTCTGAGGAAAATACAAAAGGTATCAATATTTACAGAGGTTAAGCTCTTGTATAATTCTTGATAAGTCATGAAGATTTGGTCCTGGCTAACCCAATCTGCTGTTGAGAGTATCAGGAAATGCAGCAAGCCGCGATGCTCTTCCTCTAACCGTGGTGTCTCTCTTGACGTTTCTCTTGCGTTCAGGGGCAGCAAGCAAGACACTCAAGTCTGTTTCTGAAATTAGTTCTCAGCAAGACTGCTCTTGGATTCTACATATTCCAGTGCAGCTGCCTTCACAGCCTGCACCGTTTCTGCTGTGCCATACTTCTTCTCATACTCCAGGTTGCGCTTAAATAAAAATTTCATCTTCTTCGCTGCTAGGCTTAGGTGTATTACTCGCTCAAAAATATCACTGTAGAAAACACAAAAGACTGTTCAGAATATAGCTTAATTATCAGATGCCTCTTCTATTTTTAAATGGCTTGTCTGTGTTGTCATATGTGCCTTCACACATCACATATTCTCTTTCAAAGCCTGTGCCTCTTTCAGAGGTCATTGTTTATAATGGTATCACCAATGGAAAGAAATACAGAAAACAGAGATCTTCATGGGAGGAGCTGGTCTGTTCTGTGCCTGTAGGAGCACTGTATTAGCAAAGTACCCAAAACCAGAAAGATTTGAGATCTTATCCTCAAGAAATTGAGCCCACACTATCTCAAAACCACCACTACTCACAGTGTTTTAAGCTTTAAGGCTCCCAACAGCTATAAAAAGACTATTCAAAGAGCTTCTGAGCTTCATTTGTCTCCAGATGTACATCATCCTTCAAAGCTCAGTAGGAACACTATGAGTACATTGCCCCTGCCCTGTCAAACGTTGAGTACAGCTGAAACTTTAGAATTTGACATGCATTTTTTGGACATCCAGGCCCAAAAAGTGCAAGAATTTCCAGTCTATGAGCAGGTTTGTGTCATTCTGGGGCAAGGGTCAAACAGAGAAGAAAACTAAGATCACCTGGTCAAGAGAACAAAGTGCAGCAAGTCTCAGGGAGTTGTTAAAACCCCTGAAGACTTACACAGTTGGAAACTGTGTCTGAACCCAGCCTTCACTGGTCTGTCAGAATTAGCAAGTGCTGCACAGCCTCTGTTCCTTCTTTCATCAAAAAAGTAAATGGGGCAATGGCCTGTCCAGAAAAGTCAATTTATACAAAATTTTGCAGGGCAGGAAAAGCAATAGAAAGCACCAGTCATGCTGTCTATAGTCAATACAATAATAGAAAAAACACCATTGTGCTATTCTGAAGCAGAAAAGCACAGTCTTGCTCAGTATCTTAATTTTTTCAACACCTAGGTTAATTCCATCAAGTTTTCATAGTTTGTGGAAGATTTAAAAGTTCACACAAAACTGCATATATTTTCAGATATTTTTCTTGAGATGCACACATTTCAATTAATTTTTCAAAAGTTATGCACTGTTTCATATACATTTTATTTCTCCCTAAAGTGGTTTTGTGTGCAACTCTCCATAATATATGTATTTTTACATGTACTTCTTGTAATGTAATGTAACTTGTATTTTGCACATAATTTTTATTTGCAAACTGTGTGATAAAATTCTAGAAAGTACAAACATCACCCTATTAGCTGTGCTCATTTGGGAAGTTCAAATTTGGTAAGGCATTTTGATACTTTCCAGTTTTGTTATATTTGCTTAGAAAAATCAAGCCTCCCAGCTTTCCTTCATTTCAAGGCCCAAAGGCATTGCCTATGTACTCACACCCTTTCCCAGAAAGTGAGATTAGAAGTCCCCGCCTTTCCATGCCAGCACTTCTTTCCCAGTCCATACTCACCGTACTTCCTTTTGGCTGCCATGTTTTATCATCATGTCTATATAAACTGACCACAGGTCTGTTCGTTTTGGGTATGTGCTCAGAGTATTTTCAAAAATGGCTTTGCCATGCTCTGGATCACCATACTGGAATTCCAACTGTGCTAGCTTGGAAATCACATCCACATCTGCAACGGGGCAAAAGAATATTTAGGTGTTTTCTAGTATTCATCACTGATTCAGCTGAAGAGTTTGAGGGTGCTGAAGCTACTTTAGAAATATGCCATTAGAAATTAATTAGGAATCCCTGCTAGAAAGAAAAGACATGGCAGCAGTCTGAGTGACAAAAGGCCTACCCTGATTTCTCAAGCTTATACACAGTGCACTGCCGTTATTTTAATAATCTTCCTATGAATGTTGCAGCCCAAGGCACACAAATCCCCATTTTCTTTTTAAACTCTCAAAGAAGGGTAGCATGTAAGCTACTGAGAAAGTGTTGATCACAGCAATGTAAATTCTTCAAGCTTTCTGGCTTTCCTAGATGCCTGCCCAGCCTAAGCAAGCATGAAGGAATCTAAGTGCTAGTCATAGTGGGAGGATACTGTGACCCTCAAACAGAATGGTAAAACCAAGGGATTCTTACGTTCTTTACTTGGCAAGCCCTTCAGGGCACGTGGGAGGAGCCTGTGAGCTGCCTCCAGCAACCCTCTTTTCAGGAGGAATTTGGCATACTTCACCCACACAGATTTTTCCTGACGAAAACGCTTCAGCATTGTGTTGTACAGGTCATCAGCTTCCTGAAAGGAACAGCACAGAGAAGGCATCATTCCAAACACAAAATGTAATTCTGATCTTAAGATTTTGTCCTGAAATTTATTCTAAGCAGGCACAGACTATGCATGTGGGACTCCACATAAGCCACAAGGAAGAATGTAAAGGATCAAAACTGGAAGTTGGGGCTCAGGTTATACTGCAATTACCCCAAATCTGGCTTTTGCAAAAAATAATGGATCTGTGACAAGATTTTATTTTACTTTAAGTTTTTATAGGCCAACCAACACCAAAGACAGCTTACAAAAAACAAAAGATATCCTGACATAGAGCAACAGCAAGAATTGTCAATGGCTAATCCCGTGCTAAGGCTGACCAGCGCTAAGTCCTAGGAACAAGAAGAATCTGGCTTTTGAATGGATGAAAGAAATGGATATGGACTGAAAACTACTGACTTCTGCCCCCTTGCTCCCATTTATATCCTTAAAAGTTCCACAATTTTAGATTCTTCTCCCAGCTTCTATGAGTCAACATTTGTATAAAACTTTATTTTAGAAGCTGTCCAGAAAGTTAAACCAAGCATCAAAGAAAAAAATGAAACAATTCAAACTCTAGATTCATTAAAAAGGCAAAATACATCACAATTAAAACATGCTGCCGTAATATATTCCAATTGCAAGGTCTGTAATTTTGGAATAGAAAATCCATAGGTCCAGAGCATATTATGCAGCCAAGAACCCTCAATATAAATGGATTCTCCACAGTTTCTGAAAGCTAAAAGACTAGTATTACAACCATGTAAGGACAAACAGCTACTTGTAGTAACACCACAGCTGTAGGAGTTAATGATCTTTTCAATTTTTGAATGGACATTTTTTAGGTGTGATTTACAAACAGATAAATACTTAGCTATCTGGGCTGCCTTTGTTGAAATCTAGCTATAATTATCTTTAATAACAGCAATGCATAGGGGTACTTATAAAGGGCTTTTACTTATAAAGCCCTTAACGGCTTGGGACCCGGATACCTGAAGGAACGCCTGCGACCTTATTTGCTCTCCCGCCCCTTGAGATCGGCAGCAGGGGCTCTCCTCCGGGAGCCCTCCGTAAGAGATATCAAGAAGAAAAGTACCCAGAGGAGGGCCTTCTCTGCAGTGGCGCCCCATCTGTGGAATGCACTCCCCAGAGAGGTCCACCTGGTGCCGTCGTTATTTGTTTTTCGGCGCCAGGCCAAGACCTTTTTATTCAAACAGTATTTTAATAATCTTTAATATTTATAGTTTTTAATTGTGCAGCATATAAAAATTTTAAATAAATACATACATAGTGTACAAATATATGCATGCATACATTGCAATAGATCCTTTAAATCTCATACAATAAAAGTGTAATACTTTGTTTTATTTTTACCTTTTAGGTTCCAATTTTGTTTCTGAAATTTACTATGAAAATTAATTTAAAAAGCAGCCAAGAACCCAGAGCAAGAGGCAGTACCCTAGTATTGCTTGAAAAAAGGGCCATGCAGGGAATAAATGTCTGCCCATCCAAAATGGAGGCAGCATCCACACCCATTAAGTCCCAGTGGTAAGAAGGAGTTTAGGATCCAGCTATTATTTAAGGACAGAAAAGCCATTTTCCTGGCCCACACGGAGAGCAAGAAAGATCCATCCCACTTACCTTATATTTTTCAGAGCCCTCATAGATGTCTACCAGGTGTTGGAAGACCTTCAGTGGCTCACTGTACTGAATGGCTCTTTCAAAGACTTTCATCAGTGCTTCCTCTGTGCCATACATGTTCTCCAGATTCAGCAGGGCAACCCACACATTCAGTTTTTCCTGTTCTTCTCTTAAAAGCAAAACAAACCCACAATGATCAAGCACAGCCTCTTACCCAGCAGCCAACTCAAATCCATCAGGAAAAGCAAGGTGATTTCATAGCCAATGAACACATAGCAGCCTTCCCCAACCTGGTGTTTTCCAGGTTGGGGAACCCCATAGATTCTAGTCTTCAGCACTGATACTATAACTGCTCGATCCCTCCCCATTATTGATAAAAGCTGGCCCAGCACAGTATTTCTATCCCATTGCAGATATAGGGCACTTAACACAAGCACGATTACATTAAGGAACTGTTAGAAACATGGATTATGTCCTTGCAAGTGTTCTAAAACTGGATTGCCCCTCTGGTCCACTAAGAAAGTTAAAAGCAGTTACGCAAAGTGAATGTCATTACTAAATTCAGATTAATCTACACAATCAGGATGACCAAGATTCAAAGCATTGTTGGTTATAATACTCATCACCCCTTTCCCACCCAGACAGCCTTGCCCTGTAAGGGCAGCCACAACAGTGCTTTACGAATTCACACATACGGTCCATTTGCTTTCTGCAACAGCCCTTTACTGTTTCTCTGTCTAGGATGAATGATTTCTTAACTTTCATTCACTAAGGGGAAATGCAGTTGCTCTGAGTCCGCTGGAACTGTGACTCGGGAGAAAATAAAACTAAAATCACAGTCTAGAACTGAAGAGGAATGCACGGAATTCTAGGGTCCCTACATGCTCCACCATTTTACTACCCTGATTCCAAATACTGGAGGGTAATAGCACCATCTCCCCTTAGTAAACACTAGGAACCTTGACTGGTATATGGAGAGAGTAAATGAGGACTCTGATCTGCATTTTGCATTTTTATACCAATTTCCCCATGATAGTGGAATGCAATGTATATGTATATAAAAAGCCATAACATAAGTTATGGAGAGTAAACCATATGTTATACATGTAAGTTAGAAGAGAAAGACTCATCAGTGTTGGTTGACAAAACAGTGTTCTGCCTCATCAATGAGTGAGCACCACACCGTATTAGGCCAGAGGCCACATACTGAGTAGGGGTAAATCACAAAAGGGAAAAGAGAAGAATGACTGGACCCATTGAGCCCTGCAGATCTCCTCCCCATAAGCTACAGCCAAACAAAACACTGCACAGGCATGAATGGCTACAGACTAAAGCTAGAAGGTCACAGTTGATAGGTGACAACGGACCTAAAGGAGATGGTTTTGAGTGCCCTTTCTGCCACACTTCTGGCTTTCTCAATCTCTGTAGCCTGGAGATGAAATGCCATGAACTGCAACCAGAGGATGGAACTGTCAGGGCTGCTAAGGACCAAACGGTCAAAGTCATCTGCTGTCTGGGGCTGCCGGTTGGGATCCATCAGGGCAGCTTCTAATTTGGAGAGTTCCTTCTCTGCCCTCTGTTTTTCCAGCTCCTTTTTCTTCTTGGTTTGCTTCTTGGTCTTAAAAAGAGAAAACAGGCATGACAACTGGGAAAGCTGCAGTCCGACAAGATGCAATTATACAGGAGATATAGTGAATGAATTAACATTCAAATCTTTGCTTAGCATTCAACTTTAATCCTGGTGCCACCTTCTCAGCTCTATGACACCCTCCTTGCATAGCAATCCTGGTTCTCATCTCTTTCACTACCCCGCTCCCTCCCTCTCCATAAGGTTAACATGATGCAGCTTTGTCTGTTCCTTCAGGAAATTGCTACTGGTCCTACCACTGCTACAGAAATCCAGACTTGGTCACAGTTATGTAGAGAATAGATAAAATGAGTTTACAGGTAGAAACAGGAGTCAGCTTTTTGCTGCATATACAAAAGTATTTCCCATTCAGAGCAACACAAGTCAAGAAAGGAAACAAAGTATATAAAATTCTCAAAGGTGACCCCTCAGGAGCAAAGTGGGAGACTTTGCATTAAATAGTTCCTGGAATGAACCTGATCAGAAAAATTGTACCAAGATCAATTCATTTTACAAAAAAAAATGGATTCAGACTTATTCTTGCTTAGAGTAGACCTATAAAAGTCCATGGGTCTTAAGTCAATCAAGACTAACTTAAATTATATTGATGGCAAAGGGTCTACCCCTTCAACACTACATAATTTCTAGTCCAGCAGGAGAATACTTCTGTTAAAGGACTGCAGTTAAGAAAGCCTATTATAAATGCCAACTATACATAATGCAACTCTAAAACAAACTATACGGAGATACAGTACTGTGGACTCTGCATCATCATCTTCTTCGCTGTCAGAGCTCTCTTCCCTTGGTTTCAGCACAGCCGTATCCAGCACATTTAAGCCCTCCTCCCATGTAAAGCTGGTTGAAACCTTTAACCTTGGAAGATCTTTTCCCTGAAGGGGGAAAAAAATGAAAGAGTATATTAAAAGATACACATAACAGTGTGCAATCAGTTAAGCCCACTCAACTGCCAAGATATTTTTCTTCTCATCAGCATCTCACCTTAGATTTCCTTTCACGCCATTCTTCCTCTTCCTCCTCCTCCCGAGAGTACACTTCAACACCACTATCCTCATCTTCAGTGCAACGAGGTCTTTTCTTTGCTGGCTGGGCTTCCTGGCATTGCAGAGTACAAATTACGTACAACTTGAAGTAATAATTTTAAAGAACAAGATTTGTGTGCATTCATTCAATGAAAACTACAACCAAAATTCCTCCCACTCTCTGACAGGCCTAAACTCCCTCCATGAGAGCTACCTGATCAGTTTCAGAGTTCCTTCTTTTTTGCTTTTTCAACTTCTTGCACTGTTTATCTGAATCGCCATGTGAAACAGCCAAGGACTCTGGAATAACACTTGGTTTTCCAGTGTCTTCAGGAAGGAGTGAGAGCTCCACCAGGTTATCTTCTTTATTTATACTGCAGGATGATGAGAACACATGAGAGAGAAAGGGCAGAAAAAGTGACAGAACGAACATGTAATTGTGCTACATCAGCCCTATATAGTAATCATAATCACCATTTTATAAAACAACTGAGAGTAGCATGAAACATTTACTCCAAACCCATTAGTCCAGAGCTGTAGTGTTATTTGGAAAATGAAGGAAGCCTCTCTTCCCGCTAACTTTGGAAAATGTTGGGGTAACCTTCTTTTCCCCCCTTTGCTCCTACTCTCCCCCCTATCCTTTGCCTTGCTATTTCCCCTTTCCCACCAGCCTCTAGCTTCATTATTCTCTCACCATTTTAGCTCAAGCTAGGCCCCCACAGCAGCCATTATGTGATTAGCCACATCCTCTGTAGCAGCCATTTTGGGCTGGCATCCACAGCTGGTTCCTCAAATTCCCAAATGTGCTCATGGGTCCAAAATGGTTGAAGACCCTGGCCTGTCTCCCCTGTGCTAGTACTGGTTGTGCCATCCCAAACTCACTGATCAGGAAAACATCACACATACCTGAAGATTTTGGCAGTGAGGAGTTGACCTGCATGTATGTATTTCATAAACAGTGACTGATCTGGCATGAAGAAAGGGGCGATAAATTGCGGTGTGATTTGACCCGCAATAGAGTTAGACAATCTGTCAAGAAAGGAAGGACAATGACTTCAAATATCTAATTTATTTCAGTACTCAAATCACTCCAGCCCTGACTGAAGCAGTCAGCTTATGTAGGAGAAAAAGAAGGCCAGGGGCACTGCAATTTGGGTTTTGGGTACACTGATCATTTTAAGGAGAAGTAAATGCACTTAGTTAAATTTGTAATCTGTTATTCCTTCATATTGTGTTCTTTATGTAGCTATGAGCAATAATACACCAAGTAACAACTAAAAAATAAAAGACCAGTAAAACTCATTTTGAAGCTGATTTAAGAAAAATCTATTCAACAGCAGGTATTAGAAACTAACATGCATTAGTCTCACTAAGAAAATTTTGGCTTGTTCTTCGAATCTTGAAATGGCCCAAACACTCTCAGTACACTAGAGGAAAAATCAGGGAAATAGGACCCTATAAGAACGAAACTGTTCCAAATACTGAGTCAATACAAACAGGTATGTCATTCCTTTTTACCTCTTGCTATATAGCTAAGGAGCCTGCAGAGGAGAGCAAAATAAGAGCACAAGCTGCTTAAACTAGAAGTGTGACAGACTCAACACTTTCTGCTGGCTAATAAGTCCCCATAAACCCCAGGGAAACAAAGCTTGAAAATTTTCATGGACATGCGAATTTTCAAGGTGTTAGTGATGACCTATAAAGCCCTTAATGGCTTGGGTCTTGGTTACCTGAAGGAGCGCTTACGTCCATATACGCCCGCCAGCCCGCCCCTTGAGATCCGTGAAGGAAATTAGGAGGGTAAGTACTTGGAGGAGGGCTTTCTCTGCGGTGGCGCCCAATCTATGGAATGCGCTCCCCAGTGAGGTCTGCCTGGCGCCGTTGTTATTTGTTTTTTGGCACCAGGCAAATACCTTTTTATTCAAACGTTATTTTAATTGTTAATATTATTTATTTATTTTATTCTTTGGCCAGGGCGACTTAATTTATATTGTTTTATAGGATTCCATTTATGGTTGTGAGCCGCCCCGAGGCTTCGGCGAATGGGGCGGCATAGAAGTTCCCTAAATAAAAAATAATAAATAATGCAAAAAGAATGATTGGCTCAGCGACTCAAAGTCTTTGTTCAGAGAATCAAAATGAACCAAGGCCAAGAGAGACCTTTCCCTACAAAGTTTTCCTGACAACACCCCCCACAGAAGGGATCTGGTTGGAAAAATGCTGTCTTATTATTTAGGATGATCCGTGTTAGGCATAACCATGAGGAGAGCCACACTTACATAAGAGGTAGTCAGACAACCTATAAAAGACGTCCAATTCTCTTAATCAATGGGTTGCTTTGGAGCACGAATCAATCTTTTCATAAATGGTCAAGCTCTATAGTGTTAGCAGTAATCTAGTACTCAGTTGTGAAACATATACACTCAGACATTGCACTTGTGTGTATATATATGTGTGCATGTGTGCATGTACACATGTATGCACATATATTAACATATGCATTCAGATATATGTAACAAATAACACCAAAAAGATTTCACATAGAAGTGTGGAGTATCTCCGTTTCACATTAATTGAACAAAGTTTTCTTTTGAGTCAAATGTTGGATGAACCTTTTCAATACCATACACACAGTCTGTAGGATTGGCATTTGCCAGGTAAATCTGTTTTATTTGCCAGTTATGTTGCCCTTTCTTGACCTCTAGAATTACAGAATCATTTCATTATTCATTCCCTCTCCCCATTCCCACACATGCATTTAAGCCAACATTTACTATATATTAAATTGAAATTCCTTGTAATGGTAGCAAGCAAAACTCACCCCAAGATGATGCCCAGTGATGTAACAGATTTAACATAGCCTTTAACAAGCTGACCCTTCTGTATATTATCTAGCGACATGATTTCAGGATCTTCCACTTTCCTATGGCTCTTGGGATTTATTCTACAACAAAGATGGGGAAATAGTAAAATGTCCACCTTCTTGTTAAGCAAAGAAAATCCAAACTTCTGGAGAATACTGAACTGTAAATCTGGGTAATGCAGCTAAAAATTCCCACAGTACAGAATCCACTACAAGCTATGGAATGTTAACAATCCCTATTTCTACTTTAGCATAGTAATATTTATTAAAGTTCTTTTTTCTTGGCTTGGAGAAAAGTTTATAGAGATGACAACAGTAAACAAAGCTGAAATATAAATGAGATTACTTTGTATTTCTGCTCCTGAGAACTGCACGTAAAACATCTCAAGAAAAGCTAGTAAGAAACCACAGCCTCAAACAAAAAGTGAAACAAGAAAAAAGTGTGGAACTTGCGCAAACTTGTGCATGTTTATCCAATTTGTAGAACCAATTCTAAATTAAATGAAATTAGTTTTTGTGCACTTGAACAACATGTTGGGTTTCTGCATCATCATTTCCCAAATACCGAAGAAATAGAGGGAAATTTTGAATTCTGTATAATGTAACATTTAGTATTTTTCTGAAATGTAAATCACATCTACTAGTCTAGATTTAGGACTAGCTTTTTACCTGGATTGACGGAGAGACACTTGCACCATATTATCTTCACAGGAAAGGACACAGCACCTAGAAGTAGGAAAGCAAAAAAAAAATTTTTGTATAGATTGAAAAAACTTCACCCTGACAAAAAGATGTGGAAGACATGACACATACTGTAGTTCCATCTGAATAACTGCAATGGATTCAAAATAGAGCTGTCTTTGATAGGTACCTTGAAACTAAGTCGGACTGGAATATTTTATTTTATTTTATTTTATTTTGGTATAAACTTGTTGGGCTATTGGGGTGATCTTCAGATGCTCCCCTATGTATCCCAATGTCCACAGACATACATTTGCTTGGGACCCAGGAAAAGGCTTATATTCCACAAATATTCCACAAAGGAGGTAACTATTAAAGTTAGCTTCCTCTGCTTATCTACAGATTTTGCAAAGGGCTCTTACCTGACAATTTTTCCAGCGCTAAAGTTCTCCAGTGGCAGTTCAGTATAGGAATCGCTCAGATGGAAAAGGCTGACTTTACCAGTCCTTCCAAAGGGAAGTGTAACAGTCAGGCCAACATGTGGAATCACCTTTTTCACACAGCCTAGTGTGATGGTTCCTTTCTCCAGACAGTGAATTCCTGCTCCAAGGTGAAGTGATTTAAAACAAGCTAAGTCAGATATTGCACACACCATATTCCCTTATGTCCTGTTCAATGTGGTTAAAAGACTTTTATCTTGAATATACAGAGTGTGTTCAATTCCTATAGACTTGTATACAACAGTAGAAACCCTACTGCTTTGGTTGAGATGGGATGAATTGTATCAAGTTTCCAACAGAAGAAAGGAAATAGAGATGAAAATCCTATATGTGTCTACTCAGAAAAAACTTATCCTGAGTTCAGTGGGACTTAGTAAATTGGTACAGAAATGTAGTTGTACTCTGTATTGCATGCCACACTAAACCATAGCTTAGTGAGATGTGCAACAGCAGTAAGGAAGTGCCACAAGCTCATGTACTCTCCATTCCTCCTCCCACAAGTGTGACTTCAAGAATAACTTTGACAATGTTTGGATTAACTGTCACAGAATCTGGGTTGCTGCAAATGCAAACCAAGGAGCAAGGCTTCTAGCAAATGGTTTAGCAATCCAGCGGCATAATTTATGCTATGATACTGGCTTCTTCGGAAACTGATCTACACTCTATTTTGCATGCAAGAACAAACAAAGATTCTGTGAAAGAAAAAATTAATGTTGCCAAAGTTCTTCTCCTGGCTACATGGAAGGAGGGAGCAGAAAGAGTGAAAATGGGGTCATTGCCCGAAAGATCTTTGATAACTTCTCCAGAACTATGAGAGAGTTAAAAAAGAAAAAAGAAAAGAAAAGAAAAAGCAACAACTTGCTTGGCATCTCAAGCTTTTAAACTTGCTTCAGAATCCGGCTTTATCCTTTGCTTGAGCATTAGTAGCTATAAATGGATTACTTGCCCATTCACTTTCCCTGAGGAACAGCCTGATTCAGAACTAATGTACATGCAAATGTCACCACCTGAAGCCTTCTCTATTATGTAACAGGTACCTCCGCACATGCACAATTTCGATATGCATATGTTACATGGCAGGGCTCTGACTGACACCAGCAATCACTCCAAGGTATTTTCATATACCAGCAATCTCTGGATCAGAGTTATTTGTGAAAGTGGAAATGCTAATGTAGTGGATTTTTTCATTTTTACCATACCTGATAGAGACAGGGATAGTTTGGTCCCAGTGGTATCAGAACCTGTTACTGTTGCAGCCAAAGCCTGCCCATTTTTGAAGTGTTTGTTGGCATATTTCAAGACCTGATGGGAGAAGATATAAACATGACCACCAAAAGGACTGCACTCTGTTTATTTAGAATAACCCTCCAGTATGTGTAAAAAGCCATAGCAGTTGTGGGAGTGCCATGTTAGTGTTTGAGAACTTCATAAAGCACCATTCTGGGAGAACACAGGCTGGGCCTAGGTTTAAAATTGTCTGTCCAGAAAATGCTCAGACAGAAACTCAACATAAATATACCTTTATGCTCTTAGGAATTCTTAGGAGTTGACACAAAGGGAACAAAAACCCATGGAAGGTTGTGGGACCTTAAAGATTAACAAGACTAAATGAAAACTTATGTCATAATAAATATGGTAGCCTTTAAGTGCCACAAGCCTATTTCTTGTTTACGCTTAAACAGATTAAAATGGCTATATCTTTACAAATAACTAGAATAAGCACATCCTAAGCTGTTAATGTTCTGTCTCCAATGTGTGAAAAAACTTGTTATTGAATGCAGTTTCCTGCATGTAAGAATACCGTGCCACTTATTCACAGGCAATTACTTACCCGGGGGCTTAGAGAAAGTAGAAGCTGCTGAACTCTTCCTCTAATATTAGGAGTGACTTCCACCTCCAGCCATTTCTTTAGAAGATTGTACTAAAAACAGAAATCATAGGAAAGAAGATTCATTATTCCACTGGAAAAGGCAGAGGGAATGCTCATGTAGTCCAAGATAACAGGCATTGATCACCCAGGCATCTCAGTATCACACACCTGTCCCGCACAAAACAAGAACTTGAAAATAAAAAGTAGTTCCCAACTTTTTTGGGTCAGGGATAGCACTCCCTCCCACAAATAATAATGCTTGAGCCCACATCCCAGTAAGTGTCATTTTACAACTGAACAAAAGAATGAAATTTTCCAAGTAGCAATTGAAGTGTAAAAGAAGGCAGGGAAACCCTATTATACAGGCTTTGAGAAATTCTAGGACTCACCTTCTTCACAAAGCATGTCACCATCTGCCCAGGCGTGAAAGGTTTCAACGTTTCTTCCAGATTGCTGCCTTCAAGGCCCAGGGGGGTTATGCTTTCCTCTTTCAGCTGACTGATCATAAGAGGAGGTAAAGCAGTTATACCTATAGGTTTTCTGATTTAGCACTTAAAGTTCTCCCTTCTCTCTCTTCAAACTGTTTCTTATCTATATTTGTGAATAGTAGAAGGTCCCCAATTCCAATTTAATTTATGAAAATCAAAAAACAAGTTCCATAGTACACAAACATACCAAGGTTCATGTCATGGACTCAGTACATTCTTAACTAGCGTTAAAACGCTGAATATTTACAGATATTTTGTCAGACTAGAACAGAAGTAACAGATAGCAACCTGAGAATGAACTGGATTCTAAGATGCCTCTCTATTCATGTAAGAGAGGAGAGCATTTTTGCCTACTCTTCCATCCACCCATAGTCTCCTGCACTGTATCATAAAAACTGAACATCTAGTAGGCTGAGATCCACTTTGTCTGGCATTCTGTTCATTAAGTGGCTAGCCCATTGTGAGTGAGAAACCCACAAGCAGGAAATGAGTGTAACTCCACCCTTCCACTAGAGGAAAATGTATAGAGAGGCTCTTCTTCAAATCTGCTCCCAGGAGCAGATTTCCAAGAAGTACAGTGGGATGCAGAGCAAAAGGAAAGCCCTGCTCTGTGAGCTCCTATTTTGTTCAGAAAGAAAGTTAGGATCAAGTCAGTGTAATTCAACAATTAACTGTTATGCTTTAGCAACTTTTGCAGAATATTAAAGCATGTTTGGAGCAGTCTCTGAACCATGATGAGAGGATCAGCAGCATGTGACCCACCCCTTCCCAAATCCTAATAACTCAAGGTCCAAAAATTTGCCAACATTTCCATGTTATAATACTCCTGGCCTCCTCCACTCAAGTGTATGCCACCATTCTAAGCACCTGCTCAGAAATTCTGGCCTCTACCACAATCATTCAGCATGTGAAACACATTTTACAGGATTCCTGGAAGTTATTGGGTAATAATATATTTCCCTCTTGTACTTCTTAGAAGCAGAATTTCAAGTGTAAAATTCCTGTTTTGACCTTGACACTCAGACAACTAGTATCAGTTTGAAGAGGCACAGTTATGATAATTTAACATGTCCTAATATTTCAATTCACTATGCATAGTTTTGTGACCACCCCTCCCATCATTACCTTGGTCGAATACTGAGCTCCGGGCAAGTACGGGTGAAGTGAGGGTGAGTGATAGGCAAATATCTGAAAATTAAGAGCAGATTAGCACATCATTTCTGCTTGATCAGTCAGGCATAAAAGAAAGACAATACACATCACCCTTGCAAATAGCAGAAAATATACAAGCAAATACACAAGCAAAACAGCTTTGCCTTTCAGTTATTTCAATATGCATTCTTGTTTGGAAGCTTTAGAAATATTAACTCTGTTTCTTGAGAGTAGGTGCTGCAAAATTTTACACCAGAGCATATTAGACAAGTTTACATTCTCGCTCTCTCTCATTTCAAAGAAATGAAAAATACACCACTGCTTATTTGGACAACACCGTTCCTTTGAGAAAAAGGCATCATTCTCCAGCCATGCCCGACCTAATTTCTACAAATACAGTTCTGATTTTTGTGAAATACAGGGATGATCTATTCTTTTGAAAAGGTTCATATATAAAATATGGAGTAAAGTTCAATGTGTGCAGAATGAAACTTGATCATATTTCTCCTTTGTTGGTCACATGCTGTTGCATTTGCAAATGCACGTTTGCAAGCACTATAGCAAGATGCATTAAAGGGTCAGGTTAACATAAAAGCAAACTTCTGCTCTAAGTAGAAACAGGTGAAACTACTGAAGCAGAAGCAGAAATCTGATTGAATGTATTTTAAGTTACCTGAACAAGAACAGTAAATCATGAACAGAGCATCAAAAGTCCAATGAGACATCCATACCTGGGACAGCAAGAACCATACTGACAAAAATAGCCAACAACAAACGAAAATGGCACTCCTAGCAACATTTCTCTTACCTGTGTGTTTTAATGTCTCTGCCCCCAATGACCCGAGCAGTCACTTTTTGTCCAACCTTTAGCACTGATGTTGGAAAAGTATCTACGGAAACTTGATCCAGAATCTCGGATGCATGAATAGAGCCAGTCAGCTGACCATCAATTGTCACGAGGACATGGGTAGGCTTGACAGATTTGACAGTTCCCTTGACCATCTCTCCTAGACACAGTGAGTGTTTCACAGATGAGGCCTCATCTAGTGTCTCAGATTCATGTCGAGGCCTGATTACAGCCTTTCTCTGCATTGGACCTCGCACAGCAAGCAAGATCCCAGGGTCACCTGTCTGAACAGTTTTCAAAACCACTGTAATTGACTGTCCCATCTTCAGTTTTTCAGACTCAAACCGGAAGGTGTCATTGAAGTGGGATGCCACAGGGATAGCAATGAGCTGACCCGTTCCTTCCAATGAAGCAACGGCATGTTCTGTAGCCACATGCTGCACAATGGCCTGGTGTTGAGAATCTGGGGTTAACTGAAAAAGACCAGGGAAACAACATTCAGAGATGTAGAGAAAACAAAACTGGTGCAAGATTTCTGAAGTAAGCACAGCATTTGTGAGGAGCTCCAACAAGGCCCACAAACTTTTCCATACTTTAGCCCCCTTTCAAAAATTTATTTTATTTACAAAATTAAAAATTAGGGCACCTATTTTCTGAACATGCTGCTAATCAGCTGTTCCTGTTCCACCCAATCTTTTTCCATGCTCTCACAGCTTTCTCTTTTGCACTCTCTCTCTTCCCCATATCCCAGCCTCTAGCTTACTATTTCTCTCCAAGTCTCTTTCCTTGCTATTTTCTCCTTCTCCATTCCTAGCTTTACTCTTTTTCATTCATCCTTTGTCTTTCTGCTTCTCTTCCCTCAGATGCTATTTTCCTCCTGTAACTCTTTACCTCATCTGTTTCTCCCCCACTCCTAGCTTCTGCCTTCACTTTCTTCCTGCTCTATTACTTTGATATTTCCCCTTCCACATGAGCCTCTATTCTTGCTGTTTCACTCCCTGCCACCTCTTTTGACTAGCCAACCCCACATGGCAACTATTATGTGATTAACTTAGATTTCCATGAGAGAACATTTGTGGTGCTGACTGGAAATATTCTCAGATTCCGAGGTAGAACCCCTGCCTTATATATTGCACAGTTCTACAAATTGTATTCTCCAATTCTTCCATTACACAAGTCAAGTTGTGTTTATTTTAACAGTGATCATAAAAGATAATTCAAGATATTACCTTCTTGGATTTGGGGGAGAGCAGTTCATCTCGAAGAGATACATAGACATTTGACTTCAGGAAATCAACAAAAAGAACCACAACTCTTGTTTTTTCACCCCCAGTAATATTTTTGCCTTAAAAAAAAGAGAAAAATTTCTAATTCTGTGGAATCTAAATAATGCTGTACATAATTGTGTCCCAGTAACTGACTCAATATAACTTAAATCACAATGTGAGTAGCAAAGTCATGAGAAAAAAACCACAATTTATCCCATGCATGTGTGGTCTCCCTCCATCTTTCTCTCCTGCACACACATCCCTTTGTATTAATTTAGAAAAACACAACCCTTTGCTGACAGTGACCCATCCAGTACCTGAAAACATAGTATGAATCAGGACAGAGAAGAGTAGGAAAGACTACAAGATATAGCATACCTCCAAGGTGGCTGTGAGTGGCCATTACCGTCAACCCAGAAACACAGGCACCACTGAAAATTGCTGTACCATCTAGTTTGACTTCATCAACTACCAGCTCCAGCTGCTGCCCAGGTTTTAATTCACAAAGTTGCTGGGCCACAATGGAATCTTCTGAAGAAAAGGAAAGATAGAATTAAGTTTCATTTGCAGTTTAATTTTTTTATTTATTCAAGTGCAGAGAGTCTGAACAAGTTTTATCTTCAGGATTAAATATAACTGAAACTAGCAGTTTACCTTATTTTGTGGGATATAGCTTGAACACTGACAGTGCAAATTGACACCTTTGTCAATTTGAAATGCCTGCTACCTGTGGGGGTGATCGTTTGGAACAAGCCACCTGGACAATCCATGATGGATTGCCATGCCATCTGAAGCCGGGAAGGCAGTTTCAGAGTGGGTTGTGAGGACTGACTAGCAAGTTGCTCAGCAGGCTCATCAAAATCCTGCCAATTAAATTATTTACAATCTCAGCCAATTAAAACCAATGCCCAAGCAGCACCACAGAATAACTATTACTACTTTTGTCAATGTTTTAGTTTTTGGTGCAAGAAGACTGTGCAGTAATTTTTTCTCTTTTCTTTCTCTTTCTTTCACCCATTTCTTTTTCAGTTATGCTCTTATAGCTGTAGTCTTATATCTGTAGTCTTGCTTGGTCTATTTACTTGTATGTTTCAGCTGTCAGTGAGAGCACCAAAACAGTAGATAACATACATTCAAAGAAAAGGGAAGACTAAGACTGCATAGAGACTATTTTGCACTGTGTTGCCAAGGACCAGTTGTCTAGCTGTCAAGTGAAAAGCACTGGTAAAGGGGGGAAATGGCAAAATTAGATGCACCAGGAGCTGTGATTACTGCAATCACCTGACTGTTCCTAAAAATAAAAACAAAACCTATTCCTTTACTGCTGGTGTACAAATCCCACCCCCACCATTTACTTTCCAGCACTTAAATCTGTATATATTTCCCTGCCAAAAACTTGTGCAAATATTCAAGTTTTCTTTATAAAAAACCTCATACGGGTGGAAGAATGAGGCAGAGTAAATGGGGTGCCAGCACTACTAGTACTTATACCTGCCCCACTATGGAGCCCCAATCACTCCAAACCATTCAGCTGGCTTCTCAAGGCTTTGTTGTTTTAGAAATGCCAGGGATCCACAGTAACTGCAAGAATAAGTATTCTGCAAAGGAGTGCACGGAAAGAAGGAAGATTAATATCTTCCCTTTCTGTAGTAGATGGAGTTAGGGAACTGCTCATAAGATGGAGGACACTAAGTGTCAGTTCAACACTGAAAAACTAGAGAATCACATTGCCGAGTAATGTTATTCTCACACCCCATCCTTTTGGTGTACCTAATTTCATAACTTATTCTACTTCACGGTTGCTTTTCAACTGACAGCTAGAAAACTGATCATTAGTAACTGTGCATAGATTAGCCTAAGTGCAGACTCCCTTGTCAATTTTCATGTAAGTTACCAACTCCTCTTCCTCATTTCCTTTGACAACTAAAATAGAAAACATTGACCAAAAAGCACTATACGTATCAGACAGCTGTAAGAGCACACTAGCCAAATGATTATAATTTTAAAAAATTATGACCACAATTGTGCTGCTTGCAGGAGCTTCCCCCTCTCTGTCCTCAACTGTGACCTTTTTTGAGACTCCAATGATCCCTGCTCCTCCCTAAATGGTAGTAAGGAATGGAAAACGATGGGGAGACAAGATGGGTTCTGAGGCAAAAGATGCTGGGATAACAGATGAAGGACCACTCGAGTTGGAAGAGGAAGGAGAATGAGTCACAGTGAGCCCAACCCTCTGTCAGTGCACTATAAGTTGCACCATGAACAACCCACTCAGCAGAGTTTTTGTAAGGAGACTTATTATGTCAGCCAAATGTGGCTATTGTGAAAATTATGATTTCGTTTTCCTTTATTCAAGCTGTCTCCTCAAAACAAATGAGCTATAGCCACATAGAAACAAACTTCTGAAGAATAATACTGTTCCCAAGTTGAACAGAACATTATGTATCACAGCCTTACTTCAAAACAAAGACAGACATGTTACTAAGTAACCTGATTTTGTAAGAAATTGCTCATAGCATTTGCCCTGAAAAGAGGTTGCACAAATGCTGCCACTATGAAGTGGCCTATATGAAGCTTCCAGTTGCTATCTATATTACCCTCGGCACCTCTTACCTCTTTTTCTCATGAAGCTCTTGATCTCTTGCAACTCCTTAAAGTACTGTTGCAATATGGAGAAGCTCTCAGAAATAGCATCCTCAGAGGCGCACTCAGACACCTTCAAGGACAGCAGGATGCGCTTCTTCTCCTCATCAGTGCTGGTCACCTTGGCAATCACAGTCTGGCCTAACACAAAATGGTCTTTCGTGTCTGTTACAAACTTGTCACTCATTGCCTATGCAGATAAGGAGACAGACACATGTTATTCCATGGACAGCCTTTTCAAGTCCAACTTTTCAAGTCCAACACTGGTTCTCAATACCTCCAAGAAGAAAACAGTACATTCCAAACAGCTATCAATAAACTGATTTAGGAACACGTTTACTAGCCACTATTCTACAGGTTCTCTCCTCCTGAAGCCATTTCCTTATTTTCTATTCTTTAGAAAAAGCCAGCATGGAACAGAACACACACCATTTCCCTCTTACTTAAATTCTGATAATTATGCAAATCAAATAATGTAATTGCCTTCATGGTGCACGGCAACACTTCTGTTTCTTGCACAATTGTATTCACAGCCCTAAAAACAATCCTGCCTGCAGAATTCAAAGGCACTTCTGTCACCTAGGCCTAAGCTTTCCTTTTGAAAATAATTGCTGGACGGACTCTGGCTGACATTACCTGTGGTCTGTTGACAGAATTTAAGAATTCTATCACAAGCAAATTGCTACTTTTCAAACATAGTTAACTTGGTCATGATTTATTTTTAAAGATGGCTTTGTTATAGAACTTTTGTGATTGTGTTTTGGTGTTTGGCTTGATTTTATTGCTCTTTTCATCCAGTATTGCTATACTTTATACATTTTGTAATGGACTTTGTGTCACAAACACACTTTATTCACTGCATGGAGTATGCTTGTCAGCAAGAAATCCCCAGGTATTATTTTGCATTCTTTCCCCACTCCCAACCCCCACTATAAAGCAGAAAGGGAATACAACAAATGAGATCATGATACCAGTTTTCAGGGGGGATAGTATAACATGCCTTACCGACTTTGGTGCCAGCCCTGTCAAACCATATGGAAACTCCACAAAAACTCCATAAGGCATGACATTTCTTACAAAGCCAGGCAGCAACAATCCAGACTGGATGTCAGAGAAGCTTTTCACCACCTGCTCCTTCTCTATAGCTGAAATCACTGTTGGCTTTCTGCTCAAGGTCTAAATGACAGGTCAAGGAATAAAAAAGGGGAAATTACCAGTTTGGCAATCTCTTATACTTGGTGATCATGAGTTTGGTGTTCATTCAAGTGGTATGGCACAGAGGCACCTGAATCATATTATGCCATACAACACAATACATTGTAAGCAAACAACTACATGCTTCAATTCAGATTCTGTCTGCAGTTACAGTCCATTGTTTCCCAACTGGCAGACAGCACAGAAGCTAATGATTTCCCCCAGAAATAATGCAGGTGCAGACACCAGAAATTTGCCAGAGCAAAGCAATGAGAGACACCAATCAATCTATTCTCCCTCCACCAGAAATGCTGCCAGGTCACTGTCTTTCCTTCAAATTGCTTGACATAGGCTGAAATACTATTCATACCTTTAAAAGTATGACCTATTTAACAATAAAACCTGCTGGGCAAACCTGTATAGAATTAAGGCTTTATGTTTCAAGGGAACTAGAATTGGGCAAAATACAGTTGTTAACAGCAAGCAATTGATGAAACATCTCCAGATTGGTGCATGGTGAGAAACAGGAGCAAGGGATTTTAATTTCAGTTATCTCACAAACTAGATATTCTGAAATCCTAGCTGATTATAAGTTAGCATGCACAGAATCTTTGAACATATGGGAAAATCATGTCAGCAGTGTGGTGAAAGTACTTTCAATGTATTGCAGTAATTTAACTTAGAGGAACATACGACGACAAGTAGTTTAACAAAAGGTATAGGAGGAATGAAAAAGGATACAATATGACCTCCCTTGTCATGGAGGCATATAACTCCAGGGAGCATATCATCTCCTTTGAGCCAATGCCACCACAATTTGCTATTAGTCACATGGTCAGAAAGATGCATCATGGGAAGGTAGGCAGAAAGGTTGTTTGGCAAAATTGTAACTTCTAGGCCATCTTCATTCTTCTTCAGAATTTTTACATCAGCAATCTGAGCAAAACAGAAAGAATGGAAAAATTGCTTAAATTCGTGGTTCCAGAATTAAAATGATGTTTTTCAAAATGCAACTATCTCAACAATAGCGACTAAAGTCTGGGAACAACTATTTTAACATGAAGAACATCTACTTAATGTTTAAACAAAATAAAATTTTGCATGTAATTTCATAATATATTTGGAGCCCTGTGGTGCCTCTCTTTCTTAAGGGTTATGAACCTTGTATTTTAAACATTTATCACAAGGTAAAACACACTGATTAATTGAGAGACATCTAATGAAAAATACTGTGAAGAGGGATGTAGTACAAAGCTCTATACCTCCAAAGGTCAATTATTCACAACTCTAGAAAGACATCATTAAGCTGCTTTCCTGGTTTGTACCTTTCATCACAGATTTTAATCACCTCCTGGGGGATGTCAACAGGTCTCAAGAAAGCTGAAGGGAAAAGTTTTAGAATAAATTACCATTCCAGTTTCATATGTCACTTCTTTCTTTGAAGTCTTCTCTTTATCACTCTTTGTAAGAGCATTATCTGTCAGCTTGAATGACAGCAATAATCTCTCCTGTGCTGGCTCACATTTTAAGACAACCACTTTGACCACCTAATTGGCAAAGGGAAAGAAACAAAAAATCTTAGCAAAGTATCATATTCATCCCTACAGACAGGTCCACCCTGATACTTTCTTTGTAGGACTGCTAAGCTTTTTCTCAATCCTGATAATACTCATTTTGCTTTTATGTATGTGCTCTATATTTCCATTGGATCTGTGTCTTTTTATATTATTATTATTATTATTATTATTATTATTATTATTATAACATTTCTATGCCGCCCCTTGCCGAAACCTCGGGGCGGCTTACAACATGATAAAATACATTGAAATACAATAGTACATAATAAATTACCATTAAATACAAAAATACAAAAAATACATTGATTTACAAATATAAAATTAAAATTATCAGTATAAAATGAAAATATAGGAGGAGAAAGAGAAGGAAGAAGTTGCCCTGGCCAGATCATATGTTTTAACAATTGAAATGATGTTTAAATAAAAAGGTCTTTACCTGGCGCCGAAAAACCAGTAACGACGGTGCCAGGCGGAACTCTTTGGGGAGTGAATTCCATAGGTTGGGCACCACCGCAGAGAAAGCCCTCCTCCGGGTACTTACTCTCCTAATTTCTTTCATGGAGGGTTCCCGGAGAAGGGACTCTCCCGCAGATCTCAAAGGGCGGTCGGGCATATACGGACGTAAGCGCTCGTTCAGGTAGCCAGGACCCAAGCCGTTTAGGGCTTTATAGGTCATAATCAACACCTTGAATTGGGCCCGGGCTTCAATGGGAAGCCAGCGAAGCTGACGGAGGACTGGAGTCATGTGAGCATAACGCCCATCCCCGTCAGCAACCTGGCAGCTCTATTTTGCACCAATTGAAGTGTTTGGACTGTCTTCAGGGGAAGCCCCACGTAAAGCGCGTTACAGAAGTCTAGGCGGGAAGTCACCAGCGCGTGTGTCACCGTCGCCAGGCAGTCGTACTCCAGGTAGGGGCGCAGCTGATTAATCAGCCAAAGCTGAAGGAAGGCGTTCCTCGCTACCGCTGTCACCTGAGCTTCCAAAGAAAGCTCTGGGTCGAGGAGTACTCCTAAGCTGCGGACCTTATCCCTAAGAGTGAGTGTTGCACCATTCAGGACCAGGTCAAATCCACCCTCTCCGAAACCCGATCCGCCAACCAACAGGACCTCCGTCTTGTCTGGGTTGAGTTTCAGTTTATTGGCCCTCATCCATTCCCTTACCTCGGCCAAGCACCAGTTCAGCACAGCCACTGCCTCACCTGGATTAGTGGAGAACGAGAGGTAAAGCTGGGTATCATCAGCGTATTGATGATTCCGCAGCCCACACCTCCTGATGACCTCTCCCAGCGGTTTCATATAGATGTTAAATAGCAGAGGGGATAGAATGGAGCCCTGTGGTACTCCATGGCATAGCTGCCATGACGTAGAGACATGGTCCCCCAGCACTACCTTCTGGAATCGACCATTGAGATAGGAGCGGAACCACTGCAAAGCAGTGCCTCCGACCCCCAATCCCGCAAGTCTATCCAGAAGGATACCATGGTCGATGGTATCGAAAGCCGCCGAGAGGTCCAGAAGAACCAACAGGGATGTACTCCCCCTGTCTTTCTCCCTGCACAGGTCATCGTACAGGGCGACCAAGGCTGATTCAGTACTGTACCCGGGTCTGAAGCCGGACTGAAAAGGATCCAGATAATCGGTTTCATCCAAGAGTGCTTGGAGTTGTCCCGCCACCACTCGCTCCAACACCTTGCCCAGAAACGGGATGTTGGCCACAGGTCTATAGTTAGTGGCCATCTCTGGATCCAGTGATGCTTTCTTCAGGACCGGTCGTATTACCGCCTCTTTTAAAGGGGCAGGCACTCGACCCTCCCTCAGTGTGCATTCTATCAGTGGCTTTTGAAACCATTGACCATGGTATCTTCCTGGATAGGCTATCTGGGTTAGTGGTTAGAAGCACTGCGGTAGCACAAGTAGGGTCCTACTCCTACTTGGATGAACAATTTGAAAAGGGAGCACTGAGGGGTACTGCTTCGTCCATTGGCTTTCTGCCATGGGTGCCAAAGGGCTCAATTTTATCCCCCATATTGTTCAAGAGGTACAAAAAATGCTGGGGAAGGTTATCTGGAGGTGTCACCAACATCCAGACAATACCAGATGAACAAGATCATCAAATCCTTGGTGGCACCTCAGCTAGACTCATATAGTTACAGCGAAAGCTTAGCTACAGTTATCCAGACAATAGTAACTTCTCATTTGAATTACTGCAGTGCATAAGTGGGGATGCCTTTGAATTAGGCCGGAAACTTCAGCTGCTCCAAAATAGGACATCAATTGTTAATTGGAACTGGTTTAAGATCTGCACTGGTTGCCAGCTCACTAATGGGCCAAATCCAAAGTGCTGGTAAGTAACCCACGTAGTCATAAGCTATGTGGATGTAAGGCTATGTGAAGAACTGTCTCTTTCCATATATACTTGTATAAACCCCGACATCATCTTCTAACGCTTTCTCTAGATGGCCCCACCAAATGAAGTAAAGTGGGTAGCTACTAAGAAGGTCTTTTAAGTGGTGGCACCACAGTTATGGAATGCTCTCCCCAAAGAGGTTCACCTTAAAAATGACTAGTGCATTTTTAAATCATTGCACTATCGTTGGCTTTTATCTTCATTGCTACTGTGGTTCTATTCTTTCTTAAATGTGTCATTTTTACTACATTTTATTATGTGGCTGTATGTTATGGGCTTCAGCTTTGTTTTACAAGAGATCTTCTGTAAATGGGTGATAAACTAATAAAATACCTCACTAAAGTCAAGTCATCTTTTGAACGTTTAAAAAACTGTCACACTTAGTATGTTTTTCAAAGAAAGGGAATGAACATACTGCCATATCTTCTTATTTGTTTGGTACTCCAGAAGGTGGTTATGAATTTTGTAACAAGATTTGCAGGAGAAGGAGAAGGAGAAGGAGAAGAAGGAGGAGGAGGAGGAGGAGGAGGAGGAGGAGGAGGAGAAGGAGAAGGAGAAGGAGAAGGAGAAGGAGAAGGAGAAGGAGAAGAATAAAGCAACAGCCATTCTTCACCCCTAAGCTGCATGCACATTAAAATTGTGTAGGTATATATAGATCTCATCTAAAACTAAGAACATTATATCATGGATAATCAAGGTGCCTTATTTTTATGACCAAAACCTACCTGGCCTTCAAAGAATGCTTCTTGTGGAGCAGTAAACGGTGGCACACCAAGTTCATTCTTGGGGACCAGACCTTTTATGTCATTGTAGAATTTCACAATGCAACCAAATTCTCTAGCACACACAACAAAACCATGGGTAATCAGGCCTGGCTTTGCATCTTCATAACTAGCAAGGATAGGGAGCTGGGACCTGACAAGTGTTTTCTTAAGTGTCAGAATTAGCTTTCTTGCTTCAGGATTGGAGACAAGCACCTGGGAGAAGAAGAAACCGGAATAATTTAATGCTTTCAATGACAGAAGCTAAAGTAAAAGAACATTTATTTTCATAAGAAAACATCCTCAGGTTAAAGAACTTCAGGAAAAGGTTAGAAAAAAAAACTTAGAAAAACTGGTTTCAAACCAGGATGAAATGAGCTCCTACCCTTTCATTCATGTATGGAAGTGGGATTACAGCTAACATAGATTCCATGACTCATTTTGTGAGAGATGGAACTTCTAATCCTATAAAAAAGACTGCCAAATCACAACCTTTGAACACAAAGAATTGAAAATGGAAGCAACTATTAGCCTTTTATAGCACAGGCAAGGTGGATTTGATTTAAATCAATTTGATTTAAATCACTAATCAGTCATTCTAGTCACTCGTCAGAATTCAGTCATGGTTTTCTACATAATTTCCATGCCTGCCTGACCTGTGGGTAGAGGAAAATCATTAAAATATTCCCAAACTGGGTCTCTTTTACAACCTGCTGCCATGATAAGTTTGCTCCTCCAGGGAAAGAGTAATATGATAAACCTCAGGCTATACACAAAAAAAATCCAAAAACTAGTGGAGAATTCTGCTGAAAAGGTTTCATTTTCATTGCTTGCCCCCTCTCCTCACATATAGCTTCTTCCACAGATCAATTTCACATTCTTCTTCTATTCCTTGGTATTTTTGAAATATAGCATTTAAGATGTAAGGGGTTGATTCTATATTCATAGATTTGCAAAGGAACCATGGGATTTTTTTCTCATCTCAACTTTGTATGCTTAAGACATTTTTGCTATAAAGAAGAGGCACGTGATCTCTGCAGACACAAATTCAGTTTTGAGAACTATAAAACCAAGCACCTGTAATAATATCTTTTAGAAAGAAAAAATAATAATCTTACAGAAACCTCTAGAAAAGCATGACAATGTGAATGGATTCATGAAATTCATTTACCAAAAAAAACTAAACACTGCATGAATAGACAGCCACAAACTAATCCTTATTGCATGATGAATAACCTTTGGACTGTAAGGTATCTTAAACAGAAAACTATCTGTAGAAATAGTCTTCCTCAAAAAGCATTGAATTAAAAATCCTTTTTAAATGAAAAAAATCTGGTTTAAATTTTAAAAATCAATTTTTAATTTTTTAAAATCATTTAAAATCATTGATTTTCATCCATCCTAAGCATGGGAATTGAATCTTCCTCAACCCAAGAGCTGGATTTATTTCTAGGAAGCTCAGGGAGGCTGAATTCTAAGTAACTTACCATTCGGAAAGGCATGTCAACATTTTAATATTGGGGGGGTGGGGGATGCATAAAAGTTGGGAAGCTAGCTAATGATTGGTGCTCAGGTGAAAGGGGTGTAGCAATTTAGGGAGATCCAGAAGTTGAGATTTGAGGTTTTTCACTTCTGTTTTAGAGAAGAACAACTGCAGCTGATCCTATAAATGACTGTTTACACACTTATTTGGGAGTATGACCTACTGAGATCAAACAGACCTGCTTTTCAGAAGATGTGCTGACACTTGATTTTCCTTAACAGAGGCTTTCACTTCAGCCTCACAAACCCCCTGTGAGTAGATTGGGCTGAGGACACCTACCAGTCCAAGGCTATCCAGTGATAATTATGATTAAGAGGATTTTGCACACCCAACCTAAGTGTTTAGCCACAACCCTACAACCGTCATGATAAAGGCAGATTTCTGCATGGAAACGCACCCTGAAAGCTGAACAATCCAACCTTGCCTTGTTAGAAAGTTCCTTAGAACAATCCTGTTTTAAGTGGTCTTTTACAGGGAGATCTTACCCGGCACTTGACAGTCGACCCCAGTTTGTATTTCTTCTCTGGCTGTTTCAGAAGCACCTCTGCCAGATGCAGGCAGGGGACCAGGCCATTGATGTGCGCAGTCACCTTTACTTGCATACCAAAGGGCTTCAGAGTCAACACTGTACCCTACATACCCAAACAAACAGAATCAGGAAACAATGCTGTGGTTCGGGATACGCAGAACAAAAATTCTCCTACACTGTTACACAGAATTAAATTGAAGGATTCCATGAAGACAGAGCCACCTAGTGGAAACCATACTGATCTCTACACAACAACTGCAATAGCAGTACTAGATTATACTGAATAACACAGCTCTACTAATGTGACATAGTAGGATTTTGGTCAAAATACTTAGCCAATACAAAAGGGTGGTGCAGAGCTGCAGAGATATTTCTTGAACAAAACTGGACAAAGCTCTTACATTCAGATTTGCTCAGCAAAATAACTGGATGTCTGAGACTGTAAAAAGGGTTAGGGTTAAGAATGTTTCTCTTGTTGTACTTACTTCCAGAACCTGCCCGGCACAAATATCATGATATCTTAGGAATGGTGCGTCAATCACAGATCTGCAAATGTATTTACAAAAAACAAAAGAGAAGCATTAATTCTGTTAGGTGTGACAGAAACCACAAAAGATAGAGAAGAAAACAGATTAAAACACATGAGCAGCCATGCTGGATCAGACCAAGGGTCCATCTGGTCCTGTATTCTGTTCACACAGGGGCCAACAAATCACCCTGCCACACACACACAGGGCATTGATTACTGAAATTTATTTATTTTATAGCACACACTACTCTATTATAGCCAGTTATTTGTGTAACCCAGGCCAGACTTCCTCATTCTGAAGGTTTCCCATTAGCTACAGCCAGACATCTGGTCAAAGATCAGGAATGCTGGGAGTTGTCAAAATGTTTGGAGGGGCACATGTTGTGAGAGATTGGTGTAGCCCATTTTAGCTGTGCTCATAAGCAAATCAATAAGATCATCAATTTCCTCTTACTAAAGATATTTAATAATAACTGTACCGAGTTTAATAGCCCTTCCTTAGCTCATTCATGCTAAAAGAAGTCATCCGGATGTCTAACCTGCATCTGATTGTAATCTGCACAATGCCCCAGAGCAGTTATATTTCATTAAGTGAAAACCTCCAATGAACAGATGCCAGACACAACAGTTTCATGTTTTATTTATAATAGATTTTCATTTGACCCTTACACTCCCACCTACTACTTCCCCAAGCAAACAAAGCTACCTACCATGAGAAACCTGTATAGTAGTTACTATCCACTTCATGAGAAGAACAAAGTGATTGTGTCATATGGCCCTATTGGAAAAGTTTTCTGTTGCTCTCCTGTATCCTTGCTTAATCCAAGCCTTGCCTAGACATTGTATTTCCACACATCTCACCATTTTTCCTTTTTACTGAGGCCTTGCACTACAACTGGGGTGTTGAACCTCTTTCAGCCAAAGGACTGACTTCAAATTTGGAGAAGTTGTGAGGGGTGGGGACTGTGTCCCATAGGTGGGAAGAGCTGAAGGCAAAAGAGTTGGAGCAAGAGGCACTATTATATTTTGGCTTAAATTTCTGACTGCCAGTAACAAAGCCTTAGAAGAGGCATTTCAACTTCTGGAATGGAGAAATAAATCTTCAAAAGCTGGGAAGCAGCCAAACAATAGGTGATCAGGAGAAAGAGACATTGCCAGAGAAAGTGGGCATGGGCATCTGGGGAATCCAGAGGGCCACTTTGATACACCAGGTGAATTTCACGTTAGATCCTGATTTATCATATTTAAAGATCTACTGAATTAGTTGGGACTGAAGTTAGTCATGGCCAAATTGTCTCAATGATTCCAATGAGGCTTCCCAGAATCTGACCAAATCTGGACTCAATCCAGGAAAACTTACTGTTTGAGAGATACCAGCACCAGATCATCCACTAGGCTGTAGTCAATAATTCGGCATTTATGCTTGCTTCCAGGCTTAAACATTTCAGGTTTGAAGGATTTGGGAGTATTTGACATATGTTTTAGCTATAAAAATACAGAAAAAGCTATAAAGATTTGATCCAAGTAGTAGTTTAGCTGCAGTAAGCCAACACACATAAATATATGGAAGTTTGATTAATGAGCAGATTCCAGTTTGAATCACAATGTAACTGCCACAAAATAACATGATGCAATCATCCACAAGGTTTGTTCTGCTGCTGCTGCTTGAAGTGTACATGCACACTAAAAAGAAACCTAGAAATGCTAAGTTCTGGACTTTCTTGATCTTGCATATCCTAATCTAGCAAAAATTAAGACATTATAGGACACATACATTTGACAGATGCTGAGTAACTATGTAACACCGAGTCAGTAATAGGTTTCGTGTTGACCTGCTCTTCTCTACATGAAAAACAAGATGCCTGAATCTTGCAAGACAATATCAACATTAAGTGACTTACATGTGCAAAAGCTAGACTGCCATCATCCAACATAAAGAGAGCACCAGTATTTTTGAAAAAGGTCTTCACTTTTGAATCTGCTACTACAGTGCCTATCCGATCACTGGAAAGTTGGCCAAGCTGTGTGCCAGGCTGAAGGAAAACTGGACGCAATGAAAGGCGTATTGCTTTGGAGCTAGGATTATTGGAGAGAATACAGGCTTTCACCTGGAAGGAAAAAACAAAATGGGAGGGAAAAAAATGTGCTTTTTGAAAGATTGGTAGGTTGCCAAGCAACAACAGAATATGCCAAGAATATCAACCTTATATTCTAGCCCTGATGAATGTGGAAGGAACAGTTTAGAAATAAACCCATTCATCTTTAAAAGTCATCTATAATTGACTTAAAGCAACTGGAAAATTTGTTGGTGTACTGAATAATAACTTCTCCTTTTCTGAACTCCCCTACAGTGCTGAATGACAGACAGACAGATAAATTTTGAGACTTGAATATATCGGTCGTACTTGTTTAAAATCCCTTGGCAACCTTATTCTATTTTACTTTTTTCACATATATTTTTTCTTCTTTTTGTATTTGGTTTATGTTGAAAAAAATAATAAAAAATTAAACAATAGACCCATTCATGCCAGAACTTATCTAAGCCCCACAGCACCACCTTATATAATTTAAGACTTGTTGTAAAAATCACTTACCGTCTGACCTGATGAATAATTTCTTGTTTTCAGAGGGCCCATGTGCATGAAGTCCACAATTCCAGTAAAGGAAGATAAAAAGCGTACAGAAATCCCAGAAGGAGTAACCTAGAAACATTCAGAAGGAAACAAATATTCTTCTATAGGCTAAAAATGAAATAGAATAATTGCCATGACAGATTAGACAAAGTTAGTGTTCTTGAGAACACAATCCTATATATGTTTAGAAAGGAAAATACCTACAACTTCCAGCATTCTCCAGCCAAAAAAAGTAGGATTTCTTTCTAATCAAGCATAGGATTGTACCCTGATGTGACTAAAGATATTTCTTAAGTTGCCTATTTTCAGCGGTTTATCATTTAACTGTATTAATACTATGTAGGACAGGGGAATCAGAGGATCTCAGTGAGGCCTTTGTGAATCTACTCTTATTTTTAATTGAATTGATGAGTCATAATTTGAATCATAATTGTCTCTTCCTCCTATAGGAATAAAATCAAAGCTAATGAAAAGTAGATTCAGTCTGTACACTCACAAACACAACATGCTGCGCTCATATCAGGGTAATGGCAGCTGTTTGCTAACTATTCAGACCCCTGTCTTAGTAGACAGGCTAAACTTTTTAAACTCAAGCATTGCTGAGTTATGGCATTTCACTGAGCACCTGCCAAGAGAGCAAACAGATGCTGGCCTTTGTCTCATCATCTTATTAAAAAAGTAAATTAATAGAGAATGGTTTACCTCTTGAACATGAGCTTTCACTACAAGGCCAGGTAGCAAGTTGTTGAGTGACCAGTTTTGCTCTTCTGTAGCAATGGCTGTAGCAACCTCAGACTTACTGATGGACATGCGGATTATTCTTCCACCATTCTTTACTTCTTCAATTAGGCAGTTCAGGTATTGACCTATCTTTAGTTCAGTTCCTACAAGACCAGTACACGCAAATATAATTTCTCATCAGCATAACTTTCCCATCACTTTTCTGTCATTATGAGTACATATTCTTGCATTTGCTTTTCCTCTTATTTGTTCACTGGCTCCACACTGCCATCACATTAAAAATGAAAAATATCATCCTAAAATGATACTCTGGTGGCACAGACCATGTTAATGGAAACAGACTTAATACACAAGCTTAACAACAAAACTAGTCATATAAAGAGGGCGACAGAGGGAAAGGGAGACAGAGGGAGAGAAACAGAATTCTGCCTGAATTCAGAAACGGAACAGAAGCATTCTCTAATTTTACAAACCACTCATTTCTACACTCACAAGTTTACACTCACCACTCCAAAGTTATACCTTTCTTAGTTGACTGGAGGTAACTCTGGGCCTTCTGGCGAGGCAGGAAAGCTTTTGTATTATGGACACCTATATCAATAAGGTAACCATGATCTTCCACACTAGATATGCATCCAGAAAGCAGCTGTTTGGAGAAGAAATGTTAACACAAAAGGGGGTTTATCATTAGACTGCTCACTGTTCCCTCTTCCTTCTCAAATGCTCTAAACCCCTTAAAAGGAATATGTCTAAACTTTTTCTTGAAGCCATAATGACTGCAGAGCAGTAAGAGAGGCATACATTCAACACAGCATTCCAGAGAAATTTCCAGTATCTCATCCAGCAAGAATAAAAGAAACTATTTCCTTTGCAATAGCGAGACATACTGGAGACATAGCAGTCAGACTGCTTGTTCAATATTAAATTAGGCAATAACTAAAAGAAAGATAAGCAGTGGTGTTCTACTCTGTATACCTTATCACTGCTCCAAATCCATCATAAAACCAGCAGAGATCAAAGCTATTTCCCCCTTCGCCCCCCCCCCACTTTAATTTGCAAATATTGCAGTTTTCTTCTGCCACTGAAAACTAACTAGGATAGCTTTGCTCAAACTGGTGCCCTCCAAATGTATTAACCATAATTCCCTCCAGATGTGGCAATGTGTGCTGGCGACTGAACTGTAGTGTACATCTGAGGGCACTAGACTGGGGAAGGCTATTGCATACACAGAGGAAAACCGGTGCTCACACCACCACAATACTAAGACAAAAGAATCTGTACCTGTTGACATTCTACCATTTACATGCCTATTAAACGTGTAAGAAAAATTTCCACATCCGAGCTGGACTATGCCGTTGTGCCTTGCAATTCTGTTTTGCTTAATTGTCTGGTTTTAGCCAGCAGCCTTAGAAGAGGAGTCAAGATTTATCACATAAATAAACTTAGACAACTCATGTGTTTCATACCATGCCAGGTCTCAAAGCTGTAGCGTTCAAAGACTTGTTGACATCTTTTGGGTTAATCGTAAGCTGTATACTCTGGCGTCCTGTAGCTGTCTTCTCCACCCCAACCACAGCACACCTGAGCAGCATTCCTGGGCAGAACAAGTCTGAGAGAGTATCCAGATCCTGCAAAAGATAATTCAAAGGATTGAAAACCAAAATAAAGATAACAAATGTCAATTGTGGTATCCAATCATTGGCTGTAAAACTTCTAGCAAAATAAACATTGTACCATAAGCATCTATCATATACCACTCAAAGTTTAAATTCTGTATAAAATGGAAAGCAAGCTGAAAGCAGTTTGACATTAATGGCAAAAACACTGGAAGACTGGAACAACAAGAGATGTGCCACAATCAAATTCAAGAAAAGTGCTGGGTGAAAAGTAAACATTTGTTTTCATTGTGCTTAGAAAATGATAATTTTAGTGGGCATTCTCCAGTTCCTGAGAGAGACAAAACACTTACGTATACTAACAATGTGTCAAGTGTTTTGCATACCCAAATACAGTTCCCTATCACTTAAGTAGTCTCTTTCCAAGGCAAACAGTGCAGGGGAAAGCAGACCATAGTTTGTCCTGTTGAACAGAAGAAATTCTGCAATTCAGTTATCAGCTGAAGAACCTATCAATCAGCTCCATAACATGCATCATGTCTTACCTCTACATGCTGATCTGTAGCCACTTGCTTATTTAGGATTTTGTTGTAGGCATCACAAATCCGTGTCACTTGCACAAATCCAGTGAGCCCATTTGGTAAGCTTATCACCAGCTCAAATTGATTGGACTCTTTCACACATCCTAAGAGCAGCATCCCCTCACTGAGAGACTGTTTAAAAACAAACAAGCAGTAACATGCAATCATCAGAGACATGCTTTTCTCAGATGTTTTACACACTGGACTACTCTTAGTAGCAAAAATGCATAAACTTAAGAAAATGACTAAAAGTTGACATTAAAGCTAGAAAAGGAAAACCACATCCTCCTCCTTTTAGGTTATTAAACCATCAATTAGTTCTCATTAGCACAACAACATAGATCTACTATACAATCCAATCTGAAATACTAGTTAACAGTATAACAAACAAACAAACAAACCACAACACAGGTTTATAGACTAACCTTAGCTGTAAGAAGTGCAAAATTCTTAACACTGGTTATTGTAATAGCTTTCGTCTCAATCTTGAGTTTTTTGGGATTAGTTTGATCTTGATGCTTTTTCTTTCTTTTCTGAGTTACTTCTTCATGTTGGGTCTAAGGCAGAATTTTTAAAAAATACTTCTTTAAGGTGCAGCAAAGCAGCTCATTAACACAAACTACAGGAAACAAGTTGAAGAGAATTTAAACTGGAAAAGAATATAGTCCAGTCTGCAAAATAAACCAAGCCATACATTAATGCTACAAGAACTAGCCATATGCTGGTAAAGAGACTTAAGACAACAGCTATCACTTGGATTACTGAACTAAATGATTCAGCAGAGGACAGCCTCATGTGTTCATTATTTGCATACTTTGAATAAATTATCCTGGTCTACTGTTGGCTGCCTGGATGCTTTTCCTTCTTGCTGTTTCTTCTGTATGCCACCTCGAGGGAAATTCTCTTCTACAGATGCCATGCTTATTCTTCTGTGAGGAAAAAGGCAACATTACCTGCACATACAAATTAAATTCATAGGGTAAAATCACCACAAATACATCATTTCATTGCTAAAACAACATCAGACTGCAAGAATATAATAAAGTATGACTATGGCTTATAATCAGAATTAAGGTAACTCTCCTGAGAGGTTATGACACTCTGTCATAGCCTTTCCTAACCTGGTGCCCTCCAGATGTGACGGACAACTGCCAGTATGAATCACAGGGATAAGAAAGGCTGCTCTAAACAGATGCAGTCCATGCCTTTTGCCATCAAACAAGAAGTCATCATCCACAATTGGATTATGTTCAAAACCAAATTGAGTCACAGCAGTGGCCACTACTTTAAAAAAAATACATTCTGAGAGGATCATTTTGTAACAAAATGCATACAGAGGGAACAGATACATTACTGAAGCAATGTAACAAAAAAACCCAGTAAGTACAATTTTCCCAAATCAGCTGCCAGAAACAAGATTCACCTTTTCATTTCTTTATCATAAGCCACCTTGAGACTATGGTAGTAGGCAGCACATAAATGGAATTATATATAAATACATTTCTGTGTGCTGTGGAATATGAAAAACAGATAGCAAACAATAAATAAAAAGGAATCTTATGTGAAGCTAAATCCCTGTTACATCTCTGTAGAAAACTCGCTCTATTAGCCTCAGGCATTTTAATCCAAACTGACCACCTGTCCAGTCATAAAGGAATCTGGGGGCATCTTTTTTCAGTTTGGATTTTTGCTGCAATTATCCAAGCAAAGAGTGGAAGTGGGACAGATAGGGAGAAAAGGGCAAGAGGCAGAAACTCCAGCAGGAACGGAGATGTACACACTCCCTCGCACAAGCCCTAGTCTAATATGGGGAAGACAGTTTGATTTGAAGAGTCTGATCAGCTCAAAGTTTGATTTTTCAAGGTTACAGTCTTTCCTTTCCTCTAAAAAAAAAAAAAAAACCAAAAACCCTTATTAGCACTCCTCCAGAAACTTGTATGAGGAATCTTGCAGTCATGGGAGAGGTGGCAAGAGTCATTCTATCAGCGATAATGCAAGCCCTTTGCCACAGTCTCTCCATCCAAGAGCTGAACACGTGTAACCCTCCATGCCGGATTTCTCAATACCCAGCTTCGCAGGCCACTTCTGCTGCAACTAGCTAGCCTCCATGCTTGCTTCTCTCTCGCTTTCCCAGCATTCATAACTTAGAGCTTCCACACTTACTTAATCCAGTCGCATGCTCACGCCGAAGGCACGGCTTCCTCTATAACCCGGAAACAAAAATGAGCTCAGGGAAAGCTACAGGAAGTATACTCTGAGGGGACTCACCAACCATAGAGCCAGAAACAATTGGGTACAACAGAAGAAAAAAAAAGGAACGGTCATTTGGTGAATATATAGTTCATCCAATCAAGAGTCTCCATTCGGAGGCAATTCCGCTTTATTCGGAAGTTGGCTTACTCAGCCAATCAGAGACGAGAGGAGGGATTCTCCGCTGTGAGTGCCATTTCTTTAGCGAAGGACATTGAGTGGTTATTGCAAGGAAGAAAGCGCGGACGGTAGGTTTTTTAGAAGGGTTGAACCTTCATTTTCTTGGAAGTGTGAGCAGGTTTATTAGAAAAGGAGAGTCTTCCTTACTACCTTATCACTCCCTTGACGGAAGTAACCAACCTGACTTTTCATGGTAATGGCAGGGGCATTTAGTAGGTGAATACACTAGAATAGATTAAAGGTCAGCACTTTTGTTTCGCTGTTCTTAAAAGGGTTGAAGGGTTGTTGGAAAAATGGGACTCGCTTTCTCCTACCATAGTCTCTTAAACCGCGTTATAAATGTTACCAATCTGCATATTAGTTTAAGGTGTAATCTTGTGCGCGTTTGGGCAGAAAAATGGTCATGCGCTTCCCAACATTCGGCAACCAGCCATAAATATGTCTACTAATTATGCATAGTTTTCTGTTCTCAGTGTATCAGACGTTTTAGATAAGGGAGGAAGAACGTGTGGCCTTCCTGATGTTGTCGGATTGCACATTCCATCAACTTTAACAAGCCTAGCCAAGTGATGGACGATGGGAGTTGCAATCCACCAACACTTGGAGAGCTATACAGTATATCACAGAAGTGAGTACACCCCTCACATTTTGTAAATATTATATCTTTTCATGTGACAACCCTGAAGAAATGATACTTTACTACAATGTAAAGTAGTGAGTATACAACTTGTATAACAGTGTAAATTTGCTGTCCCCTCAAAATCACTTAACACACAGCCATTAATGTCTAAACCGCTGGCAACAAAAGTGACTACACCCCTAAGTGAAACTGTCCAAATTGGGCCCAAAGTGTTAATATTTTGTGTGGCCACCATTATTTCCCAGCACTGCCTCATCCCTCTTGGGCATGGAGTTCACCAGAGCTTCACAGGTTGCCACTGGAGTCCTCTTCCACTCCTCCATGATGACATCATGGAGCTGGTGGATGTTAGAGCTCTTGTTCTCCTCCACCTTCCGTTTCAGGATGCCCCACAGATGCTCGATAGGGTTTAGATCTGGAGACATGCTTGGCCAGTGCATCACCTTTACCCTCAGCTTCTTTAGCAAGGCAGTGGTTGTCTTGGAGGTGTTTGGGGTTGTTACCATGTTGGAATACTGCCCTGCGGCCCAGTCTCCGAAGGGAGGGGATCATGCTCTGCTTCAGTATGTCACAGTACATGTTGGCATTCATGGTTCCCTCAATGAACTGTAGCTCCCCAGTTCCGGCAGCACTCATGCAGCCCCAGACCATGACACTCCCACCACCATGCTTGACTGTAGGCAAGACACACTTGTCTTTGTACTCCTCACCTGGTTGTCGCCACACATGCTTGACACCATCTGAACCAAATAAGTTTATCTTGGTCTCATCAGACCACAGGACATGGTTCCACTAATCCATGTCCTTAGTCTGCTTGTCTTCAGCAAACTGTTTGCGGGTTTTCTTGTGCATCTTCTTTAGAAGAGGCTTCCTTTTGGGACAACAGCCCTGCAGACCAATTTGATGCAGTGAGCGGCGTATGGTCTGAGCACTGACAGGCTGACCCACCACCTCTTCAACCTCTGCAGCAATGCTGGTAGCACTCGTACGTCTATTTCCCAAAGCCAACCTCTGGATATGATGCTGAGCACATGCACTTAACTTCTTTGGTCGACCATGGCGAGGCCCATTCTGAGTGGAACCTGTCCTGTTAAACTGCTGTATGGTCTTGGCCACCATGCTGCAGCTCAGTTTCAGGGTCCTGGCAATCTTCTTATAGCCTAAACCATCTTTATGTAGAGCAACAATTCTTTTTTTCAGATCCTCAGAGAGTCTGTCAAGTCTGTCCCTGGGTTAGTGTTATATATCCCTGGCCTGTTTAGTGTTATTTTAAAACTTGGAATTGTGGCTTGACTCACCCTCAACAAAGCAGAGTTGTAACCAAGAGTTGGTTGTTGGGGTATGACCATGGCTTGTCAGGGAAGAGATAAACTAGAGTTCCCAGTATGGATGTAACACTACCCAAGTCATATATGGTGCATCCCTGGGTTTTTAGATGCTTCTGCTGACATGAGGCTACGTGAGAGCAATAGAACCATGTGTGCTACTGCATTGGTCCACACCTGGTAACTCAGTCCTGAAATATACTCAAATCCGAGTTGCTGCTAACATGGGAACCAGATTAGTTACCAATGCCATAATTCTTACAAGTAAGTCCACAAAAGATGTCCAGCTCTTACCGGCCTGTCTGCCCATGTGCTCAAAAGTTCGTCAGTTGCACTAAATAATTACTGGTGGGACAAGTCTTCTTTCTCCAACTTTCCTAGCTGTTGAGGTTTAGGTGACTTAAGCAAGTCAGTATCTGTAAGCCTGGATTGCATTTCTAAAAGTGGTACTATTAAATTTGAATCTCTTAATCTCTGAATGTTAACACTAATGCAGAGAGGCTATTTTTTACAAATATTGAGCAAGCAATTTAGGATCACCAATTTCAGAAGTTCATCTGTATGCAATGTCATAGTAGTGAATGCTCTCATGTGTAAATCTGTACAAATGGAATAAAGGTCAGCTTTGGCTGAAAGATACTTTAAGGGCAGTTTATGACACATGGTAACTTTCTTTTTAAAATCTAGGACTAACAGTAATGGCAGGACATGATGCTGGGACACAATATCAATTCACAGGAATTAAGAAATACTTCAATTCCTTTACTATAACAGGCAGAAGAAATGTAAGTATCCACCCAAATAGTTGCATAGCATGACTTTGAAAAGTCTAGCCTGACTGGTATCTTTTCTGTTTTTAGTGTGTATTAGCCACATATTCGGGTGTTGCTTTGCTCATCCTTTACTTTAAACTGAAGCCTAAGAAAAAAACCCCAGCTGTAACAGAGAAATAAAATGGGTAAGTGTCTTATTGTATAAATGTCTATCATTATTGAATAAGAAGTTTAAATATAAGCTGGTTCTCATATATCTAGGCCTTTATATCTCCAGCCACTCAAGTAGATCATGGTTCATCAAATATATAATACCACTTCAGAATCCTAAGTATTACAATGCTACAAGTAAATAATGCAAGACTTTAACCAAATTAATACGATGAATGGTTATCTAGTCAACAAGATTTTTACACTTGCATATTCCAGTTTCAGCTTGGCCATGAAGACATTTATTGGTTCTAGTTTATTTGCTTGACAAACTCCATATTGATCATGAATTAGTTCCAAAGTGTGTAGTTTAACTTGTAAATACCAGATGCAGATACACAGTATTAGCACTAGGTTTGAATGAGAAGCAAATTGTCCTGGATGTTTGCTATTGATTACAATTCTATGGATGCTTTATGTAATTTGCTAAGTCTCTCAGCAGGTGCACACTTAACTTTTTATCTGATAATGTGCAGCTGCATGCATTGGGTAGTGTCCAGCAGAGTACAACTGCTAATGTAAATTACATTATATTAGCATAAATTACAGTAATACAATGCCAATAATGTTAACTATTGGTGTTGGCTTTGTGCTACCTTAATTTACACCTAGTAGTCACCTCACTTTGGATACCATCCTACATGTCCTGCAGTTGCTGCCTGAATGGCATAGCTGAGGATAGAAATATATTGTGATAGCTGCTGTTTGTATTTCCTCACATCAGTTATGCACATACTTTTTGTTCTGTCCAGCAGTCTAATTATCCAAGCTCAGAAGATAAATTGTAACATAATGGGAGTTGTACAAGATGAGGTGACTGAATCTTTTTCTTGGCAGGTTACTGACATGCTGATATTGGACCTTCCATATTGTATTGCTGTAACTGGTAGAAGCTGATATCCTTCAATAAATTATGAACAGTGATGAAGTTTGTCTTCTGTACACTTGCCAACCCAAAAGTAACTCTTTTATGTGACCAGCTTTCAGAATTTTGTAGTTAGTTAAGGAGTTCTACTCTGAAATCATAAATGAGAAGAGTGCATACTTAAGTGTTGTATCTGAAAGTAATGATATCCTGCCTTCTATTTAGAAGTACAGGTGGCTTGTCACTTAGAAGCATTGTTGATCTATTTGTAGTACAGCAGCAGGTCTTCATCTATCCCCTTTCTTATTACATTTAGATTGATGTTTTGGCAACCAGTTATGGCCAAGACAAATATGTCCAAAGCATGGAAAATGTATTTTGAAGATTGACCTTCTGCCTACTTAGTTTTTGCCCTGCCCATAATTCGTTCAACCTCCACGGGAAGGCAGCACTCATTTTCAAAAAGGCTGATTGCTTCTGCACTATGGCAGCCTTCCCTAACCTTGTGCCTTCTGGACATGTTTGGATTGTAACACCCGAAATTCCCAGTCAAAGGCCCTGCTGGATGGGAATTGTGGCCCAAATGCCTCTGAGGGTCACCAGGTTGGGGAAGGCTGTACTATGGGCACAATTCAGAACCATCTATGTTTGATGCATATAAACCTTTGCACTCAAAGGTTTATTTGCATCCTGTTCATGAAGCAAGGAATGGTGTGGCTATGTTCACTGCTGCTACACCTTGCACTCTGCATTTCATCTAGCTGGCTGTTTGCGGCCATCTAACAAAGCTCTGCCGAGTGGAAGGAGACTGGTGTGTCATTTGGGCATGACATAAACTATTAGCCCCAGATTCCTTGGCACACATACCCTTCCTCCTTGGAGAGGAAGTCAGCACAGTTATATAGGCTGTAGGGCAGGGGCTTTGTATTCAGAGCTCCAGCTCTGAGATCACAGGACCTCAAAGCTAGGATTCCTGCATCCCCTTAGACAGTTAAGAAGGCCACAGGATTGTACTCTAAATACAGTTTAGCATCATACGAGCTAGGCATAAACCTTGTTGATCTCTGTAATATCTTTTTGGTAACAATCTTGAAATTATATTTTCCATTCTAAAATTTGACATTCATCTGAGGCTTGTTTTAGATAAATACACACACTCACCAGGCATAAACCAGAATTTTTTTTTACAACATACAAGTTCCTAGAAGCATAGGTTTTCTCTGTGGATACCTTTTTTCCCAATCCTATAGTAAATGTTGAGAGAGAACATCACAATTCCAGAAATGAAAATCTTCCCCACAGTACAAAGAGATACAAATATCCCACCACCCTACAGTATTTATTTTGAAGTTACAAGGGTTTCCATTTTACCTCATGAAGACAAAACTTATGGTGGTAGTAGGATCCTTTATATTAGAACTGTGCAGAAATGGGAAAAAACATCCAGTACTTAGGACCCACATATCAAGACAGGAATAAACGGAGAGAATAATTTTATTATAAAATATCAAAAGTATAAAACTGTACAAAAATGCAAAACCATGACGACTAGATCTATACTGCTGAATTTCAATAATCAGTATATAATTGTGTCAATTTTTCACTGAAAGCATGAATTAATGAGTTTGTCATTATGCACAAAGGGTACAAAGGTTCTTATCTGAATAACTGGGGTCGAGAGGGGAAGCAGTAAAGATCCTTGTGATGGTAGTAGTCTATATTTATATATTGAACTATGCAGGCTTGTCAACAGTTTCATAGTTTAAAAAGTTTCAAGTAACATTGTAAAAGTCCCATTTCCTTAAATGCCACTCAATTAAATTTTAGCAATTTTCAATCGCTTTATATACATTTGTTCGATTTGTGCTCTTCAACTCTGAAGAAATAACATCACTTGCATAAGTCAAATAACCATTCAGGTAAGGCCAAAACAACTTGTGGGCCACAGCTCCCATCATTCCCCACCATTGGCTTGACTGGTTATGGCCAATTGGAGTTTCCTAGGCCAAAATAATTGGAGGACAACAAATAGCCCACGCTTCAGGCCTCCTTGTTGCACTGTATAAAGCACCCAGCTCCAAACATTCTACTCTTCTACAACTTACATAAACAAGTCTTACTAAAAGTCCTAGGTAGCACTAAACCTGTGCTAATGCCAAATAAGTGCTTTTAAAAGGCTGAAAAGTATGTGCCAGCCTTTGTATTATGCAATTGGCACTGCAGTTCAGCAGCCCCCTTGCCATTTTTTTGAATGAGGTTATGAAAGGTAGTCCCATATACTGTATTTTTAAAGCCATATCCTTAACTTCTGCTAAGCCTATGTCAGTGGCATTGAATATGCACTGGAGGCAAAAATAGAAGTTAATTGAAGGTGTTGCAGCAAAGCAATTGGTCTTTGCAAGTTATTCTAAGATCTTCACATGACTCACACAAATAAGTCTTACAGTTTTGTGGTTCACTGAGGACTGTATGCCCCAGCAGCAAGAAGTAAATTTCTGCGAGTAAAATGGAGGTGTATGACAGGGGTTGATTTGGTCATATATGTACCCAGTAGCAAGTCCTGAGAGCTTTCAGGAAGGTTTATATGTCCAGTGGCTGTAGTAAAATCATCTGTTTCTAAGTCTTCAAAGGCTTTCACAGCATCCCACAGCTTCACAGTGTTATCCATTGAACCTAGCAAACAAGAAAAAAATTGAAACAGGTTTTGCATTTACCAATTCAAAATAAAAGGGAAAACCACCCACTGCATGCTACAATCAATTTGTCATGGTTTGGAATATTAATTTCTCAGTCACTACTAAATGTGCAACCACTATGATTTCCAGCTTAACATTTTTAAAAGAAAAAATACTAGAATAATCTAGGCAAGAAGTACAGTATCCATGAAATCAGTTCTATTGGGCAAGATAACTTCCCAAATCAAAATTGGTTGATATGATTACAAAATTTTACATTAGTAAGTAATCAAAAATTTCAAAGTAACATTTCTAGGTTTCTTAGTTTGCTTAAAATGTAAAGTTAAAAACCTTGTAAGAAATAAAATTGTAATTAAGCCACATTTATAGCTACATCATATTTGTATATATAGCATGAGAAAGCTTCAGCTTCTATTTGTCCTATGGAGCCAATAGAAGCACATTTGGGGAAGATGAAAGGAGAAAAAAAATCACACTTTTCAAAACCACAACAGTGTACAGTTTAACTTGAGAAAATCTCACTCCCCATTCAATTATGTGAACTTAAATGGGAAAAGTATATACAATGATACAAAGGCACAAGCAGATTTGTGACCAAGCCAAGTGTGTGTTTGGTTTTTTAAAGACAACTTCCCCAAAGGAGGTTATTTTAGCTAAGGTACCATTTACATCTCTAATGAAAACATTTTGGCAATTTGTCACCTAAGACCATGCTCAGCTCTACTCATAAGAATAGCGAAATTAAGTATTAAATATATACTTGCTAAACGTTCATTAAACTGAATGTTAAGGCTGCAATAAAACCTGTGCAAATATACCTGGGAGTAAGTCCTACTGAGTGGAAATACTTAGGATTGTACTGCACATCTTCAAAGTTAGATGGAAATCAGAATGTCAAATATTACAACTGATAGTATTTTTGAATGAACAAATGTATTGAATTAAATACCTGTTGCTAAGATCTCTCCATCTCTACTGAATTTGAGTGCATAGATTGTGTCTGTGTGTCCTTTTAACTCTCCCACCATCAGACCGTGTCCAATATCCCAGAGAAGCACTCTTCCATCTGTCGCCCCAGTTGCCAAGAATCTTCCATTAGGAGAAAATGCTAATGAATGAACTGGTCCCTAATACAACAAAAATGAACCTGTTATAAAATGAAATTAGTTTCTAAATGTTCGTGGTTACTTAATAGAAACAACACTAAGCTTATTAAAATATTTATTTTAAATAACTCATGAGCTTAAACAAATTCAGAAATGGATCAGAGTCTCATACTCTTCTAACTGAACAAAAAAAACCTGCCTCTTTGTTTCTTTGTATAGTCTTTACTTTATATTGTTCAGAAAAAAAATCCTTTGTTCTGAAGCTGACCAGCATAACACATTACCATTCAATAGTCATCTCTAACACCAACCATTACAGTTAGTTTTCCAATTCCTTGGAGTTGGTTTCAGACCAGAATCCAAGGAGTTAACCATGGCCAGTAGAATGTGTTACTTATTTCCTTTGGGCAGCAAACTTATCATTCCATATCATAAGCTGCTTCTCAAAGGATACTCAGTTTAAGCAGCAATTTCGTAAATGGCACAGAGGTGTTGCTCCTTGAGAGACAAATTCAGAGAACCCCTGGGCACACAAGAGTAAGTTGAGCTATCTTTTTGATCTTGTCTTAATAGCTTGAGAAAAACACTGGGGGAATTCACACTTCAGGACAGCCTGCCCTGGCAATAAGCCACAGTGAACAGCCTGCAGTGTGCCTAACAAATGATCAGGCTCACTGTGGATTTTTCTCCCCCATTCATCCTACCATGATTATTCCAGGGGATACCACAGCAGGACTGACTTTTGCACCCTCTCTGTTGTGATTTCATACATTTTTCATTCAGTGCATCAAAAGCACAACAGGTATGAACCCAGGGTACTGACCCACAGAGGATCTAATAGGCTTTTTCTATCTACTGCTTTTTCTGGACAGTTGTCAAAAAGCAAGCTGTCAAGGGAAAGTGAAGACACAAATGATCTTTCCTCAATCATCTTTTTTCCCTTTGCCCTGACAGACCTTAGGATGATGCACAGTTTGTACTTCCTTCCAAAACTGTGGCTGGACAGAATACTAAAACACATCCCATTCCTTTTAAAATGGGGGCTTAACAGGGTGATTTTAAAAACTGTGACATACACAGCTTTACTGGAACTCCCATAAGAAATGGATCTGCCCCCTGAAGACTCTTCATCAAAGGGGCTCTTATTTTCCAACGAATATGAAACAAGTAAGAAGCAGTGCCTGATACTCTTAATCACTGTTTGACTACAATTGTAAGGAATGGCACAGCGTACGCTGAAGTGCAACATTTCCCAAAACTGAGAAGAATATGGCCAGGTGGTGCAGCATTTGTACTAGCAGTCTTGCACAAGGAACAGTAGTGATGGCAAAAAAAGTCAAGTAAAATTAGATGTGGTCCATGGACAATATCTTGCTAATTTTATTTGTTACATATATACAACACTTTTCTGCCAAAGCACTCAAGATAGATTCGTTAAAATGATTTACAACAAAAGTGTGAACTTGAGGCTCTCCAGATGATGTAGAAGTGCAGTTTCCATCAGCCCTTGTCAACATGGCCAAAAGTTATAATTTTATTTATTTAAAACATTTGTGTCCACCCAGCCCCACCCCCACCCCCCAAAATTGATGATGAAGACTGCAATCCAGGAAGGAGCTCTAGTTCAGTGATAGAATAAGGCAGCTTCCTAAATTCCTAACATCTGGAGGCCCACAATTTGTCCAATCTGGATTACAATTTTAGGAAGCATTACACAAAAAAGTAAGCTGGGAGTGGGGGTAGAAAAATAGGCCCATTCAGGGAGCAGCTGATTCATATTTTTTGCAATGACATTACATAACAGCCAGATGGAATCTGCACTGCAATTGATCCCAATCAAACCAGAGGAGGTGGTCTCATTTTCTCTTCCTCTGATATAACCAAGGCTTTGAGGGTTATATTGATATAACCTTTGATATAACCAAGGCTTTTTGTAAGTGTTTGCAGGACAGAAGAATCAGAGTAAGAGAGTACAGCTGTGAACAAAGAATAGGTTGCTTAGCTATAACTGGTTTCTCAAGCCTTCAGCTGTGCGTTCACACATGGGCTCTGTGCCAAGGACTTTAGGCAGGAACCCCTGCTCCACCATCCTAATGTGCATGTTCCTGATGGGTTCCTGCCAATTACCTCAGTTCGCCTGGGACCACCTACTGTGCCTTGGAACTGAGAGACAGACTTGATATGAATATCTGCATCGACACCATTACTAAGACCTTAACCAACTTTGATTTCTATATCCAAGTTGACATTGATGCTGGAGCAAGAACAGTGGGAGGGTTGTGTAAATACAGAGATGACCACTTGAAGAACCAGAGTCACAAGCAAGCAACCTGTTCTTCATGGTCTCTGCATCACACACAGACAAGGAACAAGTAGACCAGTGTCATAACTATAATATCCAAGAAAGGACTGTGCTGCTGAAACAACAATCTGACTGGGCGCCACTGCCCAATCTGTAGAGTTTTATAAACCTTGATGACATCAACTATGTTGCTTCTCTGCATGGCTCTGGCAAAGGCACTCTACCACCAAATGTAACCAATGTAATGCCCTTCTGGTGGAATGAGCAGTCACTCAGGAACTGAGTTCTAGCCCAGCAAGCTCATAAGTTAGGATGACAGCATGTACCACCCATTCTCCAAAGCCTTGCAAAAGCACAGGCAAGCTCTTGTACATTTCTCCACAACAGATGGAAGACTTTTGAGATCAACAAAAAAAAACTTGGCATGGGCCTTATAATAGGGCCAAAGCCCATTTCACATCAAAAGAATGCCAAGCATGTTCCATGGATGAAGACGGTGAAAGAGGAAAAGCTTATAGAATTCAATGCCTTGATTTACATGAAAGTTGAACCACTCCTGGAAGAAAAGTCATGTCTGAGCCTTTAGATCACCTTCTCTCTGTGAAACCATGTAAGGAGTATTTCTTTTAGTTATCTGTTTAAAGCTTTTAAATACCATCCAACTACAACAGTCTCAGATCAAACTTCAAGGCATACAACTCACTGGACTGATATGCTGAGGTCACCAGAAAATCACTTTCCAAGAAATGAGCTAAAGATCCACAATTACTAGATGCTCAAACTGCTTAGAAGTCAATGTTTTGAGTATTACAAATAAGCTCTAAGGCAACATCACCAATCAAACTGGTAAAATGAGATTATTCACACCTTTTAGAAACTGTCAGGTCAGTGGGTGTAGAAGAAAAAAGCAAATCCTTTGATGGAATTTTGTAATGCTAAAATAACTGTCTGGTACACATACATTCAAGAAAATTTCTTGTTCATCAGGGAGTGTTGAATTGCAGAATGCAATGGATAGGGCAAGTAATCGGATGTACACTGAAAGTCAGAAAAAAAATATTTTCTGGCTCAGTTCCTTGCTCCTTCCAAGATATCTGGATTGTAAGAGAAAACAATGGTATATGGTTTCTCACTGCAACTTCCATGCTGTAAACAAACTGTGCATAGGTCTGGATACTTGGATGTTGCATCTGACTGCAATCCTGGGTCAAGTGATCTGAGCTTGGCAGAAACCAAAAAAATTCTCCCCTGCATCTGTGAAATATACTGAGTGAACCATGGCTATGTCAGCCACTGTGGTTCAATGAGGAGCCAATCTAAGATTTTCACCAAAGCTCTGGTGAGTAGCACACACAGTAGAAAAAGGTAGAAGCTGCCTGTTCATTGGAGCAGAAATGTATCTCTTAGAGAACCGAGACCCAGTGTGGCCATGCTGCAGAACTCCTCACACACTGAAGTCTCCACAGTCTCAACAGATCCATTTCAGAGTAACCAAATACCAACCAAGGCTGGACTGTAGAACTCAAAGATCTAGTTGCCATTTGTGGAATGTTTGGGATACCCTTCTGTGAGGTTCTTCCTCAAACATTATCTTCACCTATTATGCTTATTGCCATGAAGTTTAAGTTATATGGTACAGCCCAGTCAAGCACCTGCAGATGGGTAAATTTAGACAACTGAATTCTACCTTGTTTGTTCAGGTAAGCAACAACAGCAGAGGATCCTCTGACCTATCACCTTCATCTTGAAGACCTTGCGCATATGCCACACTGCCAGAATTGAGAATCAGTTGATGTGAAAGAACCACTCTTGTATTGAGTAGACTCCCTGTACTGTCAACATCTTGCAGTGTGTCTCACAATGATGCATCTGTAGTGAGTCTCCTGCTTTGAGGAAAGTAATATATAAAGTCTGGAAGAGAGGAAGTATCTCATGACCTGAGTTGGTCTGGAACTGGAAAAAGTTTTAACATCTCTTTGATATTGATGCTATCAGTTTTAATTGTGATGTCAGGGCCAAAGCTGTTGGGACTGATAAATCCAACATAGGCAGTAGAACTATGCAACTATCTCACCTCCTTTTTGTTCTTCTTATCCAAGTCCAATCTGGAAGTCTGAGTTTCCTTCACAATGTCTTTGCAATGGAAAGTGAAAAGGTTTGCTCTTGCAATGGAGGGGAAGGGTAACAGGCCATGACTAGAGCCTTGCTCCTCCACTGCTTTCCAGGCTTTTCTCCATAGGTTGACATTTGTCTTTCTGATCTGTTTTTCTTGGCCATCTTGGTAAAGGCCTAAGATCATTTATCCATGACACACCCAAGGCAGAACCAGCCCAAGGAGCACTCTTCTGTCAGGGAAAGTTTGCTGCCACACCACACACCTATGTAACAGGACTGTTAAAGCTATATGTGCTGCTATTGCCCACATGATATAAAGGATCCACGGAAACAGAAACATTCAAAATAATGAAAAAGTGAAAGTGAGAAAAATAGCAGAATCAGTTTAGAAGAAAATAAATGCTAAGAACCTCAGCCTACAAACTTCCATCAAAAACAAGAAAGAAGCTCCACCAAGACTACCACAGTGACAGTCAAAGAGGAACTGAGGGAAAAGGTGGGAATCAGCTAGGGAAAAGGTAGGATGGCAGGGGAGAGATTCTCATTTCAGTTCCTCAGCTGGAAACATTTCCTGGATGTGGCTTCACAATGACACAGAGCCCATGTGTGTGACACACAAAGCCCATGAGCAACTTAGAGAAGCAGGTACATATTTAACTATTTTTTATCACTGTGTACAAATGGTTGAACAATCTAAGAACTTAAGACCAGCACTGCTGGATCAAACCAAAAGCCCACTAAGTCAAACATTCTGTTTCCCACAGTGGCCAGCCCAATGAAAAGCCCAGGAAGCAGACAACAAGGGCTACAGTTAAGTTAGTTGTATGTAGTATATAATGAAATCATTTCATGTGAATCTGACATTCACATACCTTATGTCCTGTGAAGATTCTTACACAGTTCCCATTCAACACATCCCAAAGTCGCACCGTCCTATCGGCTGAGCCTGTAGCAATATAATTGGAATTTGGATGGAAACGCGTACATGTGACATCAGCAAGATGGCCAGCAAAGATCCTCAAAGGCTGGTAGTGATCTGTAGCCCACAAGCTTTAAAACAAATACAAAGAACATTTCATAAAGGGGAAAGATGAGACCCATAGCTCAACCGCTTGCTTTTTGGAACCAAAACAAACACTACCTCCAAGTTCACTAAGTTACAGAGTTACCAGAGACTTATTTGTGGATAATGCATGCTGTTAACTGGAGTTCCTCTTATTATGGGCAGGCTTGACTTTCCATTTTAATTCCTTCTCTAATACATAGAAGAACTCACTAGAAATTAACACATTTTCAGTCAAGTATCCTAAAGTAACTTAGTAAAATCTCTTAAGACTAATTTAGACTCACAAGAGAAAACTGTATGTTTATGCCATGATGGAAAACTTGTCAGTTCTTACCGAGCCACTCTGTCATGTCCACCAGATACAAAGTAATATCCATAAGGAGAGAACTGTGTGTCCCATACAGGGTAGTTGTGTCCTTTATATCCCACTAGACAAGAAAATGTTAAGAGGCTCCATAATCTGATAGTGCCATCTTCAGAAGATGACAACAAATAGTTCCTGGCCAAGAAACAAAAATGTCAATACTGAAGTTATTGCACAAATTACAGCATGTGAGATAATGCATTTCAAACTTTTGAAGCAGTTTATCTTCATCTCACACCATAGCTAAATTGAGATGTGAACTCAGATCTTTCATTTCATGCTCTTAGCTACTACACTGGCTCATTTAAGTATGCTGTTTTGCTGATCTTCTAGAAATCAGTCCATACATAACTCCAAACTTTCTGTATAGTAAAGCAAAATTTGCTCCTTAGTGTTTAAAGAATTCACATCCTGTTTCTTGGAAATTATTATTTCCTATTCATGTTTTTCAAACATAGATCTTTATCCAAATATATAATGTGACATATGGCATACTAATCTGTATGCACAGGTTCACTGCTTCATCATGCATTTCGAAGTCTGAAACTACATGAACAGGTCCTCTACAAACATGTAAGCGAGATTATGATTTAAAGAAATGAAACTGAAACTTCTATTATATTTTGCATTATCTAATACATACAACCTTGAGTTTGGAACTATGGCAACTGGTTGGGAATTATAGATATTAAGTGGACATTGACTTAACACCATTGTCCATACTGCATTCTATAACACATAAATGTAGCAATATAGTTTTCACCATCTTTTTTAATATTGTATAAAGTCTAGATATGTGATAAAGCTTTCAAATACATCAATAATGTTATTCAGTTCATGAAATTCAGAATGTTTTCTTATGCCCAATACAGGTGTCATTATCCATTACCCACCCACCTGCAAAAAACTATTATTTTACCTATCAGGGCTGAAACTGGTACCATAGACAGGTCCACTGTGGCCGTATAAAATCTTCAACTCACTAGCTGTTTTCTCATCCATTATCCTTTCCAAAACATCATCTGATTCTTTATCTATTAGACTGAGATCTAAAATTTAAAAAACAATAACCTAAAGTACATATTCATTCAACACAGATCATTTTGATAGTAATGCGTACCAAAACATATGTATTTTTAGCTTTCTATCAGACCACCTTCATGACCTAACATTAAATGTAATACAAATGATGTAGTTCAGAGTCCTTAAGGGCAATATCCTATATTGATACTATGCTCCTGCTGTTTCTTGTGCACTAGAAGGACTAATCCCGCTCATGCATTTAACCAATGCATTAAAAATACAACCCTGGAAACAAGTGGAAATGCTTGTTTCTGGATCAAGTCAGTTCAGCAGAGTTCCTTTTTCTGACATCCACTAACCAGCTCCATCCTAGAAAGTAGCATTTCAATTTGTTTTAGATTACCTGTAGAACTACAATGGCCCTGTTGCACAAGCAGTTGTTCCGATTGGTACACACACTATTTTATAATAAGTTCCCAATGAAATCATCAATGCTTATATCAGATAATCATTGTGAAACTATTAATTGATGGGTCACAGTATATAATATTCAAGTACTGCTGGCAGCTATATATTAGTATTAAATTCTACATGAAGTAAAATAATTCTTAGTTAAGGACTGTAGTAACAGTATTTCACCTGACCTTTTCTACGTGTACCCCTCCTTTAACAGTTAATGTAAACATTATAATTGAAATTCATTTCTATTACCTGCTGCTGATTTCACACTACGTAGCTTTTTAGGTGTCACAGACCATACTCTGACAGTAGAGTCTGCAAAGCCTCCAACGATCATACTAGAGTCATCTGTAATATCCACTGCTGTAAGACCCTATTTGCACAAAAATCACAATGTTAAGAGAGTGATACTGCTGAGAAATAGCTGTCTAACCAAGGTTCAGAGATTAAGTGCTAGTTACCATATTATCAACACAAATCACTTTTGTAAACCAAATGTTATTTTAGCAGCAGAGATCAAGTTCTAGGTGACCATGCTAACAAGCCCTGACCTACTATTCTTAAGTCCTCTAGCAAAACTGAAGAAGAGTTTGCACCAGGAGTTGAAAACACATGGGAAAGTGAGGAGACTCAGTGATTCAATGCATCTTTAAAATCAAGTGTGTTCAGTGAAATCTTAACCCTTCACTTTCCACATGTTCTTGACAGAACTTTGACTGTAGGCAAGGTCTTTCTCTCCTATTCAGCATGAAGTAGAACGCACTTCCTGTTTATTAGTTATTTTTGATGCAAGGAGATCATGAAAGCCACAAGCATATAGTTACCAGAAACATCTGATGTTGCTTCTATCATCTCACAACTTTATTTTAAATCCTTATAATTGATGTAGCCAAAGGAAGTTTTACAAGACATTTCCTCACTTAGAGCATGGGTAACAGATTGTATTCCTGTATTGGGATTAATAACAGGAATAACAGCAAGGAGTTAGTGTACAGTGTCCAGCACAGATTTTTAGTGTAGGTATAAAAGCAACATATATGAGTTATGCTTAATTGCCGTGGACTAGCAAGAGGGCTCAGCAAGGCATGAGATCACCAGCCAACTGTCAACTCTTTATGTCAAGGATGAGGTAAAGATGTTTACACACCTTTCTGCTGAAGCTAATTAGTATAGTTGGATCTTCTCTCACCCTCTTTCCTTTCCCCTGCTTGCAGCTTCACCCCTCTGTTTTCCAGAAAGGGGAGTTAGCCTGTGGTTTACTGACAGCCTCTGAAGCAGTGGGAGAGAGAAAGATTTCTATAAAATCCATAGTCTGTTGGTTTGCTCTTTAGTTTTCCTCTTCGAACAAAGAGCATGCACATGTCTAAACAATTTGGTGCCCAGGGGTGCCAAATGTTACATCAGAATGCCCTGTGACTATGAGAAAGATCTGTGTGAACTTTTTCTTTGCTAGTTAATTGTTAATCTGCATCTATATTCCAACTCTGTATTCATTAAACTGTATATCCTTGACACAAGTGGTTTGTGTTTCCTCCCAATGAGTCTTGAATGTAAAGTGAGATGGCCTGGACAGACAAGGTCCCTGGGATAACTATAATCCTGTGCACAGGAGTTGCATTCAGCTTCATGCTCACATGCTACTTCTACTCAATTTTCAGCTACCTTCTCTTCCTGCTACAGTCTCCAATACCTTATTCTGAGCCTACCTGAGGAATATGGGAAGGAAAATAACCTTTTGTGTGAGCAGGTTATCATTTATGCAAAGTCTGGATACAAACCAATGTTGGATTGTGCCAATATTCACCATGTTCCAGTGCAGGGGTAGGCAAGTTGTGGCCATCCAGATGTTCTAGCCTAGAATTCCCATGATCCCTTACTATTACCTATGTCAGAGCTGATGGAAACAGTAGCCCAAATCATCTAAAGCCCAAAAGAAGGTCCCCACCCCTGTTCTAAAAAATTCAGTAAAAGTATCTGGAAATGATTGCAGTTCACTTATACAGACTTGCTTTTATGATAAGGGTTCTGGGTTCAATCAGTAATATCTCCAGATAGGGTGGTGAAAAACTGCTAGTCAGTGTAGAAAATGTTGAACTAAATGGATGCATGGTCTGATTCTGTATAAATTGTGTACCTCTTCTCTACAAACTCTAGAGCTAAAGAAACAAAACCAGGAAATGGTATAAAAGGGAAACATGAAGAACAGACAAAATATTAGAGATAGCAAGCTACAACATTATTTATTTAAATGATCTGAACTTGTTTTATTAAACCTATCTATCCTACAGCAAGTTATTCTGCCTTCCAGAAAAATGAACTGTACTATACAATGTAACCAGCTATGTTTTGGCATAGGATTTTTAGCCTACATGAATGGGCTAGGTAATACTTAATACTTTTACAAGCCCATGATTTACTGGTAACTACAATACCAGAGGCAAGCAATAAGATGTCACTAAGAAAAATCAATTTATTCTGACAAATAAGCAAATATGTATTATTACAGCACATATATATCCCTCCTTTCTCTCTTGCAAAGAACCCAAGACAACTTATATAGTCTTCCACTCCACTGTATTCTCATAACAACAGACCTGTGAGGTGGCCCAAAGTTACCCAGCAAGTTTCATGGCTGAATGGAGCTTCCAGGTACCCAGTCCAATACTAAAACTGCCAGACCACAGTGGCTCAAGTAGAAAATGCAACACTTGAGCAACCAAACAATGCTATGAGGAAAAAAAATCCTAAATCCAAAGCACTGGCTATTTCCAACAGCCTTCTAGGTGAGGTCTAAATCAACGTAGGTCCTTCTACAACAGAATGCCTATCTAATATGAATATTACCATAAAGTTTTTGTTGGTTTTACACTACAGCTCTTTCTTTCAATATTAGAGAGGTATGTGTATATTTATTTAGGCGTAATTGATTATTTCCTCCATAATTGGTGAGTTTTAAGTATTACATAATTCTAGTAGGTATGAACTTGGGACTTTCACATAATGGGGAACCAGGTTAATATACTCCCCTTTCATTATGCATATTACATATTACGTAATGTATGAGCTTCAGCTTCCATGCAAACACACAATTGCAGAGACTTCTTTTATGAGACTTCTTCTCCTCAAACAAGAGGAGAGTAAAAGAAATTCCTTGAATTGGGCCTCAGTGTACCTGTTCACTGACACAAAGCCTAAAAACAAAAAGAGAGTCAAAACTTGCAAGGAGCTTCAGAAACAAAGCAGAAAATGGGAGTGCTTTTGTAAACTTCTTATCACTGTTTGGGGTTTTTTGGGGGGGGGGTGTTTTGGAATGGATGCTGCTGATCCATTTTCCTCTTCTCATATGCAGGCTCCTGCTAATATGTTAAAACTCCAACAGGTATACTATCAACCACAGCATTATAATCCATGGAAAATGTATAGTATATCTGATTCTATACATAGATACAGCCTATGTAGGGTGGAAAAAAACTGCTGCACTCAGACCCTGCAATACACTTAGGTGGCGAATTTACACCTGCAAGTGCAGCAACTTGGAGCTGGAGAGAAGGAGGTTGAGGCATTGTGAGGATATTTAGTATTGTGGTCCTGCCTGTTTCCCCCACTCCTGGAACAGCCACAAAAGCCAGAGTTGCAAGTGCACAGGTTTTTTCATGTTGGCCATGAGGGCATCTGGAGTTCCAGCTCCAACCAGAGAGCAAATGGAAAGAGCCTGGGACTCTCAAAAATCCTATGGCCATCCAGACTTTGTCTAGCAGTCACAGGATTGCCTTGCCCCTTTCACTGATCTTCCTCACAATGGATACTTAAGAGACTTCCTTTGGCTATAACATGTATACACATTTTCAGCAAATTTACAGAGTGAAGTGCTATGAATTACTACCCTTAAAGAGCAAAATAATCTAACCAAAAAACAAAATGAAAGTACTAGGTATCATGAAATTTAAATTCTCTGTACAGGAACACTACAGATCTCAATCTCAGCCTTATTGCAAAGCTATTTTGTGATCTGTGCCACTGTCAGTCTTTTGCCCTTCGCTCTACTAACCTGGTATGCATTAAGAAAAGTGTAGAAACAAATGGAAGGCAAGCAGTCAGGACCAAGTCGTACACGCTTAGTGGCTTCCTTCATATTCATTATTTTATCCAGCTTATCAGAGTCCTTCAGCTCAGGAAGGGGGATTCTGTATGGAAAAGAACATGTTTCAAAAAACAAGGCATGCTTTCTGTCATGGAATCATATATGATTGAGAAGACAACTAGGGTAAACATAAATAAAATCTGCAACAAACTCAAATATCATTCAAAAAGATCCCTGAACAAAGTTTTAGGACACTGAATATTGCGCTTAAAAGAGGCCAATTCTGGAATTGTCACAAGGAAACACAGTTGAAATAAACTGGCTTAGACAAGCCTTATGCAAACATTCTGGGAAGTGATAAAAAGATGGAAAGAAAGAAGCAAGGCATCCCCAAAATTTGTTGGGCAATTTGTTGTCCTCCTAACCTTTTGGTCTGCATCTCCCATAATCTCTCACCACTGGCTATGCTTGCTACAGCTGGTGCATGTGTAGGCCAAAATATAGTCCACCTCTGCCCTAAAGAAAACAGAACCTATGTGTACACACACACACACACTTGCACCTTTCAACTTAACTGAGCGTATGTCAATCCTAAGGGGGAAATCCAGATTTCACTATTGCCCAGATTGAGATGGTAAACTTGCATCTGAGCTGTGCCACTTCAACATATACAGGGGTTCATACAACTGAATATTCCTCCCTATAAAAAAAAAATGAGAGCCTTTCTTAGTTTTAACATTACCTATTCTGAGGAGGAGCATTCGGATCTTGCTTTTTACTCTTGGATCCAGTACTGTCTTTTCTTGGTTTCTTCTTTTTCGGCTTGCCTTCCTCATTCTCCCCTTCTTCATCTTCATCATCCAAAGGCACTTCAATCTCTGGTTCTTTTAATAAGCCAAAAAAGACCTACAAGTCATAAGAAGAGAGTACTAGAAGTAAAAAAAACCTGTTTCTATGTATAAACATAGCAAGTTAATAGCTTTCTTGAGGGGATTAGGTTGGAATCATGTTTCTGAATCACAACCTTTCATTTATGCTTTACATCTCTACTAACAACAGTTATTTAAGAACTGGCAACCATTTGTCATAAGAGCTGGTGACAAATTCCCCTCCACATTCTTTCCATATCATGTACTGAAGAAAGCCACAATCCAGAAAACTTTAAGGGCAACTAAGGGTTTAAACATATTTATTGGGCATTTCTTTTTTCTTTAAACACCACCAGCACTACCCAGTCATATTTTAAAACTTGCTTTCCATGTGTGGTATAGGGTGCTGTGCTGCTTTCCAAAAACAAAATTATAGAATGTTCTGTTGAATTATAGTTCAATGGGTGAATCCAGGAAATAGAGTAGGAAGCTTATGTGCATGCATCAGAATTTTGAGACATCTCACCAGTACAAACAATACAGATCTGCAAATTTGTTCTGATTACACAATGCAATAGACTTGATTCTTAATATGTTTCCCATTATACAGAAGGCAAAAAATAATGGTGAAATATTCATTCAAGGTCAAATCAATATTATATTCTGAATTTAAAAACGAAACAAGAATCAGGATGAATGAGATGAGCAAACTACCATTACATCAGTCATGTCTTTCTTAAACTACCATTCTTCTTAAAATAAATTCAGTGCTGGTGACCATCCTCTTTACTCCCTTTGGGGTCTCTTGGAGAAGGACCCCAGAAGATGATCTGGCTAGGTACATAGGGCTCAAGGTGTTCCTTCAGATAACCTGGCCTCAAGCCATTTAGGACTTTAAATGTTAATACTAGCATTAACATAACCAGTGAACCAGTTCAGCTATATACTGAACTAGTTCAGGCAATCATATATTGGCTTACTAAGCTCAGAAAGATTTTGCCCACATATGAAGCCCCTTTGTCCCTCTCTTTAAGCTGCAATAAATCTAGGAAACGTCACACTAGCCTTTGAACTAGCCTCAAACTTTGAAGTTACTAGCTTTGAAACAAACTGGTAACTGTAATTTTCCGGTTTAGACCCTAGTTCTGAGGGAAAACTGTCACTCCAGAAAAGATCATTGACATTTTGACAAAAGTAAGAGAATGTAATTGGATGCCACCATATACTTACTTAGAAACTTCCTTGTTAAATCTCATCTTGTGCAAATGCATATATATAGAAAGGCTGTAAGACCAAAATACCCATAAGACTTAATAACCAAAGATAAGTTCATTCAGATATGGCCATTGCTATGCCAACTACAGGACCAGAGAAGAAATGGAATCTAAGAAGATTGTCAGCTTATGCATTTCAGACAAAATACTATCTGTGATGTTATACTTGATATCAACTTCATACCTTTGCTTTATTAGCCTCTCGCTTTGCCTCCCCTGCCAAGCTTCCCACCATAGCATCTATCTGTTGTTTACTACGAGGCATTCCATCAAATATATCAATGTAAAGATGTTCTTGAACGATATTCCAGATCTGATTGTTCTGTTTTTCCTGAAGATGTCTCTTTAAGAGCTGGTAAGAGTCACGGGAAATACGTAGCACAAATTTGCTTGTTCGGAAATCCAGCATTGTCTCATTTCCTCTCATGTGCTCTTTTTTGGTTAAACTTGATAGTACCCGCAAATCATCTTGGTAATAACACTCCTGATCCCCATGAAACCTAGAAAAAGGTTGGAAATGTATGAAAAGGATAGGAACGTAAGAAAGGCCATGAAGTCCAGCATTCTGTTCACACAGTAGGCAGCCAGAACCCCATAAGCAAGACATGGATGCAACAGCTCTCAGTTGCTAAACTACAAAATGATTCTCAGCAAAGCACATTAAATGAACACTAATTTGACAAGGAAACTTACAAGGTAACCATTACTTAGACCAGACAAAAGCCACTATAAGACAGAAATACACACTATGGACTTCTAGAAGGTGCTAAGGAAAATTGCTAGTGTCTTTCTTCTAGTAGCACCTCACATTAGTCTATAAAACTAAAACAATCAAGACTAGCAGCGGGGAGCAGGAATGCAGTATCCAAGCACCCATAAAAAGTGTTTAGAAGGTTAGAAGTGTTTGTTAATTTGTCAGGTACATATAATTGGACAAAACAAATTATTTTATACCTAAAACAAAACTCCCTGCTGATTACATTGATTGGGACTTGGAATAAATCAATTAAATGGTAACTGCAAATATCTTAGTTGTATTATATGTATCAACATGACATTCTCCTAGAGGGAATGCCTATCTTTTGTAGCTCCAACCATACAGTAGATCACTATTACAGGAAATGCTTATTTTCTTTTCTCTTCCAAGAGAGATGATTGGAAAACTATGTTTTTAAGCACAGCTCATGCATATTTTTCCCTGCTCTGCATGTCTGCTTCAAAGTGAATACTACAGACTCCCTCTACTCCCAGTTCACATTTTAAATCAAATGTGAATGTTTGCACTGATGAAATAAATATACACATTTATCTACCTAATAAAGAGAACATATAAATGAAGATTAAATGAGCAAATTGCATTACTTTTCAAAGAATGATTTTGCTTCATTTTCATGCCCATTGTAGACCAGTTCCAAGTACATGTGTACAAAGAGTGGATAAAAAAGTTGTGATAATTCAGCTCGATGACAGTCCAGAGCACATTCAATGAAGTGTTTCAAGCCACTGTAGTATTCTTCATAAAGGGCTGGGTCTCCCTGCTGATTGTAGGCAGATAACACTGCACTCACATCTGGCTGATCTTCTACCAGAACTCCAACTGCAAAGCATTAATATATATAGGTAAATCAGTGTCTGCACTATGTTTAGCATTATTACCAGGAATGAAAGGTTCATGCATATTTCTAATTATTTCATTCAGCCCTCCCTTAGTCCATGCTATGACTGATATAACACAGATTATAGTGAGAAAGAAATAATGTATGATGACACAGGAATTGTACACGGACTTTTCCCCTCAGGAAGTCCATCATAGACAACATTCCAGCCTTTGAACAAACCTCTAATGTGATTTGTCTTTCAGTTGCTTACACCAGCATGTATTAAGATAGCCTTTCCCACCCAAATGCTCTGCAGATATATTGAATTACAATTTCCTTTACCCATAGACACTGCTCATCCTGGCTGAAGATAACAGTAACTGTTATTGCCCATCACATATGGAGGACATTGGATTTGGGAAGCCAGCCTTAAGGAATAAAAGGTGCCTATGCAGATATAAGATGCACTCATCCGCTAATATGTGGTCATGTCTGCACATGTACATATATAGGGGACGGTGGGAAGCTAACATTCTATATGTGTCCATATCTAACATTACATTCTTACCAAGGCACACATGTTTAATATTGGCTTGTATCAAACTGAATTGTGCACAAATATTACTTTAGGCTGGCAAGGATGCTGGTGACTGGGATTGTCTCTCAGTCATGTATCTGTATGGTATAGGGCAGTAATCCAAAATATAAATCAGGGTTTATGCCGTGTAAAAAAAATCTCATTCAGGCAGCTGTGTTGAATCAACTTCCACTAATTTGTTCAGTGTTCCATGTGGGCAGGAACTTTTTTCAGCTTCCCCCTCCTGTTAGAAGCATCCAATACCCTCTGAATCCAGGAAGACCACTAGAGTAGCATTTGAGATACATGGGGGGGGGGGGGCGCTGTCAGAAATTAAATTCAACTACTCACACATGAATGTGGAATTGCTCTTCACATGTACAGTATATCACAGAAGTGAGTACACCCCTCGCATTTTGTAAATGTTTTATCTTTTCATGTGACAACCCTGAAGAAATGACACTTTGCTACAATGTAAAGTAGTGAGTATACAGTTTGTATAACAGTGTAAATTTGCTGTCCCCTCAAAATCACTCAACACACAGCCATTAATGTCTAAACCGCTGGCAACAAAAGTGAGTACACCCCTAAGTGAAACTGTCCAAATTGGGCATTATTAGCCATTTTCCCTCCCCGATGTCATGTGACTCGTTAGTATTACAAGGTCTCAGGTGTGAATGGGGAGCAGGTGTGTTAAATTTGGTGTTATCGCTCTCACTTTCTCATACTGGTCACTGGAAGTTTAACATGGCACCTCATGGCAAAGAACTCTGAGGATGTGAAAAAAAGAGTTGTTGCTCTACATAAAGATGGCCTAGGCTATAAGAAGATTGCCAAGACCATGAAACTGAGCTGCAGCATGGTGGCCAAGACCATACAGCAGTTTAACAGGACAGGTTCCACTCAGAACAGGCCTCACCATGGTCGACCAAAGAAGTTAAGTGCACGTGCTCAGCATCATATCCATATAAGATCTCCACCTGCTCAAGATGTGTATACAGGCACGCCACATCTAATAAAGGAGGTAGCACGGCAGCAAGGTTAGTAGCCACTGATAGCCTCCTCTTCAATGAAATGATCCAAATCTCTTTTAAACCCATCCAAATTGGTGGCCATCAGCACTTCTGGTGGCAGCAAATTCCAGTTTAACTATATGTTGCATGAAGAAATACTTCCTTTTATTTGTCCTAAACCTCCTCACAATCAGCTTAATGGGATGATCCATGTTCAAGTGTTATGGGAAAGGGAGAAAAATCTCTTTGTATGTATGTTCTCCACACCATGCATTATTTTAAGCACCTCTATCATGTCTCCTCTTACTTGCCCTTTTTTCTGAGCTAAAGAGTCCCAGTTGTAGTACATACATACAACTCTCATACAGGAGTTACTCCATCCCCTTGATCATTTTCAGTGCCCTTCCCTCTATCTTTTCCAACTCAATAATGTCCTTTTTCAGGTAAGGTGACCAGAACTGAACACAATATCCTAAGTGTGATCACAGCGAAGATTTGTATAAGGGGAATAAGCTCTTGACAGTTCTATTTTCTATTCCATTCCTAATTATACCAAGCATGAACATTACCTTTTTCACAAAAAACCGTGCACTGGGCCAACATTTTCAAGCTGTCCACCACTACCCCAAGATCCCTTTTTTGCTCAGTCACTGACAGCTGAGATCCCATCAGCCTATACTTGAAGTTGAGAGTTTTTTACTTCAATATGCATTACATTTATTTAGTAACACTCCAGCCCCAGCATCACAATATTAGAAACAAGGTATTGGAAGTCATAGAAAAGGTATTGTGGATGGTCTAGTAAAAATTAATTATGCTACCAAATAGGGTATTACAGTTACATTTTAGTTTAAGCTTCATGTTTGGATTACCTCTCTGTGAAATACTGATTTCTGTTTAATAAGTAATATAAAATAAATACAATTGAAAACAAAAGTTCCCACAAGAAGTTGGCTTAAGGCTGGTTACAGAGAACACTTTTTAACATCCTTTTCTATAGGAAATGTAATAAATAAAGATTACTCCCTTCATACTATTCTACAAGAAATCAAGTTCTTGGACAGGCATACTTAGTTTATGTAATACTTTAATAATACTCTCCCAAGATTTAGTTCTAAAAATATGATGCTGAGAGTCTCAACCAGTTATTTAAGATCTGAAAATGTAGTCCAGCTTCTATTGCATTGATATTGTAGGTTTCAATTCTGTTCTATTTCAGGATAACCATGTTGCCTTAACACATATAAACCACTTGGTAAGCCTTGCCAGCTGAGAAGCAAAATAATTCTAAAGCCCACTAACTATTTAAAAATGTTGCAGAAAAAAAGCAAGATTAACAGAAAGGGGAAAAACTACTATGTGAACTTGGAAGATTTACTGCAGGACAATTCATCATGCAACCACTCACAGCAAGTCAAGAACGAACTCTGTACTAAACCATATGGTGTGCTCACAACACAGAGCTGATGATTTTACTTGTATAATTGTTATATTTATGTATTTTGTTTTTGTTGTGAGCCGCCCCGAGGCTTTTTTTGCGGTGGGGGCGGCATAAAAATGTTTTAAATAAATAAATAAAATGATTTTACATGTGAAAGATACACCTTGATTTTGACCTCGCCTCTTACGACTTCAGGGCGAGGGGAGTTGAGTGCAAGTGACTCCCTTGGCTGGGAATGACACTACCGCTATCCCTCTCGGCTCTCACCTTTCCCAGGGGTCCCCGAGGACACTGCGGAAGAGGCCGTGACCGCGGCAGGAGAGATGGTCGCCCCAGCCTGGCTAAAAGTGACCGAATTGAGCAGCACATCCCCTGCTCCAGGGGCCGCGACCCCGGCGCTGCACTCCTGTCCTTCCCCGCCATGGGCTGCCTGGACTCCAGGCGCCGAAAGACTGGGATCAACCGCGGTCTCGTCGGCGAGTAGCCGGGCTTCTCTACGAAGGATCTCTTCAGATTCGCGGAGGTTGCTGCGGCGCAAGAACTGCAGCACAGCCAACAACGTCTGCCGGTCGGTGGGTAGCGGTGAGGCGGCCGGCAGTGCAGCATTGGGGGCCGCCGCCGGCTTCAGGTCAACAGCTCCAGCCAGTGGTTCCCCATCCGTGAGGAGACCGGCGACCGAGGGAGTAGGCACAGGGGGCGTAGCTGCTGCGGTGGCAGGGGACTGGGGAGGGGGAGGCGGCAGCGGTGGTGGCGGGGCCGTTCCGGCATCAGGGTCAGGCTTCACTGTTACTGCTTCAACCGGCTCCTCCGGCAGAGCCGCCATACTAGAGAACCCAACTCCCTCGCCTCCCACTCAGGCAGCCCGCGATTTTGCGACAGTCAGGGCATAATATCTCGGAAGGAGGCCAAGGTTAGTAACGACGATGTTAAATGACTGCTTTACGGCACTTCCGCTTCCGTTTTGAAAAAAAATGTTCTGTGGAAAGGAAAGAAGTAACTGGTGATGATAGGAGTCCAGATCGGCCCTTGAATGTATTTAGTTTTATACAGCATAACGTTGCGCGCTTACTAAGAATTAAGTTCCATGGAACATAATAGACATGCATAAGATCAGGATTGTGCTGAGATGGCAACTTAGTTCTTCTCAAATTCACGGGCTTTACTTTCAGAACTGCCCAATGCATAGAAGTAAATCCGATAGATTCAGCGGCGCCTATTTTCACGTTAGGAAGTGGAAGTGTTTAATATGGAGCCTTGGACAAAGCTCAGTCCTTCAAAAATAACGTCTGTCCCCTATCACGTGAAAAATGTAAATTTCGTTTTAAAAAGTATACCAGCTTTACCTGCTGATTCCCACAGTTCGTCAACAAGCAGAATTCGGGGGTGTCCTCGGTAAAGGGTTCTGTAAAACTCAAAACGGTTGCATTTTCGATCTACACTATGGTGAACATCACACAAGAAGGCGGCTGCGCAGGGAGCGGGCGGCAAGTTCCGTGGAAACCCTATATATTGGCGAGTAAACATGCAAAGGGTAGGGTTGCAAATTACAACTTTTCCTGTTCATTATTACGTGTTTTCTTTCCCACCCATTGCTGAAAGCTCCCTGAATAATTTACAGCAGTTCATGCAGCAGGCAATTTTAATACCATAAGCATTTTCCAAAATAAAAAATAAGACCAATTTAGAAACAGGTAAAACAGTACATGATACCGAGTAGACCTGTATATTTTCTGGTTTGTAATTAATGCAACAACTGTGTACACAAGCATCAAATGTGACCTGTTTTAACAATGAGATTTTTTAAACTAAAGGTTTTAAACATTAAAACTTAAACATTGAAACTTAATGAAGGAATAGCAAACCTTCCATTCTTCGAGGCAACATTTTAATTTTTTTTAGCCTAGTTGTTATGCTACTCTTCAAAGTGTTTTACCTGCTCCTAAGATTGGCGCGGAAGAATTGAGGCCTTTGAATTGTGGTGCTGGAGAAGACTCCTGTGAGTCCCTTGGACTGCAAGGCAATCAAACCGGTCAGTCCTAGAGGAGATCAACCCTGACTGCTCTTTAGAAGGCCAGATATTGAAGATGAAACTCAAATACATTGGCCACCTAATGAGAAGGAAGGACTCACTGGAGAAGAGCCTAATGCTGGGAACAATTGAAGGCAAAAGAAGAAAGGGACGGCAGATAATGGGGTGGCTAGATGGAGTCACAGAAGTAGTCAGCATGAGCTTAAGTGGACTCTGGGGTATGATGGAGGACACGAAGGCCTGGAGGAATGTTGTCCATGGGGTTGTAATGGCTTGGACACAACTTCGCAACTAACAACGACAACAAAATTGGTCTTTCACCAACAATGGAATTTAAACGGATTAAATGCATTGACTAGTTAGATGCAACCCATCATTAATGGTCTCCAGAGAAAGCCATTGTTATGCAATAGACATGTATTAGAACAATAATTTATGTATTTTATACTGGAAATCAAAATTTTTAATTCAGTTACAATATTTATATCACGTCCTTTTCGATACAATATTTATATCACGTCCTTTTCGAAACGTCCCAGGACGGCTTACAAACCATAGAAATTAGCTTTCAAAATCAGGTGTCCGTTGCCATGGCATCGTGTAGAAAGCAATTCTTCCATCTCCAAACAAAAAGCCCTGCCCCAAACCAAAACTCAATTTCCCAGAATACTTAGAGAGGCTGTGTTAATTGAGCAGATGCCCTAGCAGTGTGCTTCAACTGTCTTGGCGCACGCGCATCGAGTTCGTGGTCACATTTTTTTTAGAGCTGTTTGGTGCGGGGAGCGGGGGGTCCCACAGAGATTCGAGGGCGGGTGGATAGGAGAGGGTCCGGAAAGGAAGAATCGTCCTTCCGTGGGAAGCAGTAATTTTTCCCGGCGCTTTCCCAATTGTTTCTTGTCGGTCGAAGCTGTTCATTCGGTTGTTTTCTTCAAAGGCATGGCTATGAGCGAAGGCTTCGTGGTGGAGGGATCTGGTGAAGGGCTGGGGGAGGAGGAAGAGGAGGAAGACGATGATGAAGGAGCAGCAGCCACAGCAGCTCTTGAAGCCCCAAGCTGCTCCGGGGCAAGTTCCCGCTTTGAGAGGGTAAGCCGCTCTGAGTCCAGCGGAGAGGGAAACGAAGAGATGGAAATGGAGGAGGAAGAGGAGGAGGAGGAAGAAGAGGAGGAGGAGGAAGAGGAGGAAGAAGTCCTAGAAGGAGGCAGCACAGACCCGTTCGGAGGTTTTGAAATGGAAGACGGTGAAATGGATTTGGACGATGAGGATGAGGTAAAATAGGGGCTTCCGTTGCCCTCGTAGTGCCCGTGGGAGGGGCGGGGGGCAGGCTGAAGTAAAGGATCCAGTAGCGTGGTATTGTGGGTTGCGTATTAGATTCGTATGAGAAAACCCAGCTTCAATCTTCACACAGCTATGAAGCTTGCTTAGATGGCAATCCTATACTAATTTACCTGGGAGTAAATTGTAATGAGCTCAGTAGGGCTCAACTCTAAGTAGACATATGTAGGATTGCACTGTTACAGTGCAATTTATGTATGTCTACTTAGAAGTAAGCCACTGGGAATAACTCAGTGCAACTTACTTCCAGGAAAGTTCCTATAGGATTAGAGCCAAAGAGTGAAATCCTATGCATGATTCAACAGTTCCCAGCATTCCCTATATGTCTGGAAGGTAGAGGACCTTATTTTGACTGAACATGCATAAGATTGTACTCTAAGTTACCTTGGACCTGTCATTTAGCCTAAATGTTCTCATATGGTTGATATGAAGATAAAATGGGGCCAGCAGAACCATATATTTCCTTACAGCTCTAATAAATCATGCTTCCCACCATGCCTTGTGCCAAATACAGTCAGTGTGGTGCAATGGGTAGAGAACTGGATTTGAATGCATTCAGGTTCACATTCCCACTCAGTTTTGTCTCTCCCTGGGTGCCTCATGGGCAGTTTACTATCACCTAATCTTAGAAGTTTAGTGCAAGTGTGGTTTTTCTTGTTACTGTCATTGCATTTTTTGGATAATGGTGTATCTGTTAAAAATGTAATACATTTTGTCTTCTCTGTAAATTTGTACATCTTTGCTGTATTTCCTCATGATTTGACAGTTCTTGTGTATCCTTGGCTGAACATGTTTGTTTGTTTGTTTGTTTGTTTAAAATATAAATGAAAAACCTCTCAAATGCTTCCCAAGGTGTTTAGAACAAAGTAAAATATACAAAGGCATAATACCAAATTGGCAGTTCAAACATTGCACTTTGCTTTAAACAGAGTGGGAGGCTCTCTGAGACTTGACAACTCTCAGCAAGGCCTATTATGTGGAGGCATTGCAAAAGTACAGTGTACATTTAGCAGTATGTACAAGAAATGTACATACATTTCATATACAAGAAATGTGTCTCTCTTTCCAGAGCAGTGCTTCCCACTACATTGTTTTCATCTGGGTTTGTGGAATGATCTCTAGTGAATCTTCCCTTTCAGAATCCACCTTGAACATTTCTTGCTCCATAAAAAGTAGTATTCTTTGTTGCAACACTTTTGAGCATCATATTGCTTGCATGAGAGATTAATGCAATGGTCCTATGGTTGCTGCATCTTTTACTGAAATAATTAAACATCCTTAAATGTCTTGAGTGTTAGTAGCAAGAAAACCTTTACAAGAAAGTCTGACTTTTTAAATTTGCAGCGCATGATTAAACTTTCTGAGCTGACACCATATATAGTATGTTCCATCTGTAAAGGATACTTCATAGATGCCACAACCATTACAGAATGTCTTCATACATGTAAGTACTGGTGTTGATTACTTGTCCATAAGAAGTTTAACTTCATAAGCTGAAAGATCAGTCAAAAGTACATTTGTAAAGTACGAACATTACATGCTGAACAAATGGCAATACATATCCCTATGAGAAATTATGGAGAATCTCAGTAATTGATGCACATGTTCAATGGAGTTTCTGGGTTATTCAGTACCATTCTTGGATTATTCATCCTACAGTATTTTCTCTAGTTATTTATTATATTTATATCCTGCCTCTTTTCCTTTCAAGCAGTTCACAGCAGCTTACATAATTCTTTTCCTCTCAGTCTTATCCTCACAACAACCCTGTGAGGTAGATTGGGCTGAGAGTCTGTGACTGCCCAAAGGCATCCAGAGCACTCCATGAGTGGGTGGGAACTAGAACACAGATCTTCCAAGTCCTAGTCCTACACTACACCTCAGTGGCTCCCTGTGTATGTATTTCTTTAAAATTTCTTGACCTGCAGTTCATGTTCAGCCTTCTATATAGCACTCAATACATTTTTTCTGCTTAAATAATCATCCTGCTTCCAGCTTTGCTGCTTTGTTTCCAGTCTGCAGTAGGGGTTGGCCATATGGAAATCCAGGGTTGGAGTATGTTCTGCAACTCCATATCCCTCTAGGAAGTGGTGAATGCTGGAGCCTGAACTGCCATAGGCTTCACACAGCCAGTGAAGAAAATGCAAAGCAGCCCCTTGCCACATCAAGCTATTTGTTTATAACTTCTTACTGGCTACTTTGTGATTTCATGAAAAGGTCTTCACCAGGTGCCTGATCCCTTAAACAAAAAACAAAACTGGAAATGTCAGGGATTGGTCTTGAAACTTCCTGCATACAAAGCTTGTACCCTACATTGCATTGCAGCTGTTAAATCTGATGGATGTCACTCAACAGCTTGTGTCAAGTATAGTTGTGATACCTATCTCCTCCCTTTTCACTTTTGGATTATAAAAGACCTCCAATTTGGCAAGGAAGAAATTAGGAGGATAAAGCCCGGCAACAGGCAACCTATGTAGAAGTAATTGGGATATTAAACTAGTATAAAGGGCAACAGTGAAGGTTGGAACAACTTAGAACAGTCCTGTGGTCCCTAGACATTGCTGAGTGGGGAGGGACTGTAGATGATATTCCCAACTATGAGGCTAAAGATGTGTTCCAACTGCAGTGCTAGGAATTGACGTCTTCCCCCACCCCCTTATGGCTTGTGCAGAAAGAATTGTGCCAACTGCTATCTGATATTAGGAATCTTGAAGAAAGCATCGGGATGGGATGAGACTCAAGCAGCCAGGATACAAAGTATCTGATGCCCTTCCAGAATTCTTCCTTCCCCCTCTGAAATATCTCAGCTGGATTGCCAAAAATGGTTGTCTGTAGTAAAAGAGCAGAAGAGCTGAGAAGATTGCTCCTCCTCTGCATTGGACACCTATAAGCCTCTGAGTCCAGAGGCATAACAGGCATCTCCAGAAGAATGCACCCTTAATGAGAAATGGGATTTGGTCAGGGAAGATGGGCAACCCCAAAGCAACACTAGAAGGTAATAGAATTAGGTCTAATCAAATTATAATATTTTATGGAACTGCAATGTGGTGCTTCTGGATTGAAACATGAAATTGAAATTAAGTAGTGCATATCCTTCTACAAGGTTTATTCTTAAGTCCCTTATTTGGCTAAGTCATGTTAAATATTTTGCATAGAACAGCACACTAGAAATCTGTATAAACAAAATGGTCACTTTTTAACTTTTTTTTTGTAATTGCTCTAAATTCTAGTCTACACTTATTACATGTTTTACATAGTTGCTAATTGTATGCTATTTTATTAAATATGTAACTAGAAATTTATTTTTACAGTCTGTAAAAGCTGCATAGTAAGACACTTTTACTACAGCAACAGATGTCCTAAGTGCAACATTGTAGTACATCAGACACAACCCCTTTATAATATAAGGTAATGATTTTAATTATGGTTATCTAATTATATTGTACTTGTGCGTAAAGAAACTGGGTTTATGATAACATGTATACTTTTACTTTGGACTTTACTGGTTGATTAAATATTGGAACAAACAGAATGTTTCAAACTGGCTAAACATGAATGTTTAGGGGGAAATGTTTTGCTATAATAGCAACACACACAAAGCTATTAATTTCTTTTATTGTTAAAAGAAATCCAGAAGAGGATTTGCTGCCTAGAACATATTCCATGTTATGGCTGTCTTTTCTTTCTGGTGCACCAGTGTAATTTTTCAGAAATGCTAGTAACTAGCTGGCTACAACCTCAGTGCTATCTCAAAAGCTTTTGGTTCTCCCAGTAAGGATAAACAGATTTCCTGCTAGTCTATGATTTTACTTGGAAATTGACCACTTATGTCTAGTTCCTCTTAATTTATGGTTCTCCTTCACTAAGTCACTGCAAAAACATGTGGTCTACATTCAAGAACCAATCTAATTACTCTTTTTATTCTGCTCCTCTAGGCTGGATCGACAGTTGCAAGACATAGTGTATAAAATAGTTATCAACTTGGAGGAAAGTAAGTGGTCTATTTTGAACCTGTACTTATTGATAAAAACTAAAGATAGGCTTAACTGAGATGACATTAGCAATAATGTAGGGTAATTGTATTGAGTGATACTTCTGTGGCACCTTGTTTCAATTTTTTTAGCTTAGAGCTGTTTCTGTTTTCTTTGTATGGGCTGTAGAAGTACAAAACCAATCATGTGGTCTGGAATAAAACAATATGCAATGTTCAACTTCACTTTATAAAGTGTTTTGATATTATAGTTATAGAGGAAAAAATGAAATCCTGTGGGCAGTAGTTGGAGAAGGCAAAGGGTTCAGAGCATATTGCAATTAATTAATTAATTAATTAATTTCTGTACGGCCCAATAGCGGAAGCTCTCTGGCTTCCTTGGCCTACATAGCCCTTTGTCCATCTGTCAGTCCCTCCTTCTCACTCCCCTTTTCTAGCACTACCACACCACCCATTCTAATTTAGCAACTCCTGTTTCAAAAGCTATGGTAGCCTGCATTTCTGTAACTTTCCCCTTTACTTTTGATTCTCCAGGTCCTTGCCAAAATATTCCAAATGCTGTAAAAATAATTACTTCCAGAATTAACTATGAAAAAGTCAGACATACATACTTTTGTATAATTTATTTGAATTATAAGGGTGGGTTTCTTTAGTGTAAAATACTCATATCTCTTGTTAAGGTAATTCTGATCAATTCAGAATTTTATATAATTATAATTTTATATTATCTTAATAATCTTAATGTTTTTGGTATCAACTTCTAATTGAATTAGTATATATTGTTTGTGAACTACAGTGCTAGCAGTTTGATTACTGCACTCAAAGCCACTGGAATCAAAGCCACTGAATGTAAGATTGCCAAATAGTATTTTTTAAAACTTAGACTGTGCAATACTAAACTGTTTTTAAAGCAGGAAAAAAGAAGAGCACAGACCACAAATAGTCAAACAATGTGGGAGTGGGGAAAGAAAAAGCAAAACTTCAAAACCATGTTAAAATGTAATCTTGAGATGTGCTAAACAGAAGTATTGAAACAAGCTGTACATCTTTACCCTTGAAGAAAAGTTATACTGATATACATTGAACCTTTCATATATTTTAGTGACATTTCCTATATATCTTAATACTGCTAACATTTTGAGGCTATATAGTCTTATAAATGTATGAAAAACAAAACTACATAATACAGATGGTTGGTTTTGTCAATGTATGTTCCAATTCTAGCTCACTAGACCCACAAAATATCTAGAATTTGTATTTTCTCTCTGTGCTGGGCAATACCAAACATTTTTAATATTGTATTTTCAGGAGAGAAAAAGCAAATGCATGATTTTTACAGAGAGAGAGGTCTAGAAATACCTAAGCCTGGTAAGTTTATAAATACTGTAGAAGAGCATTACATTAATGCTTTAAAAAATACATGCTAGAATCATCGTGCTACTTTTTACCAGTGGATCATAAAGGCTCACATTCCGCCTACAGTCTGTAGCCAGCCTTCTGCCAGGGGAAATTCACAGAAGGGCACAATCTTAATGGGTTCCCTGTTGGACATAGTAATTGTGGTAGTTCGAAGTATGACAGGTTGAGGGCACAATTCGATGCAAGACTATGCTTCCATTGGATTGAACTCTTGAGAGATTTGTAATTGTTCAATCACTGTAATTGAAGCTGAGTAAGCCCTTAAAATTAGTTTCCTAGGATGAAAATGATGGTACTTCTCCTAGTCAGATGTACTGTTATTTTAATTAGTTTACAAATTCTTTTGTTAAGAGACTACTGAAGTATGGGGTACCTTAAGAGAATTGTGTTGTTCTCATCACAAATTTGGCAGTATTTTTTCTAACATAATTGTTAGGAGCGATTTTGTTCATTTTTATGAATAATGAATTTTTATGAATATGCTAGTATTAAGCATAAAAGTGTGGTTAAGAGAAGAGACCAGTAAATCAGACCTGTAGAGAAGTTATGGCCACTTTTCTGTTAGTTGCTGTCATAGTAAGTTTGGAATATTTATATCTTCTTGCTCATTTCTGCATCTGTATGGCAACATCTAAGGCATGCCCATTATAGCTGGGGTGAAACAGTGACTGACATGGCAAGCCACTGTAGATAACTAGTCTTGACAGATTGTTGTTTTACGCGAAACCGGAATATTCCTTGGGTAGCTTTTTACCCACTACAAGCCCCCCTAACAACTCATGTTTTATGTTATAGAGCTGGTTGTACCCATGTTGGGTTGTTGTATAATCCAGACCCAGGCAACCTATCCCATCGTGAGTTGTGGGGAAGCAGCAGGTGAGCAGCACGGCAAGGGCTTACCCAGGCCTCTGCTAGTGATGCTCATTCCACAGTGCTCAAATGGCACTTTGGGGCAACTGGCACTGGGTCATTCTCCTCTGCTCCACTCAGGACACAGAATGCTTTAATGTGATTAATATCACAGAATGGCCCTTATCAGTTAATAATACCATAAAAGTTCTCCTAAAAATGATACAGTAATTACCAAATTACTATATGAGTCTATGTAGCTTGTCATTTTATGTTGTATTCTATTGCAGGTTGCAGATACAGTAATTACTTTCTAGTTTTGTTTATCTTTCTATATCTTAGCTGTGCCACAGCCAATTGCTGCAGGCAGGGGAAGGCCCCGCAAAGTTGTGGGTTCAGTGTTCCGTATCCCTCCAGAACTTGACATGTCACTGCTCTTAGAGTTTATTGGGTGAGTTGAAACAGACTGTCAATAAATTGATTCTTAACTTATATACAGTAGCTTTAGACATGAATATAAAGGAATGTTAGTGGTAGGGGGTTGCATTTTCATGGTATTGAGTTGCATCATTAACCTTTTAGTTTAAGTCATTATATGCCCTAATGTCCAAAATCTCATTAATTTCAAAGTAAAATTCATACTAATTTTTAAAGTTTTTTTAATCACTAGATGGCAGTATCTACAACTATTGAGGTGAAATTATTACAGAATGTAAAATACTTTTCTGTATGTATCATAGCTGGTAACTTTCATAGAGTCTTACTGATTCTGTGTTTTTCAATGAACCTTGGACTAATTAGAACTCCATTCAAATTGTTCTCCTTTATGATTATGTATGAGTTCAGTATCGTATGAGGAAATGGTTTGATTTATAAAACCAGTCACCTCATTGACATCTAGTCAAGTTACAGGGTATTTTAATGAATTATTAACTGAAGAGTTACATAGTTCCCTTCTATGAGATTTCACAGAAGAGGTTATAAAATAAAATTATTTTTAATGTTAGTCAGATTAGTTTTCCCTATTAACTTTTCTTTAATTCATAGGAAAGTTTCTCTTAAATGAAAAATGCAAGATCCATGTGGTCGTACAAAATGTACCAGTCACTTCATTATCTGAATAAATGTGATATGTAAATAGGTTTTTATTTATAGGGGGAGCAATCCTATAGTCCCTAGACAGCATCTGGGGAACCAGAAGATAATTCAGATTCCCAGAACCTAGTTCAGAGAGAGAATTTCAACCTTAGAGCTGGGAATCTGCCCTCTTATTTGCCTGCCTTGCAGCTGACTTATAAAGAATCATGTCAGTTACCTCTCAGAGCTCAGTAACTTAACCTTGGGGAAGGTGTAAAATTGATGTTCCAGTGGGCTAGGAGGATAAAAAACTTGGAGTTGCCTGAGCTTCCACTTCCCTCTCCAAAGCACTGCAGCCAGAGAAACAAGACTTGCCATGTCGCTAATATGCAAAGTGGAACACAGAGGGATTGGAGATGGCTTCTGCCCATCCTCCCCCTCTACATTGCATGATGGTAAGCTTTCAGATTCAGGTCCTGTTGGGCATCAAGGGTGCAATCAATAGGATTGCTCCTTTATTGATACAGCACTTACAATATTTATACCAGACTGATATATAAGTACCTTAATTTATATTCAACATATTGTGTGTGGGGGGTTTTTGTTTTTGTTTATTTTTACAAAAACAGACATGCGTAAAGCTTTTTATTATCTCTTGTAACCTTGGTAATAACTGCATGCCTAAGGAACTATTTGTTTGCCTTTTCTAAAAGTTATTCACAATTCATTTCTAATGTTTCTGTAAAAGTTGTCAATGGAAGTAGGAATACCATTCAGATGAAATCTTACAATGATTAAATCCTTCCTGTGACAACCTAAGGAGGTCAAAGACCTCAATCCTGGAGTGGAATAAATAGTGTGTTCCATCTTAGCTAGAACATTTTTCCCATAGCACTCCTGTTAATCTTTTAGACATGCATGCAGATAAAGCACTAGGCCAAAGGCATTTGAAAGATAAAATCCTTGTCTTCAAGTACACTTACGTCCCTGTAGCTGGGGAAAAAACAGACAGTCTCCTGAAATGCACTTTGACAACTGACTGTATTATGATTGCTCTGCTCAGCTCTCAATCTTGCATGCTGTGTGCATTTTAGAGACTTGAATATCCAAATATAGCAGTTTGGTGCTGCACATCTTTACATGACATGCCTCCTTTAAAGTGAGACTGTTTCCCCTAGTATGGAGGGTTGCAATCCAAAGCTTCTGCATTCAGTTTATCTTACCATTGTAATTATGCTGTTTGTTCCTGTGGTAGTACAAAGAACTGTTTAATTGACAGCTGTTTAAATACCTATTTGTATTTTAAATAAATTGGCTTGGTTCAAACCAAATTGAAATAGTACTTTAAGATTTTGGCTAGTTCTGGTCCTGGTAACAATAGCTTTTAGGTTGAGATGAAATGGAGGACTGTGGTCAATTAAGAATTTTTTGGAGTAATCAGTGTGCCAAGAAGGAAGGAGTGAAAGAGTGGAGCAAGTGGTCACTAAATTTATTCATGTCCAAATTGGACCATTTGTCCTTTTTGAGACCATTTTCCAAATTACACCTGGAATATTTAGTGAAATGGTCTCAAAGCTTGAGAAATGGTGACAGTAGTGTGCTAATGATACTAAGCTCTGATATTTGCCTTCAACAGGGTAGCAGTTTTACTGTGAAGCAGTATCTAAATGATGTAGCAAGTTGATAAGGATTAATAAAATTAGATTGAATCTGGATGGATGAAGAGGGTGTCAGTTAATGACCTGCCTGATTTATATAATTGCCTGATTAACTAGTTAGTTTTTCTCCTACTGTTTTCTGGAACGAAGACTATATAGAAGCTGCAATGTTGTGAATTGATACACTTACCTGTATCAGGAGCAGATAAAATGCTTTATCAGAAGCTGAGAGCATATAGCATGAAACTATACTGGCTTCCCTGTTAGATTTTAAGAACAGGTATTGCTGAACATATAAGTAAATATATGTCAGCATGCGTGCGCACACACAGAGGAAATCTATAATAGCAGTGTAGTCATCTAGCAATTTGAACATGCAAATATACACTTAGATGTATTGATTATGCTGATTCCTTTTTCTTTCAGAGCTAATGATCTGTCTGGAAACTTTAAGGTACAAATGTTACTAAAATTTGCCTTCCTGAACTTCATTCTAATAACATATCTAAAATTAAAACTAAATGTGTTATATTTTACTTTGAACAACAGGAAATAAATTATTATGAGAATCTTTAATGCCGAGCAACTAAACCGACTTTCCTTTATGCACTGAAAGCTCATAAATTAAACTAGGCTCTGAAAGCTCATCATTAAACGTGATTATTCTGAAGGAAAGAAGTAAGTCCAAAATTAAACATTTGGTACAAGTATATCTGAAAGCCATCAAGCTTGGAACCACAGCTGCTGAGAGATAGAAGTAACTGGTAGAGCATTCCCAAACAGAGTGGGGGGAATGCCAAGTAGCTGCATTGGTTTAATTTGCCTTAGGAATGGAAGTATAGTAAATCTATTAAGGCTAAATGACTGTAGCTATTACTCCCTGTGGAATAGGTCTATATATTATGCAAGCTTGGGGGAGGGGGCACATGGAACTTAATGCCAGCCCTGTCTGTGGCTTGCTTGAGAGGTTCTTTGTTTACAGTATAAACATTTGGAACCCCAATAGCAGCATCACATCTTGCTGCCACATACATGTTTTTATTTAATGTGATTATTTTGTTAGGAAACATTAAATGACTTGTTTTCAAGATAAAACCACTCTTATTATGAACAACTAGCTTGGATACCCTTCTAGCCCAGTAGAGCTTTGGACCAGGACTGAGGAGGAGAGAACCAGATTTAAAGACCTATTCCCCCATGACGCCATTAGAGAACCAGACGTTTTCACAGTGGTGTTGTGAAGATAAAAAGTGGGGAGTGTTGAGGGTAAATGAGTGTGAGAGAAATGGAATAAGAATTAACACAGAGCTTCTGGGCCGTTAATACTTGCAAGGCATGTTTTTAAACATCAGCAAGAGAAGCTGAACCCATTACTGCTTCTTTCCATGCTTGGGAAGATATGGCAAGCATCATGTTTCTAGATTCTTCATATCATGCAGCTTGTAAAAAGGACAAGTGCCCTCCAAAAAGAAAATGTTTCCTAGAATCCTAGGAAATGGTAGGAATGGAAGCTGCTTTTATTGCTATGTGATTGAGCTCTGGAGCACATAAAGACATGGCAATGCATATAATTCCTTTGAGCATGAATGGAGTGTTTCCCATCATCATTAAGCATGCATAACTAATCCCCTAATACATCAGGGACTAGGAAGTAAGGTTTCCAGAACACAGCTCAAGGGTTTACATTCCAGTGCTTCTTACTTTAGGCATTAAGCACGTTTAACAGGCAGCAGAGAAAAAATATGCTGTGGGGGAAGGGAGAGAAAAGACTAAAGAATGTGAAACAAGGTTTGTAGGGTGAGGAAGACAGCAGAAGGACCAAGGTCAGTTCTAGGAAGGAGGGCATAGTGTCCCTGCAAACACCAAGCCCTTTGAAAATTTCCCAGATGAGGTAGAAAGAAAGGAGGTCCTGATGTTTCTTATGGAGGCACAAGAAGTAGCAAAGTATCATGGAGGAACCAAGAGAGAAATGGGAAGGTGACCAGAAAACCCAAAACAAAACACTGATTGGTGCAGATCTGTTGGTTTCTTTTCTAAAGAAAGCCCTGCCAACAATAAATTATCCTGTGCCACTTACAGAAAGCTAACTAAGAGGGTATTTTAGGCCATTTCAGCAGTTCAGCAAAGCAGGCAATTATTTTTCCCTTCAAGAAACAAAATTGCTGGGGAACTAATGCTACAAGAATTAGTGATTCCCCTTACCCCCAAGCCAGGTAAGTAAGAAGAACAGGTGTGCTAAAAACAGGTGTGTGAAGAACGACTGTCATCTATTCCTCAAGTGCATATATCTCACACTCTTTATTGTGTTAAATTTTAGATTATAAGCTCCTCAGAGTGGATTCTTGTCCTCTTGTACTGTGCAAACCATCATGCACACATATGGTGTTATAGAAACTGCCATTTATGGTGCTGTAGAAACAGCAACCATCTTTGAAGAAATATTCTCACTGCCAAAATTTCCAAATGTGATGGTATACACTAAATGATACCATGAGGAAGAACAGCCATCTTGTGCATTGTAATGCAATCCATTAATGAATTAAGCTAGTGATCTCTAAAGACAGTAAGATTTAAAGTATATATATAAACTTGGGACTCATTTGATCTTCACTGGCTATCCATTTCATAAATGTCCATCATGAACTAACTGTAGGATTAGAGTTCTGATAAAAAAAACTTTGATTAGAATTTCTGCCTCCATTAGTAAGTACTCTGACAGTATAAAATGTTCTGTCTACTAATCACAGCCACTGGAAAAGAAGTTTGTACGTGTTTCAGGGGAGGCAACAATTGGACACGTGGAAAAATTCCTTCGAAGAAAGATGGATCTTGATCCTGGCTGTCAGGTATGTTATTATAGTTGTTCACACCACGTAGTGAGCTTTGTTAGCCCTATCACCTCTCACCCACATTATGTGTCTCAAAAATCCACTTGATAGTTGCAATCAGGTGAATGAGATTTTTATAATTCTTCATGTGATTCATGTGTTTTTCAAAAAAGCATTATGTAACTTGGAAAAGGCCAAGGTTTATTGCAGCAAAGACTTATGTAATGCAGTAAGGCAGTGAGAAACAAGTTCAGAAAAATCTAAAACAAAAAAATAAAATGTGAAATGACAACACAGGCTGATCCAGTTATAAGAGCTTCAAAGAGGTGAGAGGAAAGGTGAAAATCTGGTTCTGTTTCTCTTGCTGTAGGGTCAGGCCTTGTCTCATTTTCATCCATAACATCTCTGAGAAGAACAATTGAGTTTTTAGGTGAGTGGGTTCACAAAACTTCCTGAGGCTTACTTTCTATGCACACCGCTGCTGTTTTCATAATTTGCAGCTTTTCACCATTTAAAAATAAATGTCTGGGGTGATCTCAGCTGTTTAGGGAACATGCTTATGTAAAAATGCACATAGGCAATCATATTTAGCTACATCGCAACACTCAATTAGAACAAGGGCAGGAAGCATCGCCTTGTTTCCAAATATGCTGCTGGGCAACACCACATGGTTTACTAGATTTGGCTACATTATGTTGCCATGAAGTCAAATCCAGGAAAGTTGTCTTCCACATTAGCCAAACAGCTTGAGTCCTAGAAGTGGTGCAGAGGCCAAATAGATGGCTCCAGATGATCAATAGCCCACTTTAGGTGTTATTTATGAACACACAAATAGGATCTCAAATGAGTTAGTGCCACCTCTTACATTCTAATACATATCAGTTCTGTCCCCAGTGAATTTACAGTCCCTTTCAGAAGTATTCAATACGCACACCCCTTTGATTTTTCACATTTTCTTGTGTTAAAGTCTGGAACTGAAATGGATATAATTATCATTGTTACCACTTGATGTGTACAAGAAATACAAAACTGAATGAGCAAAATAATTTTAATGTGGCACAACAGTTAGAAAAACAAAACTAACCTGTCATACTACAAGAAATATTGATTCCTCTCCCCCCCCCCCCGCACCAAATCCCTAAACCAGGCAAGTAAGAAGAGTACTTGTGTTAAAAATGACTGAAGAATGGTTGACTGTCATCTTCAAACTCCCCATAAGGCCAGCTCTAGAACAAAGGGCATAGTGTCCCCACAAATCTTGAGATAAGATACTTTGTCCTCAACTCTGTCTGCAGATGCTTCTTGCTGTTCAGATTTAATCGTGAACTCTGATATGCAGAAAACCAGTGTGGTATAGTGTGTAGCCAGTGTGATATGTTCAGAGAGCCAGGGTGACAAAATGGTGCATGTGTTGGAAATGTGCAATACTCTTTGAGAGCATTTTGTGCCAGAATCTGGATTTGAACATTTGGATGTTGTATTCATTTCCCAAACGTGTTGCCTAGAAATAGGCCCCCAAACACCCCAGTTTAATTGCAGTTGGGAACAGGGGAGTTCTTTGGTAAGGAGTGCTTGCATCCATATATGCCCTCCCACCCCCTGAGATCGGTGGGGGAGGCCCTTCTCCGGGAGCCCTCTGTGAAGGATATTAGGAGGGTGACCACCCAGAGAAGGGCCTTCTCTGCAGTGCGCCCCACCTATGGAATGTGCCCCCCTGAGAGGTCCGCCTGGCGCCGTCGTTATTTGTTTTTCGGCACCAGGCCAAGACCTTTTTATTTAAAAGATATTTTAATTGTTAATTGTTGTTTTTATTTACTGGTTTTATGCTATTGCCGAGATGCTCTGGATTTTTAATGTTTATTCTATGTTTGTTTAGTTTGTTTTGTAAGCTGCCCCGAGGCTTTCTGCGACGGGGGCGGCATAAAAATGCTATAATGAATTAATGAATTAATAAGGCAAGGCAGTAGAGAGCCTTGATGTACTCTTTTCCTGTAAGTTGGCAGTATGGTTATTACTATTGTCGATGCTTTATATTCCTGATTTCAGTATCTGTGGAAACGATTAGTTTTATGACTGCTGCAAGATTTGTAATTGCAGCCTGACTCTTAAATTTAGCAAAGGTTATTTGATTGGAACATTGTTTTCCCATTGGCCATAATTCCATTATGGAAATTGTTTGTCAACCAATTATGGTAAAATACATGTAGAATAACTTGTCAAATATATTGTTAATTTCCCTATATTCCTATATTCCTCTTCATTGTAAGTTTTATGACCCTGTCCCATATTTATTTTCTATTCTTTCACATATATCTGAGAATCTGCCTCAGAGTGTTTCAGCATAAGGGTAGTGTTAACACCATGGCCCATAAAACAGGACTGTATAATATCAAGGTGTTAGATGTGATATTCAGGTCACTGAGAGGACCATCTTCTGTTGCAGGAAGATCATATGTTAAGATCTTCCTCAGAGACCAGATTTTTTTGCCTTCAGAAAGCAGGGTCTTTTGTAAGGTTTGCCTGGTATCTAGTCAGATGAATTTTTCTTTGGTAAATCTTATAAGTTACCCCAAAAGGTTTCTGACTGAAGAGTAGGTATTTGTAATTAATACATTTAGGGAAATGCTTTCTCACCTCACTCACTTTTCACCCAGAAAATAGCTTACCAATTTCAAATAAAATCAGACTTGGAGTTGCTCTCAGGACCTTATAATACTGTTAATATATGAAAATATCCCATTAAATTAAATATAATTGCATTATGTTTACTATTAGCACATTTAAAAGTAGTATTTGGCTTGTCCTTTGCAGTGAGAATTTGTGGGAGAAGGGATTGGCAAGTATAACGGAATTAGTTGTTTCAGTACTTTAGATGTACTAGTATAGTAGTTTTTAGTTCCTTTGTCAGCTACATATTTCTGAAATGAGGATAGGGCTGGGGAGAATGAAGCTTGTGTTGGATATATCAGCTGCTCTCAGTGTAAGCATGATTAGGCCAAATATAATATTTGATATCTAGTAAAGGCACAATGACAGCAGTTTATAAACAAAGGAAGAGTTTTCCACTATCTGAAGAAGGATTATACACTGAGGGTCTCATTTCCTCCAACCCCTAGGTAATATTCACAATTTGTCCTCATTTGATTTTTTTTAACCTAGTGTACCACTTACAATTGATCTCTGGCTTTTTCTAACATAAAGCCTGTGGTTCTTTTTTCTTATGCACTTCTTTTCCATACTGACTTGGGAACATGTATGTTTCACAAGAAGCAGGCGAGAATTGCAGCCAGCTTTTACGTTTTCAGATTATTATTTTTTGCACCTCTTACGTAGCATATTCATTTTTTTCCTTCTGTTGGAAGTTGTCATTCCAACTTTTTAAATGCTTTTCTGACATTCAGGCTAAAAACCTGTACATGCTTATGTGTAGGAAAAAATGCATAGGGCTGGATTGTTGTGAAATCAGGGAAGTAACTTTTGCAAGCAGTCAGACATGTCATGTAGTTAACACAGTTTATTGGAAAGGTGCTTTTTTCTGTCATAAGAGGATTTAGTATTTTCGGTAAGAACCATTCACAGCAGTACCATGACATTCCTATTTCTACAAAAGGTCAAAATAATTATATTTATGCTAGCTTTCAACATGGATTTGTTCCACTATTTTTAGTCTAAGGTAGATATATAGTACAGTTTGATGATGATGTTCCAATCTGTGCCCTTATATGAATAATATTTTCCCTTATGCTATAGAAATTAATAGATATGCTAACTAATGCTACGGGTTCTCCTAAAAACTTCTACAAGGAACATATTCCATTTCTTTTGTTTTCTGTGTAATTATTTCCCCTAATGTTATGTAACCATTTTTCCTTAGTAGCTTTAGGACTACTCATTGAAGCGGCAGAATTAGGCATTTAGTATTCCAAGCACTTTGAGAAGGTAGACGGGAAACCAGCTTTGCAATAATTTATTTAAAGCTAACATTTTAGACATTTATTTAAATGTTTAATAAAGATATTAAATATTTAATATCTGAAGTCTATAACTGTAATTATGAGTTCAGTTCAGGATATTTGTAGGCAAATTTTCATATTTGAATTATATTAAGACAACCAAGAATTGCTGCTGCTTTTTATAGTAGTTTATTTATACTTTGCTTCTAGTATCAACAAGCTTGGTGTGCACTGAGGAGCTCCAGAGCAAGAGCAGAAAGGATATGCTGCTCTTGCCATGGGTCTCACTTGTCAATGCTCTGAACCCATGATAGGGTCAGTTAGTCAGGTTTGGAAGACATGTTAACCCATCATGGGTGAAACAGTCCCTAAAAAAAGCAGTGGGCTGTTGAGATGGTGTGGTGAGATGATGCCCATGCACAAGCCACCCAGGGGAAATTGGCGTGGGTTCACGTGGCCTGACAAACTATCATGGACAGCTAATGGGTTGTCAAGTCATGTAAGCCCACACTGTCTTTTACTGAACCTCTTTGTTCCAACTGGATGAATTACTTCAGCACTCTGTACCTAGAACTGAAGGCTTTTAAGCCTGAGTCTTCAGAGCCCTCCACTAAGCACAGCTGCAGGCCATCAATACCACCCAAGCACTTGTCCACTGTACACTATTATGTTCATACTTCTGTGGAGTCCTTATGCTTCCAGAAGGCACTTCTGCATCTAGCAACCAGTCAAACCTGAAATGTTAGGCATCTGTGCATCCTGGGGCTAAGTAACTAGTGTCTGTTTAAAGCTCTGAGATGAGTCTAGTTGTGTCTTAAGGGTAAGGGCTGACAACCATCTCCCTCAACCCAGATTCTTCCACAAGGTTTCTTGTGGAAGCGGTTTAGTATAGTCTGCATCCTGCTGTTCAGAATGAATGATTCCCCTTCATAGACTGACACTAGAAACAAGTCAAAGATTAGGGTAGGCTGTCTTCAAACTGAATTCTGAGAAAGCTTTTATGAAGGGTTTAGTAAGTAAATCATCAGTAAGGAGAAACCATCTGCCCCAAAAATTTATTTGTCTGCTGCTCCAGTTGTTCCCTGCAGGCCTGAAACCACTGAGGAGTTTTATCTCATTTATTTATTTGTTTGTTTGTTTGTTTGTTTGTAAATTTATAAGCCATCAAGTAGTTCACACAGATTCTTTAGGCAGTGTACAACAGTAAAATTATACCAGAGCAATTAAAAGCATCATTAAAATATAAAGAACAGATTAATAATAATTAATGATTTTGGTGGTTCGAATGTGTTTAGAATGGGCAGAAATGATGAGCTGTGCAGATAAAACTACTCAAGGAAGGCTTTTTCACAATCGCCCTCTTTTCTATGGAACTTTAGCCCTATATTAGGGTTAGGGCAGTGGTGGTGAACGTATGGCACGCTTGCCACGGCAAGCACATGAGCCTAGTTGCATCAGCATTGCCCCAACAGCCCAGCATCGGGTAACAGCGCACAAAGGGACCATGCGCATGCTCAGAAAGGAGTAGCAGCTCCAGGCGATGACGTCATGAGCTGCAACTCATTAGCTGCAACTCGTCCAAGCTTTTGCATGGCCGGTCAGTCCGCTGCCAAGGAGAGAGGGAGAGAGAGAGAGAGAGATTTATTTGCTTGGACTGGCTCTGAGGGGGTTTTTTCCCCTAAACTAAACCCGCAGTTATCAGGTTTTATTGCAGTGTTGGCACTTTGCGATAAATAAGTGTGTTTTGGGTTGCAGTTTGGGCACTCAGTCTCTAAAAGGTTCACTATCACTGCTCTAGAGCCCACGCATTATTTAATTAAAAATAAGTTTCAACCAGAACAGCTGCACATGGCAACAGACTTAACCACATGTTCTGAAAGGATATTTGTGATAAACATGGAGTTTTCAAGGCATTTGTTTGCCCATACATTGACAGGTATAAATTGATGTTAATATTTTAATGAAGTACAGCACTGCAAATATACAAGACAATATTTATAATCAGAATTAAAAAGCCATGTAAAAGAGCTGCTCAAGGAGAGTTCATTGACAAGAAAAATGGGGGAAATTTCATTTTTGTGTGTGTGGTGGTGGGGGAGGTCTTCAAATTAACTCTTTTTGTTCAAGAGAACCTTGCTGTGTTTATTACTGCTTGCTGCTGAACAGCTACTGTAGGCAATCACTCCTTGACAACTGCACATAGATTTCCATTTGAAAGTCTGTCTCCAGATCCTCAGATTTCTTTTTGAAGTCAAAGGACTTTAAGAAGTAGCTTTGAGGTCCTGGAGAATAAAGAAGTTATAATAATTAATAATAAGAAATAATTAATGGGAAATAATTAATTCTGGAAAGAAAACTGGGTATGGGAGATCAATTGTGTTCATAGAATATGAACACACATGGCTACTCAATGAGAATTTGATAAGTACAGAAAGGATGAACTTCTGATTTCTTCTAACATACTATTTTTAGGTAGATATAATTTGTGGTGATCACCTGCTGGAACATTATCAGACTTTAAGGGAAATCCGAAGAGCCCTAGGAGAGAGTGCAGTGCAGGTAAGTTAGTGCCAAAGCTATGAGAGAAGGTGGGGCTTTTAACAGGAATGCTTTTATTTGAAAAGGCCTAGTACAATAAACAGAGAGAGCTACCAGTCTTTTAAGCCCACAGGCATACTGGACACTCCGAAAATATTGTAGGCGGCACCACAAAATGGCTGCTATGTGAGCATGCCTAGTAATAAAGGAAAGGCAGTTTTCCCCAGCAGTTGAGTACAAGGCAATGACTGGGGGTGATTTGCAAGAACCTAACTGTGTATTCAATTACATGCACTATTGGAAGGACAACCTCTGATCTGTTGACTTCATCTGATTTGTGGAGGTGTGCTGTCTGAGTCTCTTTTTTGTGCCAAGAGGGGCACAGAGAAAAGGGGGGAAATGAATGGTGTGGGGCAGATGATATCACTGAGGTGGCGGAGGTTAGGCAGGGGGCCTATTCCTTGACATCATCTCTCTCACTAGATCGATTTAGAAAGAAATGGCAGCTTCTGATGAACAACAAAATCCCATTTCCCAGAATGAATGTGAAGAGGCGAGATGATAATGTTCAAAAACAAATCAAGAACCTAGGAACAAGACAGAGATTGGGTCTGAGCTTCAAATACCAAGCAATTTATTTATCCCAACAACTGATTTCACAGAAGGAAAATTGGTGATACTCAGAGAATGCTCACCAAGAAAAAAACATGTAGTTAATACTACTTCCCCAAACACATATATAGTAAAAAAAAAAAAAAAAGTTCATTTAATTTAATGTCAAATATTTCATTATAACATCCCACAGCATATTCACTGTTGATGGTTTTGCACTTACCCTGTTCCCCAATCCAAAAAAAAAAACCAGTGAGAGTTGAGAGGGTGGTTGGCTGGAAGCTGGCACTCTGCCTTTCAGACACACACAGGCATAGGCAAAACACCTCCAGTTGTTATTTCGCCACTCCTAGCCTCCAGATGAATTAGTGGCAAGAAAACGTTTTCCTCCTTCCTTCCTTTAAAGAAATCAGTTTCAGCTAGTTGATTGCATACACTGGAAGGCAGAGCACTAGCATCCTTTTCCAAATAAAGCCTCTGGGTCCATGTGGAGTTCAGAGGCATTCTGAGGAAAGAAAGGAAGGGTGTGATGCTGCTGAAAGCTAATGCTTGGCTTTCTAGGAGCCCAAGGTTTTGTATTTAAAATTGTAAAACAAGCACTAGAACTGTATGGGGCTTTGGCAGATGCATGGGGATTTCTCTAGGATGTTACATTGCTGACCATAGATCAGGATTTTCAGCCAGCTGGCAGATCTACATATATTTATATCCTAGAAAGCATTAGGAAAGCTAGCCTGTGATTTAAGTATTTGAACATTTGAATTTGAATTTAAGTATTTGAACATTGCCTTACACATGACTCCTGAACATAAATCTGCAATTGTTCAACTATGACCCAGTGTGTCTACAAGATTCTTTAAGACAGGGTAGGGCACACTCCACACCTGTCAGCTCTAATAATTTTTTATAAGAACTCTGATGTATGCTACTCAGAGCCATGTGGAGAGTAATAGCTCAGGAAGGCAGACATATTGGAAGAATTAATTAGCATGGTTCCTCTGAACATATGCTCAGCTTAGAAATTTGCAATTAATACCTGAAGCAAACATACAAGTCATTTCATGCAAAAATCTACTCCAAGTTTTTGCCACCACTTGTCTTCTTTAACAACTTTATTTAGGGAGGAAATATTTTCAATTTTGATAGTGTTAGAAAAATGGCACTAAGAAACCTTTGTCCTGCAAATCAGTTGCAAATTGTCTAGAAATCTACCAATAGATTTAGCTTCTGTCTATCACCACCTTAGAATTGCTTGTTTTTCTCCCACACTCAAGCTGCAGTCATTCACGCTTGCAATGCTGGCTCCTATTAGACACAGTGGGGTTTACTTTGAGCAGATATCGTAGGATTGTGTGGAGAGTATCTCCCTTTTTCAGAGTATTATCACATCTCACACTTGGGAAGAGAAACATAAAATTGAGAATGTAACTTTAGAAAAAGATACAAAATCAGATGTAGTTTTTATATAGTTTCCTGTCCTATCCAGACCTGGCAAGAATTAAATGACCTTCCTACATTCCTTTCCTCTCTGCTAGAGAGCATTGTTCTGTAAATCAGGAATGAGCAGAAGATAGATTGAGATCTACTGATAGATCTATGTGTGATTAGAAATTTTAGATTTCCATTTGTTCAGCAATGGCAGTAACAAAAGAACTCTTCTCCTACCCTACATTATACTGCTAAATTGAAAAAAGCTACTGGCAAGGTAACCATGAGTGGATTTTTGGGGGGAAGAATTGTGAGCTCCTGCTAATCCAAATTCATTCATGGTACTCGTAAGTGTATGTGTTATGCACCTTGCTGTGGGTGGTGGAGCTTGAGGTTCCACTTCTCCAGAATGGTAAATCCTCCTGTGTTACAAATAGACTGATAAAATATCAGGCAAATTTACTTTAAACTATTTTTGAATAGGTGCCAATGGATGTCATTCTGCTTTCAGTTGGAACCTGGATAGACAAGTGTTTACTTGTTGCCTTTATGCAGAATGGCAGGCATGTCCTATACCTGCTCAGTTTGGGACTGAGCAGAAAAACACAAAAACAGAAAATATAGGAATGGTGTAAAAATGGTTGTCACATCCAGAGTATCCACTGCCACAATCCCTAATAATAAATAATTAGAGATTGTGGCAGTGACAATACTTATATGCTCGAAGAGAACCAGTGAACTTGCAAACCAGCACAAGCTCCTTTATTAGGCACACAACTTGGAAGTTGATGCCACAGTATCCCAACTGATCAGCTGCGGTTCATAGCCAGCAACAAGGTTGCTACTGGCAGTTCAAACAGGCTCCTTGTACATTTCAGAGGCACACTTTTGGAGTACAGCCCAAAAAGGAAAGGAGTTCCACAGCATGGAACTCACATAGCATTCTAGGCAGAAAGCCTGTGGGTGCTTAGAGAAACTTCCTCAGGGGAAGGTTTCAAGGAATACAAATTGTGGTTTATTCTTTTTATGGTTTATAAATAAATGTATTAAATATTTATCAAAGAATTAAAATAATCTTTTAACATGCAGCCGAGAAGATGGTTTAAATCTCCTTTCCTGCACTCCTTTCCTGACCAAGATACATATTAGTAAAATGCTTGTGGCAATTAGTGCCTCCCCTGATGTGAGAGGCTGTGCTCCCCATTGCTGAGGAGAAGAATATTGCAGCAATACAATACAAAAATGCAGCAGTACAACTGGATTGTAAAGACACAACTAAATAGCTGAAATCATATGATATACTGGGTTTTTTAGGTATTTTAGCACCACCACTTACTGTAACTGCGTCCAAGAAGAAATTACAAGTAGGCTTCCTTGTTGTTGCTTGCTTTTCTCCTCTCCTGCTGAAAGACCAATCTGGGAGAGGCTGTGTTTTATGCTTCATAGCCAATGACAACTTTTAATTGGAAGGCTGTCTTGGGGAAGCTGAAAGTTGTTATTGAACAAATCTAGAGATTGCCAGTTTGGGAAAGACTGGTATAAGGAGACATAGCTTTGCCAATCATTAACGTCATTTCTATTTGCTGATTTCACTGAATTGTTTACAAGTGTTTATTTTTCTTCTTTCTAGGATGGTTTGCTTGTGCTTCATTATGGTCTCATTCTCAGCAGAGATTCCACTCTTTGAAGGATTTGTTAAATATCATCAGTTGAAAATTTCTTAAAGCACAATTCATCTCAGTCCTGGAGTATCCCAGAGAAAGCCATCTCATCTGAAGGAATTAAACAAGTGCACTATGGTGTGTGCTGTATAGTAAGTTAGGACCTGACTTAAACCAGTGAGAAAAATACTGTGTCAGTAAGTGCAGTTATAAATACTGTAGTGCTCTTATGCCATCAGCACCTAACTAGCTCAGGGAAGAGCAAAATGACAGGATTCATTTGAAATGCTCTCTTTTGTCTTTCAGTATTTAGAACTTACTTCTAGGACCTGAGCATGTGAAAGGTATCTACCTTTAAGATGCTAGATATACAGATACAGGGGTGTTCTCAGGGATGATCTCCAGTATGCAATGTCTTACAAGAAAAGACATGTATTCGTCTTAGAGGCATTTGATTGTATACTAGTTGACTTGGTTTCAATAGTAGTGGAAAGCTTTCAGGTGTGTCTCTAGACAAAATAGAAATCAGCCACCTTTAAAAAAAATTACAAGCATTATATTGCATGTGTTATTTGAGGAATAGTATTAAAATCTGTAATGTTCTATCCAGTTAGTGAATGGAAAAGGAATTGGATGCATGTTAACTGTAAAACAAATTATTATTTTCACCCAGTGTGAATGTGACAGTAGATTGTACAATCACTGTATGGGTGCCACAAAGGTCCTTTTGGAAAACATTAAGCACCTGATTGTTTTCCAGCAAATGTCAGTGGCCATATTTCATTCCAACCAATGGAGGAAGGATCATTCATCAGTACCCTAATACTTCACTCCATTTGCACTTCCCTTCACAGCCTCCTTCATGATTAACCCTTTTCACAAATATTTCACTATACTCTATTTATCTGTCTAGCTGCCACTTGGGAACCTTGTTTGAGCCTGTATCCCCTTTCAAACATGTTTGCTTCAAACAGTGTCCTGTGTTTCCACAGCAACAACACATGTGAATAGTAGTATGTGAGCAATAAAATAGTAACACTAGGATTTCATTTTTAATATTTCCTATAACACAACCATACCTATGGGTGTTATTTCAAGGATGTCATAGTACCTCGCTATAAATTATTTAATCCATTATCATAGACAGCACTTTGAGGCTGTTGCAATCAAAGTGATAGAAGACACATTACTAACAACAGTTTCTCTGTCTATACTGAAGGTTTTGTTAATCTTAGTTCATTGTAATCTTATACTTCAACATTCTGTCTATGCCCCATGGGCACAGAGACTAGAGATGTCTAAAATGTTAGCTTTGGAAAATGTTTCTGATAGCTTCTGAAATGCTCACTTTTAAACCAAATGTTTTGTTTTTTATTTTCTAATTGTGAAAATAATGCCTTCATAAAATCAAGTTAGGTATAATCATTTTGGGGTATTTGGATATTTCTAAATATTTAACTGTTTTATATTTAAAACTTCCAATTTATTTTCAAAATTTCTATAAAAGTTTTAACCAAAAGGAACAAAATGATTTTGTAAATATTTTTATGCACTATGTTTAAACATTGTAAGTGCTACAGTCTTTCAAAAAAAAGGAAGTCTTTCTGAATGAAAAAAAAAAGTCATACTAATTCTGTTACAACAAATGTACATTGACAATAAGACAAGGAAAATGAGGATCTTATTGTTAATGTGGTATGACTGAAGGCTTGCAAGGAAATTATGGATAGGTTAAATGAAGTATTTGCACTGGACCTCAGTACAGAAGATGGTTAATTACTGGTTCCATATTGCATACATCTGTGCATTCTTGAAGAACTCTTTTCTAACAAAACTAGGAAACTTGTTACAAAATTCAGTATCTTTACCAGAGGCTGATTGAAAGATAACTAACGAAATATTGATTTGTAAAAAGGGCTCATGGGTGAATGTTTGTCCAAGAAAAATTGTTAGAAATCACTATTAAGGCTGCAATTATTGATTGAACAGAGAAGAACAAGCTTTGCTAAGGAAACAGCAGCATGGCTTCTGTAACAAGCAATTTTGCCTTACCAAATTCTGGGAGACAAACATGTTGATGGAAGTATAATGTTGGACTTCTAAAAAAAAGTTTCGACAATGCCCTTCACAATATTCTGCTAAACAGAGTTAGTGCTCTTTTTTTAAAATGTTGAGATGCCTAATGACTGGTAACTGGTTAAATAAAAGGAAATGGAGAATAGAAATAGATTGACAGTTTTCAAAATGAGGTGAAATAAGCAGTATGATCCCCTGAAGACCTATATTCATGCTGCTACTATTCACCTTATTCATAACTGTTCTGATGACATTAGTGGGAAATGCCATGGTTCAGTTTTTGATTAAAACCAATTGATTTATGATAGGAAAAACAAAAGCTGATGGTATGAGCTCCCAAAGGATATTTAAGATACCACAAAATTAGATGTATTTGTTTAAAATATTGCTATCCCACCTTTTACAGCAAGTGCCCAAAAGGTAGCTTACAATAAACCTGAGTTTATTCTTTGTTTTCTCTGTGCATCGCACATATGGGCAACTAGAGAGCATATGTTTGAGTTGGAGGTGGGAAGGTGTTCTCAGCAACAAACTTTGAGAAGATCGCTCTACCAAAACAGCTATCCTGTCTGGCACAGACATCAAGTCAGTAGTGCTTGACACACGTCAATGGTGTGGACCATGTCACCACCTTGCACAGGTCTTTGCCTGGGTCACCCAGGTAGCTGTAGTCCTGCCATCTTGATAGGCTAGCATGATTATCTCGACCAACCAGATTGTGAACCTTTGAGAGATGACCAGTCCCAACTTTGATCCTCCCATTTTAGCAGATGAAAACTTTTTGGGTTTGACATAAGAACTTGATAGGAGCAATAGAAAGCAAGTGCCCTGCATCCATCCAGAGCATGTAGTGTGGATTCCCTTGGGTTGGACAGGGCAGCAAAAATGCAAGCAAGACAGTGTCCTAATTCAGATGAAACAATGAGACAATCTTTGAAAGAAATATGAAGTCTAGGCACCATGTGGCTTTGCCACTATGGAAAACTAGAGGTCCACTTGAAGAGGACACAGTTTGCTGACCCTGTGGGCTTATGTGACAGCTACTAGGAACATTACTTTTCAGAAGGGTAGCCTGAGCTCTGTGATGGCCAAGGATTTGAAAGGCCAATTGGTAAGGGTCTGGTGGACTATGGAGAGGCTCCATCTTGATATGAAGGATCAAGTTGGTAGAACAATGTTCTGGAGGCCTTTCAACAACAAACGGGACAATGGGTATAAGAAGACTGAGAAGACCAGGACTGGAGGGTGGAATTAAGAGAGTGGCACTTTATAAGCTTTGGTAAACAAAGATTTTAGGCCCCTCCAGAATAGTTTGTTTTTTATTACTTCATTTTTGTGCCATAATAAAAATATTTTGCATTTTCACATTTTTGAGTATTTTGCACACATCAAACCGTAACAATGCCAATTAATTCCATTTCAATTCCAAGTTGTAACAAAATGTGGAAAGATGGAGGAAAGGTTCTGTAGAGCACTATACTGAGAATACAGTGGGTGATAAATGTTTAAACAATTAAATAAATTCTACACCCACAGTACAGAAGAGGAAAACTCCTTTGTCATTTCTTTTTCTTGCTCTTTTAATCTTTGTTGAAGGGGAAAATATTCAGACCTCATTCCAAACAATTCCTTGCTAATTTGTTGCATTCTAGGCAGGATACTAAAAAGCAGAGACATCACTGTGCCAACAAAAGTTTGTATAGTCGAAGCTATGGTTTTCCCAGTTGCAGTGTATGGCTGTGAGAGTTGGACCATAAGGAAAACTGAGCGCCAAAGAATTGACACCTTTGAATTGTGGTGCTGGAGAAGATGGGGTCACTGGGGTGGTGGGTGTGGGCTTGAGTGGGCTCCGGAGGATGGTGGAGGACAGGAGAGCCTGGAGGAATGTTGTCCATGGGGTCATGAAGGGTCAGACATGACTTTGCGACTAAACAAACAAAAAATTGTTGCATGGAATTAAGCACTTAGAAATTCCTCCAATACATTCTGCGTCTTTGGTCAAGAGCAAGGTACTTAGTTGATACTGCCAATACTCCATCTCAGTATCAATATTTCTTTATCCTATTAGATAATCTCATTTGGATACCTTTCTATTCAGCTTGGTCTGCTGCCACTCTACCAACAAACATAATACATTGATACTACTGATACTGACTTGAGAAATAGCATGAGCAATAATAGGATGGAAGCTCCATCTTCACTGGAGCTTGTCAAGGGGAGGTATTTTCATTCACCAATATTTTGAGAGTAATACTGAGTTCTTTTTTTCCATGATGAAAATACTGGCCTCTTTGCTCCTCTTCAGTACTCAGCTGATGTTGCCAGGATTTCTTTCTTTTTTTAAAAAAAAATAAGGAACCCAAAGAGATTCTGCTGAGATATAAATCTTTAAACAACTGCAGAATTACTTGGTTCTCCTTTGACACTCCCTGGCATTTTTTTTTCCTGCTATTCAGCTTGACTTACAGTTTTGTGGTTGGGGATAATGCAAAAACTGGAGAAAAATAATAAAAAAAAAACATTTTTATACATGGTTAAAGACAAAAAGCCCCAGGGTCTGCTTCAAATCAAAATCTCTGCAAATTAAAGAGATTTTAATTAATTTAAAATAAGATGTTGCAGATTTATTAGATACTCATCATTATTTTCTCATCTGATTCTGGAAAGATCAATTTCCTAGAAATAGCAATGGCCATTGTCATCTAAATTATCTTTAGCTACAGTAAGCACCACGTAGCTAAGGCTTCATAAAGCTCAGTCTTGCCAGTAGTATTCTTGGAAACTAGATAATGATTCATTATCAACACTGCAGTTTCTAGTGCTTTCTGTTGTTTGCATATTTATGATACTATTGACTCTGGTGTTAGAATACCATACAATTATGAATTCATTATGACTGATGCAAACATTCTAAATAAACAGGTGGTACTCAGATATGCTACTCTTGTTTGAAATTTGACATTTTACTGGTGATGCTCATGTACAGTGGAAAAATCAAATCCCCCCCCCCTTCAAGTCTGAATTCTTACACATGATGTGCTCAAGCATGAAAAACTGCAGAGTTCTTAGGCTAGCAGACTGTCTTGCAGTGCAGTGCTGCAGAGGTTTATGCAGAAATGTGTTCAGGATTGCAGCCTTGGTTACCTAATCTAGGACACATTTTAACATAATGGAAATTATTTTATGAGTAACATTGTTTAAAATAATGCCACCAGACCATGCTCTGTAGTATTTGCCTGTTGTTTATTTTATAAATTTGTCTTATGTGCATTAATTATTGAAATAAAAATTAAAAATCAATGTGCCATTTGAATGCTAAACATTAGCTCAAGTTCTTTCTATTATTTCTAGAATAACAGGAGCTACAGTCAACAAATAGGAAGGCTTTAAGGGAAATGCAGCTGACTGTACCAGTAATGTGTCCTTCCTCCCCAGAGTGTTGCTCTCAAAAGAAACATTCCACATAGATCTGTAACTGTAACTACAAAGTAAAAGAGTTGCCAAGTAAATAAATATGTTCTGTAATGGAAAGGGAGTAATTTCGCTTGCTGGAGATGACATCCATTGCTTGGAGCAACCTGGTATTAGTACCTTATTCCCAGGATGTCTCAGCTGTAACTTCTGTTTCTACTCAAGATGGAGCAGAATGACTTTCCAATATCTGCTAACTGGGGAAGTGCTGCCATTTGTAAAATGCATGCTTTTAAGAGTTTCATTTTTCAGTATCTAATGTAATCGGCACCAGACTTACACTAGCTTTCATTTGCAGCTTCCTATATGATTTCCAGGAAAATTAAGTGCTTTATATACTACTTGAAATCAACATAAATGGTAGAATAATTTGCTTCAGTGAAATGGCCCATAGCTTAGCTTGCTTAATTTCACATTAATTACTGAGTCATGCTGTGAATAACTAGAGTTCTAGGAGAATGACTGTGATCATCAAAGTTTTACCCTAGCCCTTGCAGTATTTTCTGTATTATGCAAAAATACAGCACACTACAGGTCAATACAGCCCTTGTTAAGGGCTTCAGTTAAAGCAAGGATGGGTAATTTTATCCCTATCAGCTTTGCTAACTAGGACTGTTGGGAGCTGCAGTCCAGCAACATCTGGAAGACTGCAGGTTTTTCACTCCTGAATTAATGGCTTGAATGACCTTGCTTAAGGTTGTCTGTGGCTTTTCATTGTTCCAAAACAAGAGTGTCCTCTTCTGCAAAGCATTGCTAACACAAAACGAAGCTATGGCACTGGGCTGCCAGTAACCAACCACTATTTTAACTAGATTCTTGTACATGGTATTGTTCAACACAATGCTATATGTATTATGAACACTGAAACTGAAATTAAATTGGATTATTTTGAATTAAATTGGTAAATGTAAGAAAATGTTCACATTAGTAATACATTTCAAGGCTAATTCCTTTTGGCTTACTGAATTTTTATCTTCATTTCCATCATGGACCAGTAAATGAGGGCATGTACTATGGCAGCTTGGTAGACATTCTAAACAATTCTCACACCAGTGTTTTAACCATTGCCAATTTCAAACCTAGCCTTTGGCCAGTGACCAAATAAGGTAACTTATGGAAACACAGTACTACCTGGCTAAGCAAGTGTCTCTCAAATGTAGTCCCCAGCTATATGAGTAGTCTTCCAATAACACACTCCTCCACAACTAGGGCCTGTGTATGAATGATGCAACTATGTCATTGCATGTCTTTCCCACAATTGATACCATTTCTCTCAAGCACAGATAGGGGAGGGCTGATTCTGTGGGATTCATACAGTCAACCTTGCTCATGTAGCCATGTCTGACTTGCTCTGTTTCTGTTTCTATCTTACTTTAAAAGTGATTTCCCCTTTACTCTTAACTTTTTAGCATACATGTCTTATTTCTTTCAAAATTTTGTGATAATTACTAATGTATTTCATTTGGTCCTGTCATGGTGGCAATGCCTCATTGGTTTGGTGAAGTTCTGTGAAGGGATATAAAGATTTTTAAGGTTTTCCTTTCCCACTGAACTCAGAGATTTGGAAACTAATGCTGTTGTTTAAACAAGTATTATCAGTAATCAAGTTATGCCAACTCAGAAATTAGGCTTGCTTACAACTTTCTGTTCATGCACCACACATTTACTTTCAGGCCCACATCCCAGTGTTTGTACAAACAGGAGTAGCTTAACTCATAGGAGGATTCCTTTAGCTCAAATAGTTCAGAATGCAATACAAAACCATGTCATCATGGCACATCTTTGCTGTTTCTGGGCACTCTTTCCTGCCTTTGGGTCTGATGGACCAAAGAAAAGTTTAGGTAAGTGAAGTGTAAGTTGTAAGTGACCACAATGTCTGACTATTACTACCTTAGAGAGAAGTAAGGATCCGGATGAAGATTCAACTTTTATTTTTCCATATGTAACCTATATATGCACAATTTATTAATGGTAAACCTATTAAAGAATTTAACTATGTGAATTCTTCCATCTTGCTCATAGACCTTGTAAACATTTTTCTTTGCAACTTTCATTCTTTATCACTGCTTATTTAAATATTTCAAGAGTGATTAATTTACAAAATTTAGTCGATTATCACAAAAGACAAAACTAGTTGCATAAAGTCATATAGTCTTTTATTTATTTGTGCCTTACAGAAGAGCAGGAGAGAATGTGAACAAACAGTTTCTCTTAGAACATGATCTCAAGCCTTGTGGCAGAATGCATCAATGCAAATACATCACAAAACAGTCTTCAACTTCTGCAGAAAGCAATCTTGCTGGCAATTTTAAGGCATTGAAAGAAAATCTACAACAATAAATTCTATATAAAACTTGGCACATATTCAAATGGTAGACTGGAGCAATGCACTGAAATTTAGCAGACCCACGTGAAAGATGGAATTCTACCCTAACCGAACCCCTCCTCTCTGGAGGAAATTAGTAGGTGTGAATTTTTCCTCCTATGACTACTCTTTTTGAGTTGTTTGCTGCAAAACTGTGAGTTAACTTAATTTCACCAATGTGTTGGAAACGACAGAATTCCATTATCAGTCTACAGCACCAGTTTTTTTATTTAGCAGACAAAAGTGTATGTGCACACGTGCACAAACGCACAAGTGCATCAGTTCTAAGGTACATCATTTCCCGATCTGGCCAGTAGAACCAAACAAATATGCTCCTCATAACCTATCAATGAAAAGCCAAAATAGTCACTATAATTCACTGGTAAGGTCACCATCTGGCAGTGAATATATTTAAGAAAATACATTAAGGAAAAATCTTTAACAGGTATGTTATTAACAAACCTTATTTCAATATATCACATAGAAACCCTATTGCTTTCCATAATAGAGAATACATAGCTGGCATAAATCTACACTCCTTTTCTAATGGCGGCTCAAAAGCCAGAATCTCCATGATTTTACACTGTAGATTGTACCTACTGGAAACAACATATAGCTTTTGAAACAACATTAGGACTCTTGTGCTTTGACACAAAGGGGTTTTTTAGCCTTATTTTACTATAAACCTAAGGCTAAAATCTGGAAACTAGTAACAACAAACATTTATTTTAATTATCCTTTGATAGCTGGCAGGCACTATTGATTCTAAGCAATAACTAATTTTGTAAACTGGTGATTCTAATATGGCATAAGGTAAAATGGACAGAACAGTGGCTCACTAGGTAAATCACATTAATGGCTGAACATGCAACTATCTAACAGCAAAGACAGGGCCCAAAGAGTCCTAATTATTTGACCATGTAGATTTTTTTTAAAAGGGGAAGAATACACCACACTGAGTCCATTTTAAAATATTGTGAGTAACATCAAGATAATCAAAGATGTAGTTAGTAAGTGCTTCTTCACAATGTGCTAGTCATCACAGAACACAGAAAGTCCTTCGTGTGTTGGTGCACCAAGTTCATTCACATATACATATTGTGAGGTACAATCCTCAACTTCCTAAATGAGCTTACACCTCCTAGGTTAGTAGCTTTTACCTGGCACTTCCAGATGCATTGTGCTCCCTTGCAAAGAGTACAGCCCACAGCAAAGCAGACAAAAGATCCCTTGTCTTCTCTATCCCTGTGGTCCAAAAGGACTGAAAACAAAGTAGAGCATCCTTCCTTCTTGAATATATTGGACTACACATCCCATCACCCCTAGCCAGTGTGCCTATTAGCTAGGGTTGACTAGAGCCGGACTTGACACATCAAGAGCACACCAGTTTGGGAAAAGCTAGAATAAAGCATTCAATTATCTGTGAATTTCTTGCCTTCAAAACACAGCGAAGATTAATCTGCACTTTACTGATAAGGTGCAATTATTTGGTACTGTGCATCTTACAGTGTTTACATTGGAGTTGAGACTGGATGGCATGGCATAAGTCATATGAAAGAGCTCTACTACATTTAAGAGTGGTTAAATAAATGTTGGTTTTACCCTTTGATCCTAGCTGTAACTTTAGAACTTTTCTGTTTAATTTAAGAAACACTGAGATTTTTCTATGCACTTGACCAATTAGTTCTACAGAGTTTTCCAAGTTAAGCTTTGAGACCCTCTGCTTCTTTCCTCCTGACAACTTTGAATGTGGTGCTCCTGTTGAACTAGTCTAGTGAGGTAAACCATTACAATGTTATGTGTACATGAGCCAGTAAGCACCTTAATTCAGGTATAGGCAATTTATAGTCTAAGCTATATTGTTCCCCCTTAAAGGCTAATTGTGCTTATGGTTAAAGGTTACATTTTTTGGTTTGCAATGCTCCCTTCTTCCAGGTTTGTTCGTTCCGTTTTCTTAGTGGATGTTATGGTCTCTTCAATCATTTCAGCAAAAGCTTCCCCTACCTGGCTTGATGAGATTTTTGAAGCCAACTTGGCCTCTTCTTTCTCCTCTTTTTTAAAAGAGAGAGTGGGAGATAATTTGGAGCTGCTGACTACAGATGAACTAAAGAGCCTGGGTTGGAAGGAGTAAATGGGGTTGGAAGGGAGATTTAGAGATGAGATGCTGATGCCAGAAGTACTAAAGCGTGTCTCTTCACCCTCCAACAGCTTCCTGTAAATATCCCAAAAGAAAAGATTGTTAGTACAACAACCAATAATATTCAGCTCAGTATTAAGCACATTTCTAGAGTGGCAGGACCACCAGTGACTAGTTTCCATGAAAATTAGGATTAAATGTACTATGAACTAGTTCATACATAATGCTAACCCATCAGTAACCAAAATTTGTTCCCTTGTCTGGCAGATGATTTGAAAGAAAAAAATGTTTATTTTTTTCAATCCCTGGTTTCTTTTTTTCACCTCTCCTTCACTGGTTCCTTCCCTCCCCTTATTTGAAAAACCTTTGCAATGCTGTAGTAGCAGCATGTACAGCAGCTGTGCAGGAGGATACCATCATTGCTTGGTCTGGGCTCATGTGTAACAACAACCCATACTTTAAATGATCCAAAGCTCACAACCCAACAACAAACTATCGGAATCTGAAATAGTGAAATCTCCATGCTGTTTTTCGCTACAAGCAATGAAAATGAGACTAGGTTTGCACATAAGGTAACTCATCATTTATTTAACTGGTAGGTTGTTAATTTTCAGTTTTCATGATATCTGAAAGAAGACTTGCTAACAAATTGAATTGTTAACCACAAACAATTGAAAAAGAGAACCCCTGGTTCTTGTATACATCATCTGACTAGATTTAGAAGTGAGAACGTTGTGAGGCACCACTGATACCCTTGGGGATGGGGTGGGGGGAACATTAGGAATCATGCTTGTTTGAAAAACTTGCTTCTCCCTGGTCCAAGACCTCTAGGTTATAGATTAGGATAGTCCAGCTTTATCAAAAGCTGTATCATCAAAAGTTCTTGACTATCCAAATTTGCCTTAAGCATTAGCTCAAGTACTGCAAGAGCAAAGTGACTTGATGTAAACATATTTCTGATTATTCAAGCATCTTGTTATCAGATTCCAATTGAATTCATATCCCAATTGGGTATTAAAATTGCACTATATGTGAAATAGTGATTTGCAACTGAATTCTGTGTTGTATTTTTAAGAGCCAAATCAGTTGTATTAAAGATGTGAAGGACTGAAAGAAAAATTAGCAAGAAATCTCTCCAAATACCAATTTCCCAGCCCTCCCAGAGATTTTTTTTTAAATTTTCAAGAACACACACCTGAATTATTTTTTTCTCCTCCCCGCCCCCACCCCCGAAGCCTTTCTCTCTCTAGTCTGAATAACTTAAAAGTATCTGTCTGACTCCACAAGATGATATACAGCATGTCACTATTTATGTTACATAACAGGAGCTATACAACCAGGTTTCCAAGGGCCCTAGTACACAGTAAAACAGCCCTGTGTATAGGTATACTCAAGCAAACAGGAATAATGAAGTGTAAAACTCATAGTAGTGTGGGGAGAGTTCAGTTGAAGCACCTAGACATGATTCAAATAGGTATTTTTAAATACTGTGCAATCCATACACAGACTAATTCCTCTGTTTTAAGGGCCTCTAACTCCTTTCTCTGCAGTGAGACTGAATGCCACACACATAGCATCTTTTAGAATGCTATGGTAATTAGAGCATGGTAATTATGTATATAGAAGTCTGACATAATTACCATGCTCTGGTACTAACAATCAACAACTTTGTCTACTTCCAATAGGTGTGTTTGTCTGTTGCAGCAAAAGCAATAGCAAATCTTGGAGCATCATAAAGGCAGACAAATTTATTATGGCATATGCCATGGACTCTTTTAGAGTTGTTTGTCTTTTCTTAAACAATTTAGGACCAGATTACCCTGAAAGATCATCTCCTTTTGTAAAGATCTGTCAAGCTGCTACAGTTTGTGGGGCAGGCCTTACTGTATGTGCCACACCCTGTGAAGTACTTTATCTGGCAACAAGATGGCAGCAGGCCTACACTGTGGCGGTATCCTTCCACTGGAATGAACTCCCCTCTGCAATACGTCAGGCACCGATGAGAGTGCGCTTTTGACAATTACTAAAAATGTACTTGTTTACCAAGGCTTTTCCTAACCGTCAGCTTATCCAAATATTGTTATGCTTTTAATGATGTGCTGTGATGAACTGCTTTGGGATTTTTAAAATGAGAAGCAGTATATAAATGTTCTAAAACGAATAGATATTTGATTCATAATGTCTGAGAAGCTGGAAAACACTTGTTCTCACTTCACTTTACCTACGCATTTGGTGTATGCAAAAACAAGACAAAGAATCATAGTGGGCAGAGTTAGGCTGACTTTCCTTAAGCCTCAGCATACAGCTCCATCACAATGCTAATTTGGGTTCACAATGTTTGAATAACCAATGAGAAAGAGCAGGGCTCTGATAGTCACGTTACCTGTATGCTGCTATCTCTATATCCAGGGCCATTTTGACATTGAGTAAATCTTGGTATTCTCTCAGGTGTCGAGCCATTTCACTCTTTGTTTCTCTCAGGTCACTTTCTAACTGACTGACAGTCTCCTGCAGTTCGGAGAAATGAGGATAAAAGGTAACAAGCATTTAAAGCCAGTGACACTGTTGAGCATTTTCTTATCACAAATTGCGAGACCTTGTTAATTCAGTGCAGCAGACACAATGCAATCTGGAGGCAAAATGAAATTTCAGTTAAGATGTGTGTGACTGCAAAAAATCTTCCAATGTATTGGATGGAAGTGCTTCTCTTTCATTTTCTACACAACTCTTCCAGGGTCAAAGAAATTCAGTGAATTAAGAATCAAAAGTTCAGAAGTCTAGATAAACAGATCTTTTAGGAAGCATAGGTGCATCTTCAATGATAAAAGCTTTTTACATACATAGCAGACTGGGTTATGGAAACATTGCTTTAAGTTATACAGCACTGTTGGGATGTGATCCACATACCAATTATGTCCAGCCCCTTATGTCAATAGTCTTGCAGGACCATTCTATGCATATTTATTTGGAAATAAGACCTATTTACTGGAACAAATATTCCTAAGTAAGTGCAGGTTTGCAACTTTTAGCACTTTATAGAGCAAACTGTATAATAATCAACTACTGTATACTTATGTCTCTACTCCAGACAACATTCTACCCTGCCATTAAACTTTTATAGGCAGGAAATAGGGGCACTTAAAATAACTAGGGAAATCATGGTTAAACTGGCTGTTAAAATAGATGTTCCTGATTCAACACAATTCCCTGTGATGGCTTTATTATCAGAAGAAGAAGGTTGAATGCAGATGGATTATGACTGCCTATCCCAAGGCTGACAAGTGCTATTGTAATGAAATTCTTTTAGATTCAAAAATGTGGAAGAGGACTATGAAGCGTGGAGAGTTGTTTATTTCCAAGGCAATATATTGATATAGCCCATATAGGACTTTGGCCTTTATACAATACTTTCTTCATCTTTTGAACGGCCTCTCTAGTAAACGCTCTAGATTTCCCAATGTAAATTAATATGCTAATATAAGTATCAAATGCAGCATTTTCAATATATAATCCTTGGATTTATATATTTAAATGCTGCCATTTTATAACTAAAGCACTGAATAATTTGCTCAAATTGAATAATACAGGATACTCAGTGTGATATCATTTCAATTACTGGGTATGCTTAGACATACTTTTCACAGAACATTAAAACTACAGTATTTCAATTAACACTTCCACGATCTGTTAGCAGTACTTGCAATGGATCACTAAGGGTAAAATCTAATGCAGCTGCCTGCAATCCTCCATTCTATGGACAATCTATGCATGGTGGCCTAAATGCAGAAGCAAGCGTTGCCTCCATGTTCCTCCTGCCATGCAAAACACCTAGATCACTGATCTCAGTAATCTTAAATGTGGCACCTTGGAACATTAGCAAAGGAAGCAGTGGCTGAGGCAATGCCAGAATATTTTTGATGTCAATGGACCCTTCTTCCTCCTCTCCCACTCAAGTCCATCTCCAAGGTCCCTCTTGTGACCAGTGTCATAAATGGAGCAGTTCTTTCCATGTTGGCTGCATGGGTGGAGGAAGAGCACTCCGTAGTCAGAATCCCTGCTCTGACCCAGGAACTAGTTTCTAAGATTGGAGCCAGTACTGAGAATTATCCTATGGCTGTTCAGTCTAGTTACCATAGGATTGCACTGACATGACAATAGAGCATGTCCACAATATTAGTAAAAAAAGACTATTTGTATAATAAATATAATGAAGTAAACTAAAGCAGGTGTTTCTAATGTCCAGAAGGAAACAGTATACTTTAGGGATTATTAAACATTCAAATGATCCAGAAAAATCTGCATGCTCTTTCTCTCACCACTCCATGCTGTTAAAATTGGATTTGGAAACCTTCACAGTCTTCTATGGTTTTCTTCATTAACTGCCCTACCAGCTGAGTGCTGAACATAAAAACAAATTCTAACACTATTACTGCATTATACACTGAAATAGTTTATTAAAGTTTCTGTGCTTCAAGGAAAGCCAGAGAGATTTCCAATGTGGAAGCCTACTGCATGGGTAAATGCAGTCCTAACCCTTGTCTCAGTCACTCTTATTTGAAAAATTGAGTGGAATTTCTTTCAGGGAGGCACTGATGTACCAAAATATAGGCCCAATCCCTCTTCAACATGAAGCTATTTAAGTATTACCATCTTCCTCAGAGGCACTTTCCTACCAGCACTGGAAGTGAGGTGGATGATCCCAAGCAAAGCCTTTTCAGTTATGGCACCCCGACTTTAGAATGTGCTCTCCAAAAAGGTCTAAGCAGCATCCACTTCTGCTCACTTTTCAGTGCTCAGGCATTTTATCTTTTGGTTTTATGCTATTTTTATGGCTGACTTTCTCTGCTTTTATTGGTTTTATGTACTCTTGGAGCCTGGCTGAAGAGTGAGGTTAAAACAACCAAATCTGATGTCAGTCAGTGGCTTCCAATATAGTGGTAGCGATACCCATGCATTAATTTGAAAAGCCTATTGCTGAAGTCCAAGGATGTCATCTTTGATCAGAACAAGGAATGATAGCTACTTCCCTATGGAAACTGCCTATTGAAAGGAGGAAATATAGACCAGCTAGCAATAGAATGGTTGTGGTGCATATTATTCAGTACCATGGAGAAGGATATGATAATTTTAGTCCATTTTTAGCTGTAATTCAGACTGTGTCTCAATGTTCTTTTCTTAATACTGCAGGAAGCAGGGGGCGAAGTTACAAGAAGAATAACACCTTCCATATAAGATCAGTGGTATTTTGAGGATGACATCACCCAGTGCTTGTGATCACACCCAGGATGACATTCAAACCCAGTGTTTCTGATCACACTAAGCAGATACACCATCAGAATACTAATCTCGGGATAATTATTCCTACCATTGCAGGAAAATGAAATTATACCAAGAGAGAAGGAAAAGGCAGTGCTACAGATGTGCCTTCAGATGCATAACAGTAACAGAATCTGCACAGGAGAGAGGGCAGCATACACTCAATTGCTAAACAGATAAGGAACATATGGGCTGGAAATAGAACCTCTGGCTCAGCTGGAAACAGGAAAATAATTGGCAATACACATCTGAAGAGTGACCTTAACTTTTCAATATGAGTCTTGCATTACCTTATTTTGAATCACCACTGCATGTTAAAAGATATAGTTTTCTGGGATTATTTCCATAAGCAACCTATAAGACTTGTTTAACTTGAGTAGATGGTGAAAGTGGATTTTATTGTAATGGTTTAATATCTGATTTATTATTTGTTTCCTCATGCTCTTCTTGTGACTCTTCCCTTTTCTAATGGTCTTGGGGCAGGATTTGTGCTAACAGCAATCATCAGTTATTCTATTAATAATGTATTATAGGTCAGGTGAATGTAATTTCAGCCTAAGATACTGATATGGGAAAAATACACGAATTAGTGAAACCTTCGTCTTCTTTCTCCATTACCAAATAATAGTTTGTAACACTTCCTGATAATAGAAAGTTAGCATTTCAGATAGTTCATAGAAAAGTAATCATTGTTCCAAAGTTTTTTTCTGGCTCATGGAATAAAGGGGTATATAAATGTATTTCATTGGAATGATGCAAAATGATCTAAAAGGGCAATCCTGCAAAGTGCACTAGGCCCAAGGAATGGACCACAAGGTAGAGGTCCAAATAACTCAGGAATGTATTTGGCAGGGAATATTAGTATGGGTGCAACAGGGAAGCACCTATGCCACCATGATGTATGGAGCAGGACTCTGTCAATCCAAGGGAAAGACACGTAGATTCAACTGGAGGATGCAGTCAAGATTTTTATAACAAAAAAACAAAAACAAAAAACTAGACACAGGGAAAAAACACTTAGAGCTCAATGCTAACTCAAGTTTAGCCAGACAAAAAATGTGAGAGCCAGTGCAGTGGTTGAAAGTGTTGGACTGAGCTCCAGGAGATCTGGGTCCTAGTCTGCACTCTGCCACAAAGCACAGTGGGTAACTTTGAGTCAGTCATTGATTCTTCAGCCTAATCTACCTCACAGGGTTGTTGTGAGGATAAAACTGAGAGGAGGATTGTGTAAACCACCTTGAGTTCCTTGAAAGGGGAAAAGGGCAAACTATAAATATAACAGGCCTACAACTCTCAGCATATCCCAGCATTATGACTGGCTGAGGCATGCTGAGAACTGTAGGATTTTTTCTCTTTTTTAAAATGCAAATCCTTTTATTTGTTTTCAGGGAATGCAACAGAGGGAAAAGGGTGTATATAGCAATAACAACAACACTATGGGTTGCCCCAAGGATGCAACAAGCAGCTCCCCGATCAAGCGCATCAAACTGTAGGAACTTTTTTTCCTATCTAAACATGAGTAGGATTATGCCTCTAATGGCATAAATGGATCTCTGTTTAAAATCCCAAGGCACAGCTGTCAGAAATCCCATGGTGTGTGCTACTGAGAACATCCAAGCCACCTTGGTCCCTGCAAGAACATAAAAAGGCAAAATTTAAATGTAAGGTAATAATAACAGCGTGAGCAGAGGCATTCGCAGAAATACAAATACTCAAGACTCCACAACAGGCAGAAAACACGTCTCTATTGCCTCATCCACAAGGAATGGCAGGCCAGCTATTTTTTCTTTCCAATAGCGGCCAGCAGAGACCCTGGAAAATGAAATTCCCCAACAGACCGCTCTGTCGACGGCTCTGCACAGACAAACGTCTGTCTGTCGGCCTGTTAATCGATGGCACCCGATAAAGCACATGACACTTGGCGGCCGCCACGTTTAATCGAACCAATTCCAGCGGACCTCAATGCCAGCCACGGGGACGCATGGCGCTTCCGCCGCGGGAGCGGGATGCCCTGCCGGGAAAAGGTCGCGCGCGAGGCAGCTCTGCGGGTGCGCGCACGGGCACGGGCACGGGCACCTGCGCGGCGAGCGCCGGCAGGCGTGCCCCGCCCGCTCTCACCTGCAAGCTGAGCGCCTCGGCGTTGTGCCGCTCCTCCATCTCGTGGAGCTGCCGCTCGAGGGACTCGTTGGCCCCGCGCAGGCTCTCCACCTCGAGCGTGCGCGCCTGCAGCTGGCGGCGGTACTCGCTGATCTCCTCGCGGCTGGCGCGGATGGCCTCGGTGCTGCGCGCCGCCTGCTCGCTGAGGTTCGCGAACTTGGCGCGGTACCACTCCTCGGCCGCCTGCAGGTTCTTGGCGGCCAGCGCCTCGTACTGCGCGCGCAGCTCCTTGAGCGCCGCGGTCAGGTCGGCCTTGGCGGAGTCGGGCTCGAGGGCGACCATGGGCGGCGCCTGCAGGGAGGCGCTCAGCTCCGCCAGCTCCTCCGCGTGCACCTTGCGCAGGAAGGCCACCTCGTCGAGCAGCGCCTCCACCTTCTTCTCCAGCGCCATGCGCGCCAGGGTGGAGCCGTCCGCCTCCCGCTGCTGGGCGCGCAAGGCCTGCTCCGCGTCGGCCCGGGCGCGGGCCTCCTCTTCGCAGAGCGCCCGCAGGCGCTGCATGTCCTCGGCCATGCGCTCCCGCTCCAGCGTCGCCTGCGCCCGGGCGGCCTCGGTCTCGTCGAGCTGGGCGCGCAGCTCGCGGAGCTCGCCCTGGAACAGCTCGGCCAGGCGGTTCGGCTCTGCGTGGCGCTGCCGCAGCGCGCCCAGCTCAGCCTCCAGCAGGCGGTTGTGCTGCTCCAGCTGCCGCACCTTCTCGATGTAGCCGGCGAAGCGGTCGTTGAGGCCCTGCAGTTGCTCCTTCTCGTTGGTGCGGGTCAGGCGAAACTCGTCGTTGACCGCCGCCGCCTGGCTGAGGTCCAAGCTCTCCGCCTGCGCCAGCCGGTAGGAAACGGCATGGCTGCTGCGCGACACAGATTGTGAGCGGTAGCTGCTGCTCACCGCCGAGCCTCCCAAGCGGGCGGAGTAACGGGGCGACTCCCCGAAAATCTTCCTGTAGGAGGAAGCCAAGTAGTGAGGATCCGAGCCGAAATTCATTCTGGAAGCTGTGGAGAGGCTCCCCTTCCCGACTGGGTCTTATAAAGGGAGGCGGGTCGCTGCCTGCGCTGCAGAAAGGCGGGAGACGTGCGCTTTTGGGGCGCGGTCGAGGGGAGGAGATTGGTGTGGGCGGGGGGACATTTGGAGTCTGGGGAGGTCGGGGCGCTCTAGGCAGCCCCGTCATAAACACCTTTCCTTTGATGCCAGCCCCATTGGATTCAGTGGAACTTTTTACTAACTTTACAGCCGCAGAAGGCAAAAGCAAAAGGATTTGAGGTTGCAGGTGCGGAGACTGACGCGGGTGTCCTTAAAAGTAGGAGTCGTGAGATTTAGGGACAGCTGCTGGAAAATGCTGGATGTGGGTGGTAACTGGATACATGGCGAAAGAGGTGACGCCAAGTGGCAAGAGCTGGGTAGGTGGGGATGTTCTTCTGGCGCTCTGCACAATCATGGAGATGATTTTATTTCTTAGAAATGAAATGATGTCGACACGCTGAAGTGAGGATTTGGGTGGCGATTCAGTGCTGCTGAATGGGAGGTGGCTGGTGTGGCAAGCTAAAATTTTAGAGCTCGCTTCAGGGGAAGGATCTGTAGGAGGGTTGGAGAGATCTGGTAGTGGTGATGGCATATCTTTCTTTGCAAGGCATGTTCCCAGCCCAGCATGACTGGAGGAAATGCTGATGGAGCTGTCCATTTTGCCGCAGTGCTGATGTAAGGTTTTCCCTCCCTTCTGCTGATGAAGGCTGGGGACAGACCCAGTTAACACAGGCAGTTCTCACTCCCAGGAACAGAGTTCCATAAATATGATATGTAGAATTAGGTAGCTTGTGGTCTGCTTCCTTTTTCAGAAATCCTTAATCAGTCTTCCAGCACTCCTGTTTCTTCCTGAAACATAAGAGTAGTTCTCCCAGTTTTTAGCAGCAGCTTAGTTTTGTGTTTGCTTGTTTTTTAATCATGGAGCTCTGCCATCCCATCTGTAAATCTGGCTTGTTGTAGCAGTAATGTGCATGAACAGTAAAGCAGACTGGGTGGGGGAAAGCAAGAGTCCCTGTTTGCTGCAGCAGGCTATGAAGATAAATGGAGGAGTGACCTAGGTTTGCTAAGGGATGAATACAACGAAAGGACTAGGGTAAATTGTAGCTCACCATGGTTCTCCTACAACACTGTATCTGCATCTTGTACCATCAACCTAGCAAGCTGAAAGATAATCTTATTCATTAGAATGGTCCAACCTCATAAAGAGGTGTAAGTCTGTGGACATTTTACAATTAATTCCAAGAGGATTGCGTTATTACTTTTGGGTGGATGTGTTTACTGTAGATTGACATGCAGCCAATTTTTCTGAACACAATCCCAATTAAGGAAACTAATAAACCTCCAGATTGATGACTTTGTATGATACATTACCCCTGCCTGCCTAATATGAGTTATATGTTTTTTGAAATATTGTTTAAGTTTTAAAAAATACCCAAAATTATACTAATGGGGCATCTACCCAGGTTTTTAGATGTAGAGGCTGGCATATTCTGTTTATGAATCCATAGCCTGGGGATAGAATCCAGTCTTGCACCAGGGTTCTATATTGCATCAGAAGTATGGATCCTTAGCCACACTCATGCTTTCAGATAACCATCACAATTCAATTTCAAACACAATATAAACCATCTTAATTATAGGCATGACTTGGCTGCCAGGGGGAATTATATTTGAATGCCATTCAACAAACATGATTTTCTTTATATTTTTGCATTTAATTTTTTTAATTCCTAAAACTATTTTTGAATTGCCTTTTGGCCCAAACTGACATATAATTAAAAACTTTAAAACATAACACAGCTTGCTAAGAACTACAATCTTTCAAAAATAAAGATAAATAAATAAAATGAAGCTACTTTGATTCCTTTAAAAAGAAAAAGGCAGAATATAAATCTAATAATAAATAAAAATAATGAGTGAAGTTAAAAAGCCACTATAAACCTTGTAATATTCCACCTAATGCTAAACAAAAAAATAGGCTAGTCTAATTTCATTGGAGATAAAGTTTCACAGCTGAGATACCATTGAGAAGGCCCCATTCTGTGTTCCCATCAATCTCTCTTTGTGGTGGAACACATAGGAAGATCTCCAAAACACATCTTTAATAGTGGGGAGATTGAGTTTTTCAGGTCGCCTGACCCCCAGTTTATAAATAAGAATCAGAACACTGAGTTGTGCTTGGCAGGCAGTGCAGTTGGTCCAAGACCATTGGTTCAAGTATGTGCCAGAAAGCATTTTGCACTAGGTGCAGTTTCCAAGCACTCTTGAAGAGCAGTCCCAAATAGATCACATTTCAGTACTCTAAATGGGATACAATTAAGAAATAAGTCATCGTGGCCAAATCAGTTATCTTCAGAAAGAGGCACAACTGGCACAGCAGCTGAGCCTAGACAAAGGCATTCCTGGTTGCAGTAGCTGTCTTACCATTCAGCAGCACCTGCAAGCTGCAGACCTCATCCTTCAGAAGGATTGCTGTGCCATCCAGAACTGGCTGGGTTCCTAATCCTTGTATATCTTGGCTGGATCAAAGTGATTAAACTGATTACTTGAGTGTAATCATTGAATGCACACAATGATTCAGGACTGATACAGCCTCCTTAGCATGTGATGGCAAACAACAGAACTGAGTATCGCCAACGTTAGTTTTTGTTCAGGGGCAGCATAATGATAAAATCTAACCTCCAAATTCAGGACTTCTTCCAGCCGCTTCATGTGGATGTTAAGCACAGGGGATGAAGTAGAGCCTATAGGTCAGTGGCTATGCGGCTGAAAAATCATCTGTCAAAGTCACCTTCTGAGATTTCTTGTTCACATAAGATCAGGACCACAGTTAAACAGACCCAAAAAAATACCACAGTGCATAATGCTGAATGCCACTGAGTGGTTCAGCAGAACTAAAAGGAATGCAGTTCCCTAGTCAAATTCCTAGAATGGAAGAGAGAAGTGCAGGTTGGCAAATACCTCCTCAAAACCTGCTCCAACCTGGGTTTCTTCCCCCAGACCAGTACCACTTTTTAATGAAAATATTTCTATACCATTGTTTAATAAATAGTCTCAAGGCAGTGCACAGTGCAAAAAATAGATCAGTAACTAAATTTTTAAATCTCTGTATACAGAAAATTAAAAACATGAATTATTCTGGCTTGGCTGGATACACAGTGGAAGAATCCTAAGCCAGGTGGTTCACTATCAAAGAATCTAGTAAAGCAAGAGTCAGGCACAAGAGAATAGAATTAAAGCTGGAGCTGTCAGTACCTTGGACAGTGTATCACAGGCGATCACAGCTGCAAAGGGAGAGGAATGTTGCAGCCAATGTCCCTAAGGTGCATGGTCCGAGGTTCTGATAGTTTCTGCCTCTACCTCTTGGACTTGACTTTTTGCTTGTACCAGCAAGAGACTTAAGGGAGCCTTAAGACTAGCAAGCCCAGAACTTTCAGAGGTTCCACTCCTGCTTGATGCTTGTCTAATTCTTAAAGAGACCACAGTTACATTGGAGTCTTGTCCTCCTGCATAGCCAAGAAGCAGAAACTGCAGGGGAAACCTCACATTAAGGTTCAGGGGAGGGATACATCTTCAGGCTTAGAAGGTATATGATGGGATATTCATGGTTCTCTCTGAAGCTGGTTGACCACTCTGTTCTTTAGGTTACTGCTTAGAGACATAAGCAGAACAGTTTTATACATAAGAACACAAGCAAAACCCAGCTTAGTCACAAAAACCTATTCCATGGGTCCTCAAAGTACGGCCAACAGTATGGATTCGGCCCGCCATGGCCATCCATCCAGCCCGTGCCACCGTTTGCTGCCTGCGCGCGCACTTGCTGCGCAGGTGGGGAGGCAGTGGCTTGATCACTCAGAAATGGTCTCCAAGCGAGCAAGCCACCGCTTGCCTCCCATACATGCACGTTCGCCGCTGCCTCACAGCGCAGGCAGGGAGGTGGCGGCTCACTCACTCAGAGACGGTTTTGGACTCTCTAGGAGATCTCTGAGCGAGCGAGCGAGCCACTGCCGCGGGCACCCGATGCTGCCTCATGCACGCCCAACGGCACCTCACTGGCCTGCACCCCCAGGCACCCCCACCTCACTGGCCTGCAACGGTCACCGCAGCCTTTCAACTGGCCCCCTATTGAAAAAGTTTGAGGACCGCTGGCCTATTCAAATAAGAATGCTTCTGCTGATTTCCTCTCATCAAAAGAAGCAATGTGATCCCTCTATATAAGTGGGATTACTTATAGAGTTCTATAAGTGGGATCCCACCACAGAAAACTTCCTGTCCTGTATGCCCACCTACCCAATCACATTTGATGGTGGGTCACAAAGCGGAGCTTCAGATGATGAACCTAAAGTCTTAACAGCCAGTGTGGTGTAGTTGGTAGACTACTGGATTGGGACTTGAGAGACCCAAGTGTTAGTCCTCATTTGGCCACAAAGTTCACTAAGAGAGTTTGGACAAGGCGTTGACTCTCAATTTAACCTCCACCTCACAAGGTTATTGTGAGAATAGCATGGGGAGGAGAGGAAGAATTATGTAAGCCACCTTGGATTCCTTGCAGGAAAGAAGAGTGAGATACAACTATAATAAATAAATATGGAAGCAAGCAGTCCTTGAAATGTCCTGGTCCCAGGCATTTAGGGCTTTATAGGTAATAACCAGCACATTGAACTAGGTTCAGAGACTGGTGAAATATAGTTCATATAATGAATCATCATACTGCATTTTGCATCAATGTAGTTTCCAAATAGCATTTTGGATAGACAGACATTTAAAATTACAACTACCAAGAAGTCAGTTTGATAGATCACTTGCTTTTTAACTGTCATTACTGATTTAATTCATATGGTGCTAAACTCTTAATACAGGTGCCATCAAGATGCTGAAGGAAATGTTAGATAATGTACAGGTTAATAAACCAATGTTTCCTTCTATCAGTTAATGGCAACATCAGAAATATGCCCCTCCAGGTA